TCGCTGTTGCATCGACTACTTTCCGTTCGTCCGCGTAACGAGGCTAACCGAGCCTTGCTGGAAAAATAATAAACCGAGTTGTCTCGTTAGAATAGGTATCCGGCTGTTGTAGGTATCTATAACAACGACACCGCGAAACTTTATTTAGTCAAACACGCTTTTGATGACATAAATGTACTGCAAAATGGAACTTATGTAGGAAAGGGGAGAAAAAAAAGGCACTTCGTCTCCGGATCGTCTGTCAGACTCGTCAGTGGGGCTGACAACAGACGATCCCTGCCCTAGACACCTATCATACCGCAATTCGGAACTCCTATACATATATTCGAAGTGCATACCGGGCGACCGCCAGCGAGAACACTGATCCACCGATCATCTCGTTGCCACCTAGCGGTCCCTAGCCCGAACCAAAGGCGTCCGGGGAGACGAAACCCTTCTCCTCCTCCATTAAGCTTATAACTCATATCTACTTTTGAAATCGGTCATTTTATACTTTAAATGGTAATGAAGCGTTTATGCAGGGCACTTCACCAAGGTTTAGGCTTTAAAATGATGCATCACAAACGCGATTTTGCCATACTTTTCTGTCATGAAATCATCTGAGACTTTTCGCGGTATCCGTTGAACATATTACTCGAAGACATCTCCAATGCATAGCTTTAGTTTCGCGTTAAACGCTTTAAAAGTTACCTTCTCAAACTTGTATTCTTGAATTTTATGCAAATTGAAGGGACAAAACTTGGTGGAAAGTTAATCAAAAGTCAACTGTGAAAGACAGAAGCTGTTAAAGCCTTCTTTTCCCTCGAAAATGTTGAAAATCATTATTTATCAAACTTCCTTTCTACATCGTATATTTGATCGTTCGTAACCGGAGCCGCATGAAAATACAAACTAAACTTCGTCTGGTTCGACATTCCTGTAATTAAACGTTTCGTCGGGTCGGTTTCCATAAATTCCATGTTTCCATTGATTCAATATGACGAAAAGGTCAGCGTGGCGGTGAAACAAACATGAAAACGCCATTAAACGGAAGTGATTTTCGAAATGGTACCGAGGCATTGTTAGCCAATCGAGCAAAAGAGTATCGGGAACAATTGAACCGTGCGAAACCAAGTAGCTCTATTATCATAATCGTCGTATAATCGCTCGTTTACGTCAACCAGCGAATTCAAGTGCTTTTCCGTTTCTTATTATAAACGCTATTAGGATTTCCTGTTACGTTTCATTAAAAACCGTATGTTTATTTAATGGATATATTGGGAAACTTGATATTAAAATTTTTTAGATGAAATACATTTGATTACTTCGAGTACCTACTTTTCTGGCATGAAATCGTATCAAATTGTCTACGTTTCAAAATTAAAGAAAAAAGGGAACGTCTCAAGTTAAGAAATTAGATTTATAAAAAAAAAGACCTCTCTATATGATTTCATCGCCTCTGAATTCGTTACCGTCCGTATTTAAACTCGTTTCATTCGCACCGAAATTAGGGTGACCGGTCTGCAACCACCGGCTACGTTCCGAATGAAACAAAAATCAACGAGGACATTAGATTACGTTTTCCCTGGTTGGTGTTCGTTTGCACGGCCGATTTTAATAATCCCTCGTCGTCTTTTCAGCAGAGGCGCAGGCTTTACACGCCGTTACGCGGCCAGTATTTGCAATATGCGGATTTAATGTTTGCAAACGTCGGCTGTAATACCGTGGGAAAATAGGGGCTGCAATTTTTCCCCCCCTCCGTGACGAATGGGAAACGTGGAAAAGACGTCGTTGCATTTCCATTGTGGTCAAACAAATCAAATACGTAGGTATGTATGTTACTAGCAACTGCCAATTCTGACATTATGAAAAGTCTGAGATGATTTCATGACAGAAAAGTATTCAAAAATCACACTTACGGCGCATCGTTTTAAAGATTAAACTTTAATAAAGAGGCCTCCATAAAGGATTCATCGATATTATCGATCCAAAATAGCTAATTCTTCGTTGGAACAAAACACGTATCAACCGATTCGAAACTCAATTCAATTTCCAATGGTTTGTTCTTACTCATTCTTATCAGTATAACAACAGCAGGATGTAGCGTTTGAAAATGAAACTGAAGAACTGGCAAGTGGGTAATCTCTACATGGGAGCATTTCGGTGTGAAAACGGATATCCCAGCTTATATTTGCAAAAATTTCATTCGGCTCTCTCTTCCTGCTCGAGGTTCAGCTTGTTTCAGAGTTACACGGTTTTATCGCCCCCTCCCCAGCACTGTTCTATTTAATCCCTTTATTTCCCGGATGTTTTTTGTTCGAATTAAGGGTAGCTTGACGAACGTTTATTCCTTCCAGCACGCTTCTCCGTTTCAACTTGTTTCTTCACGCGTGAACGTTATACTACATAGTATGTACACTATCCCTGAAAAATATCAAGTGTCGGGTAAATCAGATAAAAAATTACAATATAATCAAATGAAAATGTTGAGTATGATAGAAACTTGATAAAAATGCGATTCGTGGTGTTTATTCAACTGTGGACAAACGAGAGTACAGATCACTTAAATCTATGCCCGAGAATATAACATAAAAGTACAATTTATAAGCAAGAAAGTCATTCTATTCGAATCAATCTCTATCGATCAACCACCGGGACAACTGGTAGTTTATCTTGGCCAATTGTACGAGTCATGTTCCCTATTAGCACTGTGTTTTCGTGACTAATATTATATAAAGATGTCACAATGGAAGTGGGTAATTTTTCATGAAAACAAAGTACGATCGATTTTCTTTTATAGACTGAACAAGAGACGTTTATTCTTTTTCTTCCTATAAAGGATGTTACAAAAAAAAAATTTGGTTATCATGTAGGGATTTAAATTAACCCAACTCCCGACCCTCCCACCTTTATTTAGAGATTTAACATTACGAAATTAAAGAGTTAAAATGGGACTAAAAAGTTATCGAATAATTTCCAGTCACTCTATCGTAACCCAGAATCCGTGGACAGGTAACGAGCTGATGCTTCAAAGACATCCCATTGGTCTCCGAGAAGATAGACAAAGGACACTGTACCGTTCTGTACGGTTCGAGAGCTTTTTGTCTTAATTACATGTCGTTACGCGCAACTAATTGCAGCGGGATAACGCGGCGAGAATACGGCAGACGTCTCGACTTATCGCTCGCACTAATCATACCCGGACCAGGGTGAAAGGGCCTGGACCGAGGGTTGGTTACATACCTCCAGGAAGGGGTAACGTCACGCCAGTTTCGGGGTGAACACGTCAGATTTAACTGGATGTAATTAGCGATTACAAATTACCCTTTTGTCCATTAGCGCGGCCGCGATACGTGTGGCAGATTTGCCTAGCCGCCGCTGTAAATGAACATCCACTATGCACAAAGGTGTTGCATACCCTTCTCACAGTTTCTCTTTCATCCCCAACCCCAGCTCCCCACCCTTCCACCTTTATCTAGTGATCTAACGCCTGTTTCGGACTTGCAGTGTCACAAAATTTTAACAATTACGAAATCCTATGAGAAACTTTAATTTAAGGAGTTAAAATTAAATCAGTTTTTTTTTTTCATGAGAGTACATTGCAATTTTTATGAAGATACATTGCTTCTCTCATACTGCTCTCCAAATTTCATGACAGAAATGTATCGCAAAATATCATTGGTAATCATCATTTTTAAACATCAAATTAAAGTTGAAAATCTGATGAAAATACTATTCACGACGAATACTGCATTGCCGAAGAGGTTGTTAATGTTATCAACATGTATCATTAACCACGTGAACAACGTGTTAATCAATCACAACGACAGCCATAAAGAACGACCCCAAAGAAACAAGGTCAATAAAAAAGTTCAAATGAATCTGAAATAGGCTGAGGACTTTCTATAAAAACAGATTCTAATAGCATTTAGGCTGTAGATAACAGCCTGGTTATTCGATGTCGCGTGAGCTCACGAGCATATAATTACGACGGCGTTGAGATGCTAATGGCGGTATTGTTTCGGTCACGGAAACAACGGCGAACGTTATTTCATCGTGTTTGGTTAAATTATCTTATGTTAATCTGAAATCATGCTTTCAATTTACAATTTACTTGCACGAAGGATTTTTATCGTCGAAGGAGGATAATTATTATTCATTATTAGAATTCTCCTAAACAATTGCATCAAAATAAATTGACAATGAATTATGCAATAATAAAAACCAGCCTCTTACGTTGCATCTTACAAACCCGTTACTAAGAAAATTAATTAAGTTCGCTATATCAAGTGAAACCCCATGAAATTCAATTACCCTTCTTCAATTTTAATTGGAAGAAAAACCATACACACTGTTTTGAAATTCAAACCAAAAGAAAACATACAATTACATCATCTAGGAACAAAGGAGTAATTATATTCCTTTTCACATTTTTTTCTTCTTAATGCACAGAAAATTTGTTAAATACATTTTGTTCTGTAATGTTAAAATTTTTTCAATTGTCTGACGATCGTCTGAAACCTCCGTCATTCCAACGATCGCATTTCTTTTGAAACAGGCTATAGATTTGCACGCGAAATAGAACTGTGGTGCGTGCTGCTAGCAAATATGCAGAAATGCTCGGATGAATAATATCAAAGCACATTCAAGGATCTCGAATCATTAAATAGCGGTTGAATCTCGTGATACGGCTGAAATGGGAAATGAGTAATGGGGTCAAGCGTGCTGGTGACCTCACAGCAACTTCCCTATCGCCACTGTATAATGACCTGGCTGTTTTTACCTTTAACACAACCTGACACGTTGCAATCACGCTTGCGATCAATTTAATAATCTTAAAATTAATATGCAAAATAATTTGAAAAAGGTGGCTATCATCTTCCATCAGAAGTTCTCCATGCATACTAATTGCTCTTCGCGTCACTGTCCGTGAAGAATAATTTATACTTGCCGCTAAACCTATCGTTAACACGATAAGCGCAGAGTACCTTTCTAACCAATATTTTCTTCGTTGTTTCCAGACCCTGCTCCAGCTGCTGGTCCTGGGTGGTCTGTTCGCTCTGGGCGGCGCAGCGATTTGCCCTAACGGCTGCATTTGCGACGACGATAACTTGATGGTGTCCTGCATAGGCGCGAATCTGGACGTCATTCCCATAGCGCTGAATCCCAGCATCCAGCGAATAGTGCTGAAAGAGAACCGGATAAAGATAGTAGACGCGGCAGCTTTCCAATTCTACGGGGATCTAAAAAATGTGGATCTGTCCAGTAACCACCTGTTCACCATCCCAAACGGAAGCTTCGATGCCCAGAAGCAGCTGGTAGAACTTCATCTAAGGCATAACAAGATCTCTGCGCTAACCGAGAAGACTTTTCAAGGTCTGAGGTCGCTGACAGTGTTGAATTTAAGGGACAACTATCTAGAGAGCCTGAAAAATGGTCTGTTTGCTTCGTTGTCGAAGCTGGAGGAACTGGATCTGGGAAAGAATCGGATATCCAAAGTGGAGCCTGGGGCGTTTCAGAAGTTGGGCACCCTTAGGGTGCTGCACCTTGACGATAATCAGCTGAGGACCATCCCTTCCCCAGCTCTGGCGCCACTGAACTCCCTGGCCGAGCTGCACATCGGCTGGAACGCCTTTTCATCCCTTCCTGATGACGCCTTCAAGGGGTTGGAGCAGTTGACTGTGCTGGACATAACGGGGGCAGGGTTGGACGATATCGGTGACAACGCTTTTCGGGGTCTGAACGCTCTGAGGACTCTGGAACTGGATGGAAATAAGCTTAGGGAGGTGCCAACTAAGCAGTTAGCAGTGTTACCTCGTCTCGAAGAACTGACTCTAGGTCAGAACTTCTTTACGACCCTCAGGTCAGGCGCCTTCCAAGGCCTCTCCAAGCTGAAGAAACTGGACATATCAGCAGCTAAATTGCTAACAATCGTAGAACGGGGAACTTTCTCGGACAACGCTAACTTGGAGACCCTAGTACTGAACAGTAACAAGAGGTTAGCTACTATGGAAGATGGTTCCCTGGCTGGTTTGCCGAACCTGAGACACCTGATGCTCAGGGACAATGCATTCACCGGGTTCTCCGAGTCCCTGGTGGCCTGGAACGAGCTACGCCGATTGGACCTGAGCGAAAATCCATTAGTCTGTGATTGCAGTCTACACTGGTTAGCTGACGTACTAGTTCCAAGGAATTCCAGCCCAGTGATATGCGCGGAGCCTCCAGAATCCAAGGGCAAACCCCTCAAGGGCATGACTCATGATGAACTAGGCTGCGCCTTCTCAGACCCCAGAAAGCAGGCCCTACTGGCCACCCTATGTGCAGCTGGGTTAGCCCTACTCACCGGACTAGCTTTAATCCTCTACTACAGGTGTCGCAGACGGGTCAGAGATGCCTTGAAGGACTACAAGTGGAATAACCGGGCAATATCCCGGAAGGAGCATGAATACCAGAAGACTTTCTCCGACGACGAGTACATTGTCAGGTCCGCCCATCCCCATCATCATCATCACCACCAGGCGCAATCCCAGCAGCTGCCATCTCATCATCATCACCATCATCTTCAACAGCAGCAGTTGCAACAGCAGCAACAGCAACAGCAGCAGCACTCGCAGATATCGGCGAACATCAAGCCGATTCCGGTGACGGAACTGTAGCTAGAACTTCGGGCAGCGAGCCCAGGAACCGGCGGCGTATGGTTTTTGCCCCATGGCAGCACCACTCTGGCCGAAGGCTTCACCTACATCGACGGGGAGACGGCGCGACAGATGCGCCGTCCGGGAACGCTGCCCAATACCGGCACCTCCGGGCACCGTATGGAGGACGGCTCCACGCCGCTGAGCATCGCGGGCGATAATTGCTCTTCCACCGGCGTCAGACTACACTATGCGAACCATTCCTTGCGCCGAACCCCTCAGCCCTCCCGGGACAACGAGGGCCACCAGTCGAATCTGCAAAACGGGGTATCAGGACACCATCACGGACCCCCGCCTCTACCCTCTAGACACCACCAGTCCTCTTACCCCACTCTGCCCGTAAACGGCCACGTGACACATCAGCATCATCATTTTCCCCGCGAGAAAGACAGGGCGTCGGGTCGGGAGAAGAGCCGTGACCGAGACGCCGGCGCTCAATCCGTCCATCGGGCCGACAAACACCGAGACGCCCAGATGGACACCCGCGATGATAGCCTGCACATGGGCGAAATTGGAACGTACAGAGCGTAAAGGGAGGTGCTTAAAGGAGAGGAAAAAGCCGAGTGAATTGAACTGAAGACTGAAGTTGAGGATACGCCTCGTGCGAACGAGATGGACTGGTAGTGATGGATATTGGGAACGTCCTTGTGCAGTTCAAAAACAGCTTCGAATCATTTCGAATTTTGTTGGAATGAGATCTTGGAGCTGGGGATGTCCATTAGTGTGCTCTGAAGGCAGACAAGAAAACCCGGGCGCGATGTGGGGAGATGGTAATGTTAGTCAGGAGGTGAAATATCAGTGATTTGATGATGACGAGGATCTAGATTGAAGGCATCAATGGTCACGAGTACCATGGCATCGTTTAGTTAACACGTTCGATCTCGGTTAGGTAAATCTACCACTTTGCCCTACCTCTGTAAAGGTGTACCTACTACCCAGGGCTCGAACTTGTTAGATGACGCCCTGCCTCATAACTGCCATAAAAAAAAGAAGGCATCAAAACTGGGAATCACTCTCGGATAGTCCTTGAAGGGTTTTCTAGATCTTCAAGATTCCTATAAAATTCAAAATGATGCGAAATTTATATTGCAAGTGCTTCAGGATCAACGATGGAATTGGTGAAGTGACTACAATTTGAAGACTGATTATGACAGACATCTAGGAACATTCCAACCGCTCTGACTTCAACCTTGAAACCAAGGAATTCTTCAGCATCGAATGGCAATATGGCAATAATCAGGGTAATTTGAAAAAAGTCAGGTTCCAATGGAAACATTTCTTCATGTGAAAGTAAAATGGAAGCTGCGGACATAAAGAAGAGGTCGATGCTGATGATGTTGCGGTGCACAAAGGAAGACTGGTTATTCAAAGTCATCTAATGGACAAAATCAACAAAGCAAGATGAAGATCCATGATTGATTGCTCTTCTTCTACGTATTCGAAATGGTAACTTTGAAGACCCTGAAAAGGTCCTAAATCTTGGACGATCGTTTGTAAATATCAACTTCAGAATTTGAAAAGATGGAGAACGTGAAGAAACGAAAACTATCGGTTTTCCTCGACAAGTCCTTATAGAAAACGTTTTGTGAATATTTTGACTGGAACCTTGAAGGGGCACACATGGAATCGTATTCAGAAGTGGCATTAGATATTTTCCATCTCTTTTTTTTATATACAGGGTGGTTCATAATAGAAGAAAAATTAAAAATAATTTTTTTAATGACACTGTAGAATTCTTCAGGTATGAAAAGGGTTAGATGATGACATTAACTGCGTATTTGCAAATTAGCTTTATTTTAAAAATAATAATAGTCCATTTAGGTAACTTAAAATTAAAATTATCTACCCTTGAAGATTACCTTGAAGAAAGAGACTTACTTCATCAATCAAAATATTTAAAATTCTTATGGGTTCTTTGTTAATTTGTTATCTTTGTGAGTTGCAAAACATTTTATTTCGCTTAATCAAAAGGCAGCTAAATAATTAACCAATATTGGTACAGTTCCTGTCGAATTTTGAGCCATGGATATTAATTACATTCGAACATGAGTTATAATATGAATGAACCTTAAGCTTTCAAAGCATGCAATAGTCGTTCGAATCAGCCATTCGAGAGCGAGAAAGGTAGTCGAAGAAGGAGGCGAAGATTATTTTTCCGGCCGAGTGTACCCTGTGGAATTCCACGGTCACCCCGGTCGAGAAAGGTGACTGCACCTTGAATCGACTCTCTCAGTGCGACGTTCTCAACCGTGGAGAAGGTGGATTCCAAGTCCCAGCCCTCTAGACGAGCTTCGATTCCGGAATAGCTTTCGAGCAGCTACTCGCGACCCCATTGTTTCTCAGGGAAAAACGAGAAAATCTTGCTAGCTTTTCCATCTTACAGCTCCGGAAAATCTTTTTGATTCTGAATTGGTAACTTTTTCGATATTCAAAGGAGGATGATTTTATAAAGATTTTGTAACATTTTTTAGCATTGGATCAAAGATGGACAGTTGTTAATAAGAAAATTCTTCCCCAACTGAGCCTGATTTTTCGATAAAATCTATTATTTTCGTCGTACAAGCAGAATTAATAGGTACAATTCCGACCCCATCCAATCTATTTGATATGATCTCAAAAATTGTTCAAGATGTGATCAAACTTTTCGGTACTTTGACATCACTTGATAGATTGCTCGTTCCTAGAATTATTTTAAGATGAAAATTTTTGCAAGAACACAAATTAAAATTACATATTCTCTGGGGGATCCCTTCGTGGAAATTCTAGCGCCATTTAAACCGTCACAAAGGAAGCACCGATAAGAAGAAACTTTCCTAAGTAATTTCACCCTTGAGCCGTACCACATTGACCCTCCTCTTCTTTGCAAATTATTTTCCAGAAAAGATAATTTAAAGCTTTAAAAGAAAAAAAGTTGTGAAATGTCAATTTTGATATTAATTTTATTTATAATTTTTAACTCCTACAATCTGTGTTATTTGTATTAAAATTGTATTTAAGTAATCATTCGTTAATTATAAATTTCTGTTATTTCACAAAAGATTCTTGAAATATAAACGAGCTTAGTATGATTTACTATAAAATTTCATATTTTTTAACTATCGTAAGTCTTTCATTGTTCTATTTATTGTGTATAATTTTTTATTTTAATTGTGTCGTATACTCTTTTTTTTTTTTTTTAATTAGTATTATTGCTTATTTAAATGGAACCAGTTTTCCTAGAATATATTTTAACGTCATCTGATGTACCTATATATGTATGTATGTACTTGTAAATTTTCCAAGTGCATCCATCACGCGATTATGCATTTCTCTTTCGTATTCAATTTAGAACACACGTGGCTGAGAACTTGATGTGGTATGCGATTCTGAAGACATTCCGTGCCAAACCAGTGCAGCTTGTCTTTTTTTTTTTAATGAAATACAGATGTTGTTTAATGCTACAATAAAAATAAATTAGATTTTGGATATTAATTTTAGAGAGATAATGCAATAAATTAAGTTTGCAAATCTTTTTTAATAAGATGTGAATATTTTATAATTAATTGAATTAATTTCAGAAGGATAATGAAATATATTCAATTTGCAAGACTTTTTTGATAAAATATGAATATATAAAAAAAGATGAAAAAATATATATATTTTAATTATACAGGACGTTTCAAAGTTAAATAATCAAATTTTTTATCAGAAATGAGATTATTAAATTTGTAAAATCATAAATTGTCTTAAACGAATTATCAATTTCTATTATAATTAACTAAGTTTAAATGTGTTATAAGACACCGGTATAAAATTTTTCTAGGCTTAGAATTTACAACATATAGTGTTTCAAAATTAAAGAAATTAAAAAATTTATTTTGTATAAAAATAGCTATGGAAGCTTTGATAATATTTTTATAATTTTATACAGTATTCTCTTTTTAAATTGTATTGTATATTATTTAATTTTGGAACACCTTGTAGATATGTCCACAGCACTCAAAGGATTGAACTGCCATCTTTTTTACAAAATGAAATGTCTTATTCCAAATTTTTGCACCAATTTAATAAACAAACTAATGGAATTTCAAATATATTGAACATTTGCAAAGAGCGTACTAAAGTTGCACAAAAACCGATAATGAAAAGTGTTCCCTGATTAAAAAAAACGTAATTAATGTCCTGTTCCAAGGGTCCTAAGTAACAGTTGGACCCAACTCACCATAAAGAATTGAAATAATTCATAAAATGAGTATAGATAAACAAACACTAGATATATCAGATCTTATTTTTTAAGTAACAATAGGAATAAAAAGAGAATTGGTGTCAAAAGTTCGAAGGCCGATTGTAATTAAGAATATTGTATATGTCGGGGTCAAATGTGTCATAGGTAGTCGATGCAAAAAAAAAAAAAGAAGAGTATTACTCCGTTGCGATAGAAATGAATGAAGATTGTATATTTTACGATATTAAAGCAAGAATTAATTAATTAATTAATTAATTAATTAACCCTAGAGCGATGGATCTGGGTCAAAATTGATCCAAATAATTGAATATAAATTTATTTGTTGTTTCATTTCATGGGAAAATGTCTTAATTAAATTTTAATTAAATTTCATAGGAAGGTTTCTTAAAGTTAAAAATTTTAATTGATATATTTTGCAAATATGGGTCATATTGAACCAGTTACCATCTTTGAAGGGTTAAAATTGTATCGTGTTGCTAGTCAATCGATACCCTCTGGTAAAAAAACGATAAAAGGAAAATGTAAAAATTAAATTAATCGTGTCACAGACATTATTATAAATTATTGTACAAAAATTAAACATTGATAGTTTGTAAGGCCTATCTTTACTTTTACATTTATAAATATTGGATCATCCTCATAACCCAAAGAAGATTAAATTATTCAAATAACTAATTTACATAATTAGTGCAATACATTGAAAATTTATTTTCTCTTTTCTTATAATCATACTAATTATTATTATACAGTTATATAAGATTTGAGGCATTGCTCATTAATGACCCTCAAGGCACTTAATATGATAATTAAAAATAATATTAATGAGAGTACATCAATTTAAGCAAATGAAACATTGAAGATGAAAAGTTTCTACCGAACGGAATAGTTAATGAATTACTAATTTGATTAAAAACTGACATCAAATTATGGGATGATCCAATATTAATACTATACGTCATGTTATATGACGTTTAAACTCGTATCTATGCGCACGATTCATTCACGTTCCTTTAGCGTATGAAGGGCTAGCAAGAGTTCCGATTATTTTCAAAATTTGTTTAACAGTATTTTAAATATTTTTTTTTTATATAAAATCGCAAACTGCATCGATTTATATTTAAAAAAAGAATGTACAATCCCATATGGAAAATCGAAATTGACTTTGAAATTTTGTCAAATCATTTCATTTCTCCTAATGACATTTTCTTCTACTAGAGCTGTAGGAACTCTTTCTAGCATATCTACGCAGTAGCGGCTGATTTCGATGTCCATCTTCGTACCACTCTAAATCGTTTCCCCTCTTTCATGAAAACTAGACTCACGAGGCTTCACGAAATAAAAAAAAAGAAATGAGGAAACGAAGGATCAGCCTGTATAATTCGTGTAAAGCATAGCGGAGCCTTATTGAGAAAGCAATATGCATCCTTTAACTGCTTAAAAGTATTTTCAAACTGCTAATTCTACTCGAGTAATTAATTCCTATGATAAGTATACGTCGAGACGTCCTGGGTCCTTAAGGATGATCGTTCCCTTCCTTTCAGTACCCACGGATGTAACCCCATGGATTTATGTGTTCCATAAACGCACACTGTTTTCTATTATATGTACTTCTTCGAATGATGGCTTGCACTGCCGTTCGATTCTGTTCTTCGATTAACCCTTGAACAGCGGAGCCTGGGTCAATCGCGGCCCAAACCTAAAAAACATTGCATTAAAATTGTGGCTCTATTCGTTGTCCGCCGTTCATGACGCGTGAGCCGCACCGGATGTGTTAATGAAAGATGAATCAAAGATTGTTTGATAACGTATTTTTAAAGATCAGTGCCACGTATTGATATGATAAGATTATTTAGCGGTATGTACTTTAAAAATGATTGTTACAGAACGCGTGTTGAAAGATTGCTTTTGAATTTGATCCTTTTCTGACACAGTTTGATGGTTTGGTTGAAAAGAAACTAAAAATTGATATTTTGACTGCCATGGGGGGAATTGGTAATAAGGATAATTAAGCAAATGAAAAGGAAATAGTTGTTTAACTATTGATGTAAGTAGGTAGACCATCCCCTGATGCCATCCCGCACATTCTAAAACTCTGAGATTCTAAAATTCCAAAAATATGTGAATTTCCACATTCCCCCACCTATGTATGTACACATAAATCGGCCATTTAATTTCCTAATCACCCAATTACACCGTGGGCGTAGACCCAGAGTTTTCTCGACTCCCTGTAAATACACTTTCGAAGATAGTCCTTAAAAGAATCATTCATCGCCTATAAAAATTTTCTCTTTAATAAAATGTATGATAAAACGTCGAGGGTGGTCCAGATTCCAACGTCACGAAACAGAATCGTCAATGACGAATCAAATTTTTGTAAATATTATAAAAGAAAGAAAAGGGATGTCGTTGGAAAGAAGGTACCTTCAAGAAACAATAGTAGCGGCGCTCTGTAATAAGCGTAGATTCGTGGAAACTGAATAGTTTTAACGAGTCCCTGGGCCATAACGTAGGTCTCTAAATATAATAATATTATAGGGGTATTCCAGCGTTATTTTGTACATAAACAACTTTATCAACGGATATTAAGAAGTCGTCAATAAATCTATATATAAAAAGTATTATTATTATTATTATTATATTCATTTTCCTGATAGTGACGCTTCCGTTACCCCCCACCCTCGCCCCTTGCCCCAATCCGATGTTGGATAAATAGTACTCACTTTGATATAACACAAAACATTTATTTCACCAGAGATTTAAGTAACAATACATATAAATAGAATACAATATTTGTATGTACAAAAGCTATATATTACTTTGGTATAAGCAAACTTCATGTGTTCCCTTGCTGCTTATAATTACGTAATCAAAACACTACGGAATGTCATTTTCCTTATATATATATATATATATTATTCTTGAACTGAGAAAAAAACAATTTATAATACACTATTACAATAAATTTGAAGAAAATCTAAAAAAATAATACACGATGTTTGTTCTTTGTGTAAAAATGTAAGTTCTACATGACTATTCATTTTTTTTTTTGTTTTTTTTTTGTAAAATCTTTCTTTGGATTAACATCATGTACAAAGCAACTATTCCACATCACACAGTAATCACAAAGTTCTTGACCCAGGCGTTAATTAATTTTTTTTTACCATCGCGAAGCTGAGACCTAGGATACTTGCAACACCAATAATAACTCCTCCTGCAATGGCCATACCATACAGACCCTCTGCAAAAAAAATAAATAAATAATATAATTCCGACCATAAGTACAATTTTAATAATTAATTATCTTCTTGTCACAAATATGCTGAGTAGAGGCATTAAAAGGAGTTTTTTGTATAATACTATTTTTATTAAACAATATATACAGAGTAGACTAAAAAAATGTAAATTAGTTGCATAGCTGTATATAAAAAAATAATACTGGTAATAAATAATAAAAATTAATTTCGTCACCGTCTGTCTACTATAATATTAATAGAACAAGCAGTATTCCTTTGCATGCATATAAATATACAAATTAACATGCTGATTAATACTGATGTTAATTACAAGAGATATAATAACTACCAATCAATGAAACTACAACTACAATTAAACATAACAAAAAATAGAGTGACTGATTTTTAATGCATGCTGATTGTAAAACTTTCATCTGTCTAAACCAATAGTAATTGATAAAATGAAAACCTTTTTCCATTTTCTTCTTGATCAGTGTTTCTAAGTGTTGTACTTGTCGATTTTGGGGTTCAACCTGAAGAAATGATCTAACATACGTTAAGGCTTTTGAATATTCCTAAAAACAAACACAATTAAATAACATTCAACTTATAGATGGAAAATTTGGTCTCACCTTTATTCTAGCATTTCCAATTGCTAAATAGTAAAGACAGTCTCGTTTATTGCTATCATCATGATTGCAATATAAATCTTCCAATAGAATTATTCCTTTTCGAATGTCTGCAGGGTATTTACTTCTGACAAGACACCAGGCATATTCAAACTGTGCCTTCTGGGTTACAAATGATGAACGTAATTGCTCATGGTATACTCGTTCAAATTTCTGAAAGAGGTATTATGCTTTTTGTATATTTCAGATAAGATGAGTCAAGTCACTATTTTGTTTTTAAGTATCAGCATAAGTCATCAAATAAGGCATGTATACTTAAATATAACATTAAACAACGTTAATATAATAACAATAAATTAATAATAAATTGATGTCAATCTAACCTTAAGAAATATTCCATATATTCTAAATACTATTTTACATTATGAAAAGAAAAATGTTGTGGGGGAAGAATAACTAAATTGTATTTATTACTGTAACATTTATAAATAGATAAAATTGCGTTTTTTATTGGAAAGACATACTATTACCTTTAAATCTTCAGAAGAAACAACTTCTTCCAACACATCCTCCATTTTTGAATCTGAATTTATGAAATCTACAAGAAAATAATTTGTTCTGTCCTAAATTCTACCTTGAAAGCAAATTACTCATCACAAAACTACCAACTCTGTTTCGGTAAATCCAACTGTCAAAGACAAAGAAACAACCAAGTGCGCTTCTTCCACCTGCGACTTATTGGCGAAATAAAACGCGCCAATTCTTGGACAACTTGAAATTTGTTACAATAATTCTATATTTTGTTACCTTAAATTTTAGATAAATCTTATAATCGATCTAATATGTTTGATCTATACACTTTTAACAGATATAGGTATATTACACTAATAATATATACACAGTTGTAGTATGCCAATTTAAGGAATAATTTAATTTAATTCATGTGTATATAAATCAGACATCTTTTGTACTACAAAATGAATTATTTACAATTCATTAATTATACTGTAGAGAAAATGTTATTTAATTGTTTTGCTAATGAATATAATGGCATTCCCATTACAGTATAGACATCTCCATCTATTTTTTCAATTAAACAGCCACCCATTCCCTGTACACCATATCCTCCAGCTTTATCTCTGTAACAAGGAATGATTCAGATATAAAGAACAATTATTATTCAGATGCAAGAATTGATTAATACATACAAACATTCTCCTGATTTTATATATGTCCTTATTTGTGCCTCTGTTAAATCTCCAAATTTCACTTTTGTAGAATTATAATACTTCACCTCTGTATTTAATGTTTTTAGACATACTCCTGTGATGACAATATGTTCCTTATTTGCTAAACTGAAATAACATATATTTGATAATTATTTGATAATTCATTTGTGCATTGAAGTGATTATATTTTACCTTGATAACATTTCAAATGCATGCGACTCATTTTTTGGTTTGCCATAAATGAGATTGCCCATTGTAACCATGGTATCTGCACCAATTATTAGAAATGGTGATACAAGATCTTTTTTCAATCTATTGTATACTTCTTGTACTTTGTACTTTGCTAGATCTTGGATATATTCTCCATGGCTTTTATATGATGATCTGTCTAAGTTTTCATCATACAGTGAAGGTACTACTTCTGCCTTTATACCCTGATATATAAAAGAAATTACATTAGACATCATGGTTATATATTATTATAGCAATATATCTGTTTTACTTGATCATACAAATTACCAATTTTTGTATAATTTCATGGCGTCTAGGAGACCCACTGGCTAATATTACTCTGCATGCTGTTAAAGCTTCTATTGTTGGCTCTAACATTGTTTTTTCAAATAAACGAAGCAAGTGAAATACAGATAGGATTCTTTATGATTATAACATTCAGATGCAAATCTATAATGTACATTTCCAAGAATATCAATTAGATTAACCTTGTATTTATCAATGCATCAATTCATCTTTATAGATGTCGCTAGATACATACTTCGTTTTTTCGAGTATCCAAAGAGAAAATATTACTTTTATTAAAAAATTCAATTATATACTATTATATTAATAATGTAAAGTAGCAAATTGAAAACTTGAATATTAATTATTCCTATTTGTTGTAATTAAAAGTTTACTGTTATACCAATAATGTAAGATGGTAAGCAGAAAATTAAAAATTAAAAATTTTGAAAATTAATTATTCCCATTATCTATAAATCGATTAAATTAGAGTTTCATTAATTATCCCAATTAATATAATTTTATTGAATAAAATAATTAATCTAATCTAAATTTTACTTCATATTAGATATAAACGATAATTCAGTAGGTTCAATATATATAGATCCAGGGTTTCCCTCATTACTGTCTCCCTTTCAAACAATCCTGAATCCCCCTTGGACATCTCTGATGTAATCCCTTGTCGTGCAGGAGTGAAAAGTGCGTGAAAACGACCAACACCTGTACCATTCATTAACAAGCATTACGAGAAATGTAAGAGTGAGAGGGGTATCCTCAGGCTACTTTTACACCTTATTAGTTACTGTTCACGGTAATTTCAGCATTGCAAAAGAATCTTACATTGTTGAGATTTCTAAAAAGTACATGCTTACAACTGACTTATGCTGAAAATTTCACATTAGAAATCTTATTTTTCACTATATGAAAATTTCCAATTAAAATTAACCCGCTTAATTTTAGTTGCCATGCTATAGATTATACAGGTGTACTTAGGTCGTGACTGATCCCACGAGGGGTTGAAATGCCCCACTCAGAGGGGCGAGCGAGTACATGAAAAATATTAGAACGGGAAGGAGAACTATTTTCTAGCCATAGAGAAGATTCTAATACATCGTAATCGGTAAATTACGTAAATGCCGCATGCCATGAACGAACCTAAAGGTCAGTCAGTCCGAGGTCTTACATAATCGCAAGGCGAAAGGTTGACCCATCTTTACGCCGCAGCCTGAACAAAGATTTCGCGGCATTTTTTCGCCATACCTCGCATTGTTTCGTTGAATTAATTAATTTAACGGGCTACCATGAGACCTACACTTCGTCACGATGCATTTAATCGTGGGAAGGTGGAGGCTTCACCGAAACCCATAGATCTACCCCGCCATTGGTAGTGAATTCAAAGGCAACAAGGAAATGTATTTGTTGCGATTCAAGATGCAAATAACCCGGAATTCTTGAAGATGATTCCATGGAAACAATATGGTTATCTTAGAATCTACATAATCAGAGGTTATAACGAGCAGGATATTAAAAACCAGTTATTAAGAAGACTGCGGACTGAGATAAACGTGGATGATGTATGCTATTGTTGTTTCATGTTTTTTTATGGAATTCTACAAAGATTTCCTTAGAGATTTGAAAGTATCCTTCGAAATATAGGACATTTGTTTTAATATTGGCCTAAAATGGTAGACAGATAAAATTAAATGGCGTCCAACAGAGCGTCAGATGGTGCATATACCAGTTCTGAAAGTGGAATTATCTGAAAGGTTTCTATTTGGTAGATTTGCTTATTTTCTATAAAAAAGTATTGAGGTATTTTGGGGGAAAGACTAGAGGATTATTGTTAAGCTCCCTTTGGCTTCTTCCTAAGATATTTTTCAAATTATTCAATTTTCGACCAAAGTACCTTAATAGTTTTTTATAGAAAATAATAAAATGCAATACTTGATTTGAAAAAATCTATTTTCGAGGAATATAGATAAAGATTTCTAAGGATACCAATGGTTAGATCCTGAAAATATGTTGCTAGACAGTTATTAAGATAGTAAGACAATAAATACCAAAGACCAGTCCGTAAGTGTGACGTCAATAATCACGTATGCACAGAGTAGGTTGTTAATATCAATAACTTTATAATTTTCAATTTACCGTGTGGGTTTTTCAAATTTGCATATCTCCTGATGAGGATACTTTCACGAAGAATTTTACGTGAATCAAAATGTTATATATAATATATTTGAAAAATAAATGAATTAACTAATTAAAGTTATTCATTTAACTCTTATTTATTGTTGAAAAAAAAAAAACGAGAAGAAAAGAGCTAATTCGATAAATTAATAGAAAAGAATTTTATTTTTAACTAGTTTGAAACAACTAACTTTTGTTCCTACAGTCATTGTATTGCAACTTTTGGATTTGTTTTTCAATATATTTTCGACATCATAATGATTCACTCTAAATGCATCCTGTACGCGGAATATCGAGCACTACCAATGGACCCGTGTACGTCTCGTCGAATCGAAAACATTTGCAACGTTGTTTAAATTTCAAACTATACGAGTAGCAGTATCTGTGAATACAAACTATTAAAAAACTCGAACGAACTCCCTCGATGTAAATACAAAGCTGACAACGATGCGAGGCCTGAAAATTGTTTCTATACGTCCAATAAACTAGCAGCTTAAATTTCAAACGTTTCATTTTGAAATTGCTTATTTAACGAGAGGAAAAATAAAAAGGATTCCTCCTGAAACAAGGAAAAAATTGCATTTTTATACGAGAGTTAATGAACACTTTGATGAAAGGCAATAATGAAATTGCTCATAAAAGAACAAGTTACAATTAAATTGGTCAATGGTGAAATGGAATATGAAAAAATATAATATTCATTTATTTGTGGTATTATAGAGAATTTTCATGTATAAAGATAATAAAAGGAAAAAAATGTTCGATCAAAGTATCCCGGTCAGTTTTTGTAGAAAATATATGAAACTCTTTCAAAAAAGTTAATTCTAATATCGATAAAAAAAAATCATAGAAGATGTTGCAAGATGCTGTTGAAAAGACACAGTAATTATGATTGTTGTCGTTCATAAAGCAGGCATTAAATTTGTATCGCAATTAACGCCGTTTAACATTCAATATATAATATTGTTATGTAACGATGAATGCAGAAGCGACCGAGTGCAAGATCCTTGTAATTACTCAACGACGTTTGGTCACTCGGAATCATCATTTTTTTTCCTTATCTTTCTTTTTTACGATACCCACGCAACGTTTCACCGACGCACACGTGGAAATAGAGGTTGACCTATACAGGTAATTTCACTTATTAGCTAATTCACCAATTTCACCACTTTTAATACACCGCTCTCTGTACCGAACTGGAATAGCCAGAAACTTCTTACTTTCTTTTCCAATTGTCGGTTTCGTAATTGCGTTACACGTGAGATGCTGTATTCCTTATCTCTCGAGGATCTTCAAACAAAAATTCCAGTATTCCTTTATTGGACTTTTATTGACCCACAGCAGGTAATTAAAACTGACGATGAAGATGCGCTGAATGTTGGCTCAAACATTCTAAGGTCACTAATGGATACATTTTGTTATTCCCTACATAAAATTATTAAGATATTTTATTCGTAGGTAAATTGATTAGTTTTAATGATATTTCAGGGAGAGACTGAGGTTCGTTGTTATCCAGATATAATACCTTATTCAACTTCTGCACGGTACATCATTAATCTTCAAAAAATTGAATTTTCAAAAATCTTGATTGAACGAACGCGCGTGGTGTTCGTGTAATTGTCAAAACAGAAACCGCAAATATGCACAGCAGACACGTCGAGAAAGTATCGAAAGGTCGCGAACGTCTGGTTAATCCTGGTCGCAAATTTCACCCGCTCCTCTTCACGTCCTTGGATCATTCTGATCCTCTGGGAAGGGTGGTGTTTTGCAACGTGTTTTCGCGATGATTTAGTTCGACGTCGTTGAAGTCGTGAAAATCCAACGCAGTCGGCATCCTTTAAAGTAAAAGAAAAAATGAAGATGGCGAGGTAATCAACAAGAGAAGTGTCGTTATTAAAAAATGCCATTACGTAACTTGAAAAGCCGCTTCAAAGAACGCGTTATGACACTATACCTACTTCTATGGGGTGACACGTCATGCCTCAAAGAAGTCGCTTGTGATCAGGAGTGTAGTAGAACGGAACTTGAACTCGGAACACAGAAAATAATATACCCTTTCTGGGTACCATTGACCTAATCAAGATTAATCTAATCTTGTATTTCATATTATTTTTATTTTCTAAATTTTAAACTCTTTCGTTTAAATTCGTTTGGGTTTCGATTGACCCAAGATCCACCCCCTCAAGGTTAATAATATTATCGAATTAATTTTATGACGTCATCAATGATTCAATCGATGGTAATGATCAATAAGGTAATAATTTACATCTGTTACTTCGTTAAACGATATTATTTCATACAGACACGCGTTTATCTATTTTTTCTTCATAGTTGCATCGCATATGTGTGCATAATTTACCCTCATCTTCTCTCAGCTGATCATACTTGTACAATACTCTTATCCATTGGAATGTAAATTACACTTTTCGTTCCCATGGAGACGGATTAAAATGTCTCGAAATGCTTGATGCAATTTACCCATCAAACGAGTATCACATTTTTTTGTTTATTACTGTATGATTACATTACGTCACTAATTATTTATTGCAAAAATAAGATGTTAGATATTTTGTATGTTTAATTGCTTAGAAAGGTACATTAGATTACATTAAATAACAAATTTGAAATTTCACATAATTGTATGAAGTAGAGAAGGGACAGTGAAACTTAAGACAGAGTACAAAGGACAAAAGTCATTAACACAGATGTGACGTCAACACACATGAGCAAGAAAATATTTTTCTAATGAACTAACTTGGTGTTTAAAGTTAAAGTTACCAAGTGAGAAGAAAAGAGCCTATAAAATACCAAGTGGGTATAATAAAACAAAGGATGGTGATAAATTCACTCATGACACGAAGACATCATTATTAACTTATGTCATTAATTACCTTTTGCATTTTCTTTTAATTGATTTAGAAAGCGAAAGATATTTAATAAGTTCTCTAGGATTGTGATTTTGGCTGTCATCATTTTACTAATGAGACTTTTTTAACAAAATATAATAAAATATTTTAATCTTTCCACGACGTTTTCGGATTAAAGGGAGGTCTAAGGGAAGTTACAGCCCCAATGATTTCATTCGACCATAAACTAATGGGACACGCATTAAGGGTAAATACAAGTAATATTCAACAGAGTGGACAGAGTGCATCATTGAAACTTGAAATGTCAGTGTCTTCAGTATTCGATAGTCTGTCGCCGGTTGGAAACTAGTCAAAGTGCAATTCCGTTCCGTGTCGAGCAGGCTTCTTTCTTTTTAACGACAAGCGAAAGGTCAGAAAAATTCTCGTCACTTCGAGAGAGAAGGTGTGTCACTATCACTTGAACGGAACCGCCTCTGGGATGAGTTACCTCGTAACATCAATTCAAATGAAATTGCTTTCATTCAAGTTACTAATAAATTAACACTTTTATATAAAAAAAGAATAGATATCATTACTATTAACTATTAACTGTAAAAGTATGGATATACGATAATTTATTATTTAATAAATAGTTGATAATGAATTCACACATAAAATTGATTCAACTTCTGCATACATACAAAGTTACATAATTAAAAGGGTCAACTTTGATACAAAATTAATTAATTTCTCTGATTTATAGGTAATAACAGTTGGCAAGTACGCATCATGAATCATTTGGTACCGCTCAGATGATCACAGAATTCTATTCTCGCGACGCGACGAATGCACATTTTGCTTGTATCTACTTTAGTGTTTCTTATCTCGACGCGTGTTACACGATTTATCTCGTACAAACATCTCCCCCTGAATAATTAACGTATTTAGATACCGTTACTAATTGCACCGTTTTGAAATACTGTAACACCTGCAATTGATGAGCAAAATTAGGCACACCGTATTAATTTGAATTACATTTCTTGCCCATTACTCACAATTTTTTTTTTTTTTATTGGATGCTTCCCTTATTAATTCTTAAATTTATAGGATCATTACTTTTTAATGATCATTACTGTTTTATTTTTTATAACAGACATTTCTCAGCTTATGGGATCGTCTTCCTACCTCTATTTCCTATGGCGTACGTAAGACCATATGAATGACACAGTGTAAATGTCGGTGTATGACCGTGGAATCATCCGAGAAAGGTTGGCTACATTCGACGCGAAGATTAATAGGGAACCGGGATCTTGAGTCAGCATTAAGCTACACAACTTTTTTATCATTTCTTTTTCTGAAGAAATCATCAACTAAATAGGAAATCTGTTATATGTATACATTTTATTTGATATATCTTAAGCTTCTTTATCTCCCTTTTCATTTTAATTATTCGATGATATTAAACTTGTAGCACAGGTCACCGATCAACCGTACGACAGTCAATCTGTTAATTACAAAACATATCTGTCAAACGTGTACTGACATTTAGCAACTACCACTTTTACCGATTATCGTAATTACCAGATTTGAAACACGCGATACGGAAATCAAAGCTAGATGGTTAAGGATCATCGAAATCGGACTTGGCATCAATTTCAAGTCAATTATCCGCGGTTTGCCTCGATATTGGAATATCGACGTTCTAATGCATCAATCTTCTGCTTAACCCTGACATTTGCAACGTAATGCATCAAACAGCATTTTCATGTAATATACATAAATTCGATGATAATTTTCATTCTTTACCCATAGATAATCAGGAAAATTGTTACGTGAAATGTTTTAATTATTTTAAGCCAGTAAATGAGAGAGAAAATTGTCCAGTACGTATAATTTTATTTGAAATTTTAGTGAAAAAAATGAAGAGGGTTACAATTCATGTACTCAAATTTGAAGCTACACGAGAAATATGATAAGTGTAAAATAATTTTTCATTTTTTTTATCGTGTGCAACCTTGAGTGGCACGAGTAATCCGTATGATGCTTCTTCGGTTTCTCGTTACGTGACGGGGTCTGATCGTGTTATAATTAACCGTTGCAGAATCCTCTCGACGAATAATTTTTATTTTTATTCACCTCCATTGTAATGGCAACTATAAGACGTGATTAACAGATTATTAGGACCTATTACAGAGCGTAGTCTGAGATCTTAGGTTGTAACGTGTTAACGGAAGTCAGCTACTGGGTCACTTCGTCCAGTAACAGGAATAGAGAAATGACATAGCGAATAGATAAAAAGATATAAAAATGACAGAATTTGTAAAAAACAAATTAGAATTATTCAAATAATTGTTAAATGGAAGTTATTCAAATGAAAAAATTATTGAAATGGAAATTCGAAAATTGTTATTGACAGAATCTTAAAATGATAGATTAACGTGATATAGTGCTAGACATGTATAATTGTTATAAATGACAGCTTATAATTCATGTAAGCTCGTACTGAATCGTGCGTGAATAAGCGATTCAAGGAAACGAACATTTCCTCGTGTTACAATGGTATCTAACACAATTGCACATGACCTAGACACTGGATCCCTTTATGCATTTGATTATACCATGTTTTATAAAAATGGTGGATAATATCCGGTAGAACCTTGCATGTAAATACCAATTATTTCTTTTGCAATCTCTTTGTCTTTACATTTCTTAATCAGAATCAATACTAGAATAGTAATCATAATGTTAAAATTAAAAGAAGAACTTTTTCTTCGTTATTACATTTTAAAAAACGAAAAAAAAGTTATATCTGGATAAAACAACTTTTATTTAGTTATGTAATTTTTATTGAAAAATTACACCTAGGAAGTAAAAAGAAAAAAGAAAGATAAAAAGTTGTATCTACATGAAAGAATTTATTTTTAAACAACAAAAGAATGACACAATTTTCAAAAATTTTGTCTTTTTTACTAAACACAGGTACTTATTCATTCACCTCTATCTCATCTCTATCTGAATTTTAATGAAGAAAAATGATAATAATAATTGATACATAAATGATTTTAAGCGTCGGTGTCCAAAAATAGGAACGTCATTCATTGTCACGTTTCCTGTGTGAGGCGTGACAAATTCTCTATTCTCGATTCATACGAGTTCATTTTTCCGAAGATGCACTGGTCAGAAGAAGTGCATTGTGAAGAGGGCAGGGATGACCCCTTTCACTGTACCACGTTGCTTACGCTCGTGTATATAAGGAGGCGAATCATCTGACGAAGAATCACAAGTACCAAACCCATCAGCATCCTCTAACCGCTTCATCGCCGGTGTCTGTGTCACAGAGAGATTATGTTCACTATTAAGGTAGGTACTTAATAAATTAAAAACGCGTGCTAGACAGGAGGATTCATTAATATCGCTCATTTTTTATGGAAGACATACATTTGGGGTGTTGGAGTATTAGAGATATTTTGGATGTATATTTCAACCTTTCCACGAGGATGGGAGTGTCATCTTAGGTCATTTTGACCCAGGAGATGATGTGCATACAATTATAATACATGTCGTTATAGTAGAGTGTTAGGGTGTCTGAGGTATTCAGGATGTATATTCCAATTCTTGTAGAACGAGTGCAAGGTCATTTTGACCCGGTGGATATATATTTTTTTTTGTATATTCCTTTTTATTAAATTTCATTGTAATCCTAGGGTACACGAAATGTATATTTGGAGAATATATTCAGTGTCAGGTCTTTGATGGATAAGGTACTCAATTTTAGGTCTGTAATAGATAATAGATTTCAAACCTATCACAGAGAAGGTATTTAGGTCTTTGGTCTATCCTAGATGTCCTATTCAATTGTAGGTCTTCATAACAAACAAGGCATTCAATCTGAGATTTATCGTAGATATACTAGGTATTCAATTTGAAATTTATCGTAATAGGTGAGGAATGAATTTTGGATTTAGATTATAGATATATTCACGATTGAACGATAGGTAACACGTTAAATTTTGTATAGAAAATTTTTACAAACAACATCTCGTTTCTGTTTATATTTTGTTCTCTGTTACTTTCATCCCGACGTCATAGAATTGCACGAACAGGATAGCATTTCGCTTCGTTACGTTTCCTATCAAAGTCAAATGCGCTGGATAAATGTGAAAACGCGTCAATCGAATGTTTTTTTATTTTCCCTTTTTCAAAAGAGACAACGCATAAAACGTTACAACGTCATTTTATACGTAGATTGATCTCTTCAATCGATTGTTTGCGAATCAGCAGAATTCTTTTATATTTCATTCTAACATTTACAATGTTATTTAAATATTTTTAATTTGAAATTTAATACAGGTGGCAGGAAGGTTGATAAAAAATAAAAATGAGAAGCAATTATAAAAATACAAAAGAGTCAAATATCAAAAACTATAATTTAATAAAAAAAGAAATGATAGAAGTAATAACAGGAACACAAATTCGAAATCGAAAATCAAAAAAATCGAAGCTTCAAAAAAAATTGAATTGCCTTTCTAGAATTCAACTCAATATTTAAAATATTGGTTTAAAAATAGAAAAGAAAATTAGTATTCAAGTACATTCTAATTTTATAATAATAAAGTGTTAATATCAAACTTACTGAAGCACGGTGTTAATATAGAAACAAACTTTTCCATTATAAAACTGATAACAACTCGTCCACCTTGTTTCTGGTAATTTCACAAAAAAAGAAGTGAGCAAACGTAAACGTTTGTCGATTTGCGGCTGTGCTATCAACAAAACTTTTACGACAGTTTCGCTGAACACGCGGATGAACTTTAATCTCGTTTCAGTTTCCACAACATTGAAAAAATTTCTAGATCCGGAGGGAAAAAAAAAAGAATAAACTGGGATGATTGCATGAAATAAGTACGCTAGGAATTTATGTATTCTTTAGAAAATTCGAGTCGTAAACTTTCTTACGGCGTATCATTTCAAACGAATATTTTACCGTTGGTGAATTTTTTCACTGCAGCGAAGCATCCCTAGATTCAGTAAGGAAGACGAAGGTACGATTTAACTGAACGAATAAAGAAATTTTAGTGCTTTAAATTTGTTATATGGGATAATTTTGAATAATTTTTTAAGAATTGCAGACCGAACGGAATTCGGGCGACAGGATTAGGATTATCATAACAATTACAAACGACGTGCTAGATTGTGTAATAATAGATTCGTGTCGACACCTTTTTCTTCAAGGTAGAACAATTGCAATAGAATGAAACACGACACCGATGAGGATCCCGAATACTTTTCTACTTGCACACGTCATCGCGGATTCCAATTGTGACATTTTTCACGCCTGGTTTATGCCGTTATAATGTTTGACTATGACAAATGAAACTTTTCTCTTCAACAAGAGAATGTTACGTTAGGTTTCTACACGAAATATTCTTTCGTAGGTAATCAAAAAATTTATAAATATTTTTGTGAAAAAAGAAATTTGATTTTTGCCAATCAATTAACAAAGATAAATTGTGCAATTTTTTAAATGAAATTATTTCATATACAAATAAATCTATAATTCATTTATTTTGTAACGTGCAGTTAATAAATTTTTATCTATTGCTGACTAAAAGTAACTAACTTGAAACATCTGTGTATTATTAAATAATCATATAAGCATATATACACGTTAATAAGATAATTTTTCACCTGTCAAGATAGTGTGAAATCATCCTTCCGCGTTAGTAAGGTTACCAATGATTGCTTGTGGCTATTGTAATAGGAAAATAATGCGTCGTTTCAAAGTCAATTTAATTGACTTTAATCTTTTCATCGATGATTGCGAAGAAATTTGTATTTAAATGTGTTTCACTCGAAACATTTAACTATGAATCATTATGATTGCAATTTTTCTTATTCTTTTATTCTTCTTTTCTAAGTATCCAAAATTCACTACATACAACATTTGAGTGCAGAAAATGAAAACCATACAGGAAACCACGCTATGGTGCTAAAAAAAAAACAGTAGACAGAAAAAAAACAAGAATCTCTAGGTTGAAGCTGAAAATGGTTTTCAATTTCAAGGCAGATACCAATATCGTTGGTTCGAATACGAGGAGCGAAATTGACAATCAACGAATCTATCAGACTCTATACATCTTTTTCCTACAGCTTCCTATAGCGGTCGTTTGACCTTATGAATAGAAAGAAGAAGCCTCTGGTTCTTTCATAATCCGTTTATTACATGTTACACGGCATCATTACCGACACTAGTAATTCCTCTTCCATTCTGCTTGATGCTTGTGAAATTTTCCGCTCTTTGTCATTTTCTTGGCCAAGATGGCTAATGACAGGTCCAGAATTAATTAGCATTTTAAATATACAGTCGTTTTTCAGGCTTAGGATAAACATTTTGTAACGAACCATGGTGTAACGGACAGAAAATATTTTAATGAACAATTTTTGTCTCACAACGATTTTATCCATTTTTATGGCCTTCCCTTGGTGTTCCATTGTTTTCGATACATTAGAAATCGATATGTAGGAAGCAATCGATTGTTCCATCTTGATTATGATCAAGGAGAATCGAAATATCGATTACATTGTTACCTGAATGAAATCTTGTCCCGGATAAGGTTCCAGTCGATGTTGTACCGTTGCTAGTGATTGGTAATTAGAAACGCATTGTACTCAGGATTAAGGGATACAATCCATAATTTGATCTCCCGATACCGATGGCTCGTTACTGACCTCAAGAATCTTCTACACTTGCAACGATATAAAAATTCATTTGCTAATAAAACGTTTTAAAGGTATTTTTTTTTTCAAAATTCTTTTCGATCTCCCGAAACCATAAAACTTGTACGTCTAAAGTGAAAGATCGGCGGTTCGTCTCACAAGGGATAGATCTACGACCTTCGGTCACATAGCGTTAACATTGTTTCGTGACTGAAAAAAAATAGAGGCTATCTTCCATGAAATCCATGGGCCAGAATAAACGCCGATCCCTAGCACCGTTCGCAGAACCTTTCGGTTCAAATATTCATAGAATTCGTGAAAGTAATGTCGGCTGATGGCGTGGCTGTGTGTCGTAGCCGGTTGCAAAGGGCAAGCGAAGATGATAATGCCTAGAGACTGCACGACTCGGTTACGTCAGTTGCAAATGACATTATGAAATACAACGTAATGGCGAGACGAAAATTGTGTAATTTCATTCAACAATCTCATCTGCCATAAAACTAAAACAAACACGAAATTGGAAACTTGTTTCCAAAATTTTTATTTTATTTTTATTCAAAGGAAAATTGTTTCAGGCGTTAGTGGCGGTCGTACTTTGTACGACAGGGACATTAGCAGCCCCTCAAAGACCCCCCAGTGGTTCTGACAAAGATGCGGTGATCACATCTCAACAGCTGGAGGTCAACTTTGATGGCAACTATGTCAATAAGTAAGTCCTCGAGATCATCATTATACATTGTATTAACTTTACATACGCCCCCCTAAAGCAAGAAAATTAAAAAGTATATTCATTTACCACCTTCGATTTTGGGGTAAGAGCTGTTCATTGATTATATCACAGAATGAAGTGGTACATCTACGCAGATGGGTCCGAAGGTGCTAAAAATCTTCATCAATCATAATATTTTAATTATTTTACATTCAATTCAACATGTAACATACGTCCTTTATTATGACGACAAGCATTCAATTTGAAGTTGCTTTTCGAAGGTTTCTCTTTAAATACTCGACGATGACGTCACTTAGAAAGTTAATTGCGTTGGTAATTAATTACTAGGAAGGTAAACAGAGAGATGAAATGTTTGTAAAATGTTTTCTCTGTAACGAGCCGCGATGAGAGCTTTATTTGTTACCGACACGCTCATATATAATAGAATCATTGAAGACAATAGACATCAAATTGAATGACAGTCATTTATTATTGCCGTTCATTGTAGTGCGTAAGTGTGATATTACTACTGTATTCGATATTTCTTCTTTAACATTTTTTTTTTTTTTTTTCGAAAAGATTGCCTTGTGAAATCCGAGATACTTTTTTGTTTATATTTGATTAAAATACCTTGGTAAAATATTTTTTCTATGAATTTTTACTTAGTTTCGAAACCAGTAATGGAATAAGTCACCAAGAATCAGGCCAGCCTAAACAGGTAGACAACGAGACACCAGTGGTGTCGCAGGGTTCTGACTCTTACACGGCACCGGATGGTCAACAAGTTAGTATTACATATGTGGCAGACGAAAATGGCTTCCAAGTGCAAGGTTCTCACATCCCTACGGCACCACCGATACCACCAGAAATTCAAAGGGCGCTCGAATGGAACGCGGCTCATCCTGAAGAGGACGACGGTGGTCAACCACGACAACCTGCCCGAGGTTTGTCCTTTTGTCATCTTCTCCTAACGAGCCTTTAACACTTTATACCTAACAAGAGAATTTAATTAATGTTCCTCCAAAATTAGTCCTCGTACTTTCCTCGTTGTTAGTTTATAGCAACTGACTTGAAAATGTATAATATGTCAATTTTGGAACTCCAAGGTACTGAAACAATTTCATTGATTTTTTATTGTTACAGGTTAATCAGTCTAACTATACCTCAAACGTGACCTGATTCCGAGCCAGCTTGCCATGGATAGAAACGACCCTGAGCCTCCGATGCGGATTATAAAAATAAATAAATATAGTGTGGTATATTAATCTAGGATTACATTACGCATAACAGAAAAACAAAAATAATATATAAGTTATTATATATATACGTATATATAATAACTGTCGAGATTTCTTTATCTTTTTACATTGTATAGAGAAAGAAAGTAACGCGCATTCTGTTAAACAAAATAAAAAAAAATATACAGTTTATACGACAGGATCGTGCATGATGCGCGAATGCTGCTTTCAAATATATACATATATAAAACATGCGGAAAAAAGCGACGACGCCCATCGCAGCTACGAGAATGTGTATCCAGCGTCGATTAGCATATATGATACATATATGTACTTTAACTTGTGATTTTTGTATATAAATAAAAAGCGTTCTGCCCGAAAATAATATTATTTCCTTCTGTTGAATTATTTAATATATTTTATACATACATACAGTCAGCACCATATTGAGAGGAGTTCTCACTTTAATCCTTTTCTAAACCTTCTATTTACTATGTCAAAAAATTTTTAACTTTTGATTCCATTATACATACAATAGCTTTACAAAATTCTGATTCAATTGCTGTTGCAAAAATAATTTAAATCATTAAATTATTAAAGTATGTATCTTTTCGATATTTGTCCCTTAATATTATTTTATTGTAGATCATTATTTAGAATTTTAATTTTTGAATCTAGTTTATTAACTAAGAGAGCCATCGAAGGTTTGACAGGGCCAAAGCCCCAGAAATCTTATACCTATAATATATTATTTGGTGTATATATTTGCTTATCTCTTTAAAAATAAAATAAATTTTTTTACAATACAATACTAAATATTAATTAAGATTTTCATTAAAATGTACTTTCTCTATGGTTTTCATTATTTAATTTATCTAAAACAAAAAACTTTTCATTGCATTTTAGTCAGTGGTATCTTATTTGCGCCCTTAACTATAATCATTAATGACACACTGTATATGATACTGAATGGATAAACATTTCAGTCGAATATGATTTTTTCTACAAATTCATAAATTTCATTTATTATTGTAAAGAAAATATGAGATACTTTTATAGTAATTATAAAAAAATGTTTTTAAATGTTAATCTAATTAAGAGTTACAAATATTATTTCTTTGCGGAATATTATTATAAAGCAAGTTACAACTCTGCTTTATGTTTGACAGTAAAACAAGCTTAAAGGGTATCCATTACAAGACAGAGACGTGTTGAAACTTCTAGGCGAACGTGTTAAACTTGATAGAATGAACATTCTAATGAAGATCCTCCATAGGAAAATTGTGAAAGGTCAACCTAGTGCATTCTAATACATTAAAAAAGGTTTCTTATTGCCAATTTCAATGGCACAGGGTTTATAAAAATTACACCAGTAATTTGAAATGGGAAACTGGAATAATAAATTTAAATTAATTAAAATTACATTAGGGGTAAAAAACAATTATAATTATAATATTTCAGTGATATGATGTGACATATTTAAGATAATTGATACACAAATTGATTACAATGCTACTACAGTAGTATGAATGCCTGAAGGAACAAAAGCAACATTGATGCGTTAAAATAATTAATCTCGTGATCTGAAATGACCTTTCGCATGCTTACCATCTGAAAAATGATCTGTCAAGGGAAGCACGCTTTTAATGAGCGGAATCGGTGACTTTTAAACGCGTACTTCGAACAAGCCATTATATTATCTCAACCATCGGCCAATTCCTTTGCTTACAACCGAGAATCATCAGTCATTTCACTATTCGAACGTTCGACTATCGCCTTAGGACAAACCAATATTCATAGAAGGGAAACATATGTTTTTATGAAGCAACGACCATTTATCCATGAATTATTAAAAATGTTGTAATTGCTGATCCTGAATTATTAGTTTGTTTGGTACAAGTTAAGAAACTTCCTCAGTGGAAGAAATGTTCAAACTATTTTTTTTTTTCTAAAAAAATCGTGATGTAAACAAAAAAATCTGTTATATACTTTTTTTTACATATCTTAAACTACACAGTAGTATTTTTGGATTTTCTGTATGCTGCAAAATGGCAAAGCTATGGCTGTCTCATCGTGGCTCTGTTTAAGCACCTTGAGGCAGCTATAGCTCCACCAGCAGAATAATATATAATAATAATTACGTGGCTTGTTAGGTGTCTTCAAATAAAATGCCTTATGACAGATAATTTGTATATTTATAGCAAGTGTACATAACAGTTAATTGACAATATAGGCGCGGACTGATTACAGGTTGTTCGTCCCGTTTCCTTTAATGCATGATACCGGTCGTAGGGAACCGGTATCATCGAGTGACATTTGAACGCAAAATGTCGGTGATAGCGAGGAGTATTTCAAACTATAAAAGGTGTACGGGATAGACAGACGATAGTCAGTAGGATTTTGTACGTGACTGCAAAGGAATCGTCAATCTAGGTAGTGTAAATTTAAACATTACCTAATTATTAATTTAATTTATTGAACTTGGAATGATTTTTCAAAGTCTACTGTAAATTTTTAAAATTGTGATATTTGAATGCCTAACATCTACTGTGTAAGGATGTATTAATTGAATTGAATTTATTTTAAATGAAATTAACTTTTATCTAATTTAATTTAAATGTAAATCTGACTTGTATTTAACTACAATACATATACAACGATTATTTTTCTAACAATAATTTTTTTTTTTCAGGGAGCGGTAATCAGCACCATGTATCTCCACCTAATATTCCTCTTCAACCTCTTAATCATGGTGTTAGCTGCGGACAAGCCGATCGCCATTGTGAGTCAAAGCCAGGACATAAGTCCAGACGGTAGCTTCTCAACAAAATGGGAAAGTGCGAATGGTATCGCCTTCCAAGAGGAAGGTTTCCTTAAAAATCCTGGCCAAAAGGATACGGAAGCAGAAGAAGTTCGAGGTTCAGCTTCCTGGACAGCTCCAGACGGCACGAAACTTAACCTAGATTGGCTAGCGAATGAAAATGGTGCCACATTTCAAGGTGCCCATCTTCCGACACCACCACCGACCCAACCAATACCTGTTCTCATTCAACGAGCATTAGACTGGATAGCCAGTCATCCTTATAAAGAAGAGAGGAATAGATTGTAGTTTCGTAAGACGTTTCATTTTTACCTGGCGAAAGAAGGTGTGAAACATAAAAATAAAAACAGTAAGAAACCGAGGTTGAACTTTTAAACTGAAAATAAATAAATGGAACCATTAAAAGAGGGCTTGGAACCATTAAAATCATTGTACTAATAATTCGAGCCAATAATTGCTTTCATGCGCAAACGTGATCCTCATTGTTATAGCTCTCAATGAACCATTTTATATTCACAAAATTAATGAATATTTTATCCATAAATTTTCATCAAACCTTAGGTATTAAACGTAAAATGGTCTACAATGACTTTACGTCACAAAATCGTATCGAACTTAAAAAAAAAATGGAAAAATATTTAATAATGTTTCTGTAGCCACTCTAATTGTATGTAAATCATTCAGATAGATTCGCTTGTAACCAAAATAGCACACAACAGTATGAAATGGAGGTTAAAGGTTACCATTTTGCGGTGAAGGAGACAGAGAAATATTGCATAAGTGTCAGGGTAAGAAAGTTGCTGGTTGGTAGCAGCTGCATCGTCGTCGACGACGTTGTCCTCGTTCGTTTAGATTACACGCGTCTTTGTACACCCAGAGAAACCATCTGCTCGTGTAAATAACACTCGTACGCGCCTCCTGTTACGCATATTTACAAATTATTTCTGTAAACTGTTTGCGCTACCGTGCCACTGAAAATAAACAGGAACGCGTCAGTGATATTGCGGAAATGGAGTTTTGCTGGAGTGCTATCAAGGTTTTCTACAGATTCTGTGGATTTTATGCTTTCCTAAGTAAAGGATAGGAAGAAAAGGATGAAAAATTATGAACATAGAATTAAAATTATGCAAACAAACGTTGTTTATGTAAGTTATGGTTATCAGAGATCTGTTCGCAGAGTCGGCCACTTGTTTTTTGCTAATATTCATAAAGGAAGGTAACCGAAAAATTATACAGATAATTCAATTCATATTAAAATATATAATTATCGTGAATAAAACGAATGAATACGAAGTCGAATGGTAGTGTTGGTGAAGTAGGAGGAACAACGGCCTACCTTTGTTGGAGGCCTTAGCTCAACTACCAGTTCGGAGAACTTAAAACAATAAAAGTAAAGAAAATTCGCATTATCCATATGTCGTTCACGCCTCAATAAATTATTCTAGCACGATTCTTTGTGTCCACGGTATTGTGATTGATTAACGATGGCAGTCTAAGTCTTCAGCAAGCACGTGCTTAAAACGTTGTTCTACGTCGCGTTGAAACTTTCTATCGTAAATCAACGCGAATCTTAAAGAGCACAGATTCAGTGAGAATGGGTCCCAAGTAACTTTGGAGAGTTACTTTGTTCCAGAGTGCCAATAAAATTTGTATTACACTTTAGAAGAGGGTAGTGAGAAATGATCAGGATTGTTTTCTTAACAATCCACAATGCGCTTAAAGAAATCATAGGAAATCATGTAAATTACTTATAACTATGATGCAAGAATTTTATAATAAATATTCCAAGTAAGGTACTCGAAGACCCATAATTCTACTCCATAATATTTTCTATATTTACATCCCCAAAATTAAAATTATAGAGTTGTTTTTAAAGAAACGAATTAACCAAATTGAATAATTGAAACGAAATCGTAAATAATGACAAGGAAGTATCAACAGAGGACAGAGAAGGCAAGGTAAAGTTTAGGTACATTTGCAAGCAAACTTTGTACATAGTTACTGGTCGCATTCGTAGTTGACCCACTCTGACCTACCCTCTCCTAAAGCGATCGTAAACTCGACTTAATCCAATCTGTATTTATATTTGATCCAGTCAACAGTTTAACTCAAACTGGACAAATTCAGGAGCATTGAATAAATACGGCTTTGACATAAAGTCAAGAATTAAAGTTCTATTATTACTATTAATTATAAAGTATAATGATTTCTTAAAAATTAAAGGAGAACGAACTCTTCAAAGTCTACTTCCGTATAAATTCAAATGAATGGAGAGAAAAAAGATTCTGGGTAGAAGCAAAGAAGAATCAATCAGTCTCCTGGATTGCAACATGTATTTCGTATTCACCGTAACATATACACGGTAACCATTACTTACATTGTATAAAATACATATTTATATATAATACCATATATAGATACAAACGTATACGTATACATATATACACTATCAGCCAAAAGTATAGAACCAGCACGTAAAATGATTTTAATAGATACATATAAATTATATTTAAAAAATTCCATGGTTTATAAAGGATCAAATTAAAAATTTATAATTATAACTTATTTAATCTTATTATTTTTGCAATTTTTAATTATGAATTTAAAATAAATTACAAATTTTTGTAAATTTTGTAATAAAAAGTCCCTTAACCTTAGGGAAATTGACCTAGAGTTAAGAAGTAAATAATTTTCTGGTTCCACACTTATTGCTGGTAGTGTCCTTGAGAGTATACAGTATAATAAATATTTACAACAGATTGAACCAGAGTAGTACACATTTAATGGAGAGACGACGACTCATCATTTTCTTTCAAAAAGGCTCGCTGAGATCACTGACGATGAACGCCCTAGCCTTTAAACCTGATTTTGATCATCTTTACTAGGATTCGCTGCTATCCATTCCAGTGCTTTTTGAATAAGCGGAGGAATTTCGGGCGTGGTTGGTAGATGGGCACCCTGAGGTTGGAAACCATCAGCATTCGCGACGTAAGTCAAAGAAATTTGTTGACCATCGTCACTTGGGTAACTGAAGGCACCCTGTGCGTTCATCGCTTCGTTTTCTTGGCCTGCGTTCTCCACGTGACCTTCTTCTTGGGCTTTGATACCGTTTCCGGCTTCGTAATTCCATTTGTAGGAACCATCTGGGTTGGGTCCTTCTTGGCTTTGGCTAACGATGGGGATCACGTCGTCGGCGGGCGCGGCTGACACGCAGCTTGCCAAGGCGATCACGGCTACCTGCGAATAATGAAAAAATTTAATCATTAAATGGCACTTTTAGGTTTCACATTGTTCCGGCAGTTTACTACGACATGAGATCGTTTAACCCTCGGACGGCCGACAACGGAGAGAGTCACAACTTTAATTTAATTTTGTAAGTAATATTATTTCATTTTTTAAATTTTACACTTCATTTTTCATTTTTTATATTTTTACGTCATTTACCATAAAAATTATAAATACCATTAATATGGAATTATTACTTGAAGCTAATTTAAATATCATTATCAACATTTTTCAATATTTAATATCAATATCTTTCAGACTTATTAAACATTAAAAGTTAACAATTTTATTTTTTACAGAAGAAGTCATTAAGTCATCGTTACATAAACGTTTAATTGGTTTCACTTGTACGTTTAAATTTTTATGTCTGACAATGAGCAGTAAACCAAACACACTACAATTTCCGGGTAAAAATGTCAAGATAGATGGACGTTGAATCTATCGTTGTTGAATCATTCTCGCGTTTGTTTACTTCCTTGATAAACGCGTGTAAATTACCATGAGTAATTACGTGCCAGTAGAATAAGATTTAAACACTGTATGAAATTACTAATGGCTACTGGAATCCGTTTCAAAATTATTCTGTATTATATGTAGTCTGGATATAGAGGTTGCTAGTAGTATTACCCTCTTTGGTCAGACGTAGCAAGCGGTGGAGTAACTGTTATTGGCTCAGACAATGTAATAATCTCATCGTTGCTATAATAATTTTCTAATAATTAAATACAAATTTAACAGTGATTATGATGATTTATTTCTTTTTTTGATAATTTTGTACTTGTTAAGATGATTTTCTAATCTAAGTAGATTGGAAATTAATAATCTTGCGATTGTTATAATTTTCTAAGAACTAAATGAAAATTGAAAAATAAATATAAAAATTGATAACTTCTAAACTGATGACATAATTTTCTAATTAGCAAACTTGTAAGCTATAAAGAATCTATATCCTCTGAGTTTACTGACCAAATCCACATGTATCAAGAGTACCATAACTCCACATCCACCCTACTTACCTCAGTTTTCAAAAAAAGCCACTAACAAATTCCCAAAAACGAACATAAAAAAAAAGGAAGAACAATGAATCACAGCCCACGTATCACAATAAATCCCACGCACAATAAATGTAAGTAATACACTTCCGCTTATTTAAAAAAAAAAAAAGAAACAAAATTGATGAGCCGACTTTTTGCTTCCTTTTAATTAGTCTTACCAGTAACGTGAACATGGTGCAACAGTAATCGCTGATGGGCAAGTGTTTATCAAGCCCCGCAGCGCTGTCGTATATATACCCCCTGAAGGCAACATCGTGTGTTCCTGAAGAGGACGCACATGGGACACGACGACCAAACGAGTGACAAAGATAACCAACAAGATAGAAGAAGAGATAGAATCGGTGAGACCTTAAGAGGGGTTACATGGATCCTCGTTTAACAGCTACTGATGGTTCGTGTGTGTGCATGGAGAAACGTATGGGGACAACAACAACACGTTGTACATCACCCAGAGAGAGACTACCTTCCAGGGGATCAGCATGTCACATTACGTTAAATGTCATCGGGTCCCCGTTAAAGGATTCTTACTCAATTGTCATAATTTCTTTAACGATTCCTTAGTTCCCTTGTACTTTCGGGAATCACGGTGTGGGTCCAGAACTGAATTAATTTTCTAAGGCCTCGGGGCTATCGAACTTTCAAGGGCCACCTTGGTTGGTAAACTTGGTTCAAAAATTGAAAGTAGACCTCGGGCTATAGCTCCCTCCTCTGCCGACCTTCCCTTAATCCGATGTTGTGTAGGTCCCCAAGGGTGTCACGAATGGGTCAAATACCATCATCTTTTATGGTGTATTGATAATGTTTACAGTCGTTTGATTTTCTAGAATTTGTTGTTATTAGTCAACGGATGAGGTAATCTTCTAATTAACAAACGTTTAAATTTTCTTAGTATCCGGTTTGTATTACGATGTTGATAAACATCAAAGGATTTCGAATTCCATGAATAATTTCCCAAGGAGTTTTATCGTGCTTCAGTTGTAAACATTCAACTACATGTTAAACAAGATATCCTGTTAAAGTATCGTTAATTTTCCTTTTAAGAATAACATGGCTGTATTAAGCGTGAAATACGATGATAATTCAGATAGATAGAATTAAATAGTATGGAAGGTGTTATTTAACAATTTACGTTCTTTTAAAATATTATTGTATTTTATTCTCACTTTTTTAAAATTTAAAATTCCTTTGTTTGAACTTTCCTCATATGACTTTCTTTCAATTTAACATCTATAGAAAGTGAAGGCACCTTACAACACTTTCTGTGTATCTTTCTATTCTATGTTAAACATGCCCCAAGCGTCACCATTACCTTGGGCTAAGTATGGCCACGCATGTCTTTAATTACTAATCAATATTACACTATTGGAATGTTAAAGATTTATTATCATTAACCATTAATCGGTTGCATATCAATTACGATATTTTTACATACAAGTCACTTTTGCATTTATTATACATATAGAAATCTTTATCCTGTTCCATCATTTCCATTTAGAATTTATGGTTGATTAAATACGTCTATGATGGAAAATTTCGAATCTTTCATATTAAATGTTTATTTTCTACAGATCACATGTTTATATGAAAATATCCATTAACTTTTAAATACCACGATAAAGTCACATTTAAATTGAAGTATAATTTTTCTATGGTGGTGTAAAATGGGATAATTAATTTTTGTTGATTCATTTATTTTATCATCAATATTTTCTTCAGATATTCAATCATGAGTATTAAATTCAGGGTAGGTGTCATTATCATTAATGACCTAACAGCATTCGACGAGTACGCCATTCTTTGCCCGATTCGACACATTTCCACTTCTAAGGAAAAAAGACCTTTCATCTTCCTTATAGAACCGCTGAACCATACAGGTAATAAATCATTGGGTGATCGTTCAGATCATCCAAATGACGATGAGTTATATACCAGAAGACGGCATTCTTTTATGGAAAATACAAGAAATACGATAGGCTGCAATAAATTTTCTTTTTCTTAAGAGTGTCAAGTTCTCCGAGGCGACAGTCGCGACTGTGCGTGATTCATTAAAGCACGTCATCGATAACTATGAACGGTCATTAGCTACTGTTTAAATACATTTTTTTAAATCACCTTACCGCATTCACGGTGGCTCGATTCAACCCCATAAAATAGGACACATCGAAAAGATGTTACCTAGTTCCTTACTTTCACGAGTGATATTTATTAGCTGGTCTTTTTTTGCGTGCATTGGTCATATTACGTAACCAGCTAATTAAATATCCAAACAGACTTTCCCCTATATTTGCCACACCGTTATCCGACATCTGGCGAACCGGTGACTATTTGTTCGCCATCTTAACGTGTCAATTAGGGAATCCTGAGCACTCGATGATTTACGAGTTTCTACGATCTGTGAGATTGGACCTGATTGTAACGATGATTGTAATTCCAGGTGTTTTTGGAACATTATTTATTTGTTAATCAATCGTAGGATAAACTTGAATTGTGAATATAAAATATAGAGGACTTGTTATTAAATCAATACCAAAGCAAACACAAAGCCATCGATGCAAAGGATCCTCCGTGAATTTTGCCCACCCTAACGAAGCGCGGAAATTTTTTTTTGTTTTTAATTGGTGATTAAACATGTTCGATGGTCTCTCGTTATTCCATTGTGACAAAGGCTGTCTGTTCCTATGTATTTTCCTTTCGACCATTGTCAGAGTCTATTTTGAATGAAAAAAAGAAACACTCTCCAAAATCAATATTAATGTTGAAATTGCATTTCTGTTTTCTTTCCTTAATTACTTAATTTGTTGGCCAAAAAAATGGCTCAGGAGTGAAAGTGGGTCAATGATTTGGGTAAACTCATAAAATGAAAAATTTTGTATTTAGCAACACGTGTCATGTTAGGAATATCAATAATGCAATCAGCGCGTAGGTTGGTAACGATTGCGATTATCGATTATGGATCGCGTTGACCATCTTCATGTTCGTTAATAAGCCCGCAAGTATATTGTATTGTTCATAAAAATTGAAAATGGCAATTGTTATTGTATTCTTAATTCAATATAGAATTATAATATTTTTGTCACTTCTATAGGACAAAAATTTGACACTACTACCAAGGAAGACACTAGATTTGAGTAGTTACAATGATGCAATGTATATTTGATCACTTTATACGTGTTACATGTTCCCTCGAAAGACAAGGTAATGCTCGAACTGTTGCATCAGTGAAGTATTATACGTTTACATGCATGTTCGTGTAACCTTTCGATGTACCCTCGTCTCTTAAATTTTCATCCTACATTTAGTAAATATTTGCGTAATTTCGATGATGCGTATGGGTCGTAAAAAGAAATGACTAAAATACTCATTAGGTAATGTAATATCAACATACCGATGACTGATGGAAAATGAAACTGATGATGGTATAGTCAATTTTAGAATTATTTCATAACTTCGTTTTGAGAAAGTGGACATTCAAAATAGGATGTGCTGAAATAGAATAATTGAAAATAAAATATTCTACAGTAGGACGTCTGAAAGTATGACGGCCCAAAATACACCATCGATAGAAGGATCATCCCGACGCGACGCGACACCATCAACTCGTGATTCTCCATGCAGAAACTGTGTTATGTTCGAAAGTTCTGAAGGGAAGATCATCGAGGAAATTTGAAATATCATATGGCAAGGTAATGCGTTTCCAACGGCCTTATAAGTACGATACGCGACACGGTTGTTGCAATAGAGGTTTTATATTTACAGAAAGGTTACATCCTGAAGAATGCGTGCTTGAATGAAAGCCCCACGAATGCGGACCGATAGAATCAGAGAGGGAGTGGGTAAGAAGACATGGTATAAAACAAAGATACATTCTTCAAGATTAAAACAAGAAAGAAGAAGATGAAGGATCAATAAGAGGTAAAAGATGAATTAGAATGTACGTTTTAAATATGTGAATATGGGGGAGGAGGAGGAACTGCAAATTCTCATAATTTTTAAAACCAAATTCAAAATATTTTTCATTTCGTAATTATTATTTTTGTCTCTTTAATTTCAAGCACCCTTAAGTATTGATTTATCACCTATAATTACTATAATCATAATTTGAAGTCTTCCTTCGAAAGGAAATAATAATAAATAATGGCACTTTTTTTTTCTTTGAAGAGAAAAGTAAAATTGAATTTGGCGTGTATATTACGTCTTCTCTAGCCTGCGGGTAGGCGGTCTCTTAGAATGCCTGTGGTATACGCTTATATGTCAAGGTCGTCTTCATACCCATCATTTCTTTTACGATTTATTTGCAGTATGCTGGTTACCATCTTCGTCTCTATTTCTGCACGTAAAAATAACTCAACAGGCAAATCATTTTACTGTAAACTTTTGATGCAATAATTATTTAATCCTACTTGCGTTATCGAAGTATTTTAAATTTAATGTCTCATTTAAATTCTTGCTATTTTCCTTTTCCTTATTTTAATTAGTTTATTTTGAATTGTTTTAATACGAAAAAGGGAGGATTCTTTTAATCGTTAGGGGATGATTTCATCACTTTAGAAGAAATCCCTCCTTATGCAATTGAATAATTTCACTAAAATCCAAATCTTCTATTTCACCAGTTCTGTGACCTCTTCTTGTCAATGGAATCCGCGCGTATCGTGACAAGGAAGAGATCGCAAGGATACGAACAACCAAACGGAGAAAGATGAGACTTTCTCCGTGACTATGTTGTTACCAGTCGCTTGATACTCGCAATTAGATCTACTGGTCTAGTTGCGGCTTTCGCAATATCCAAGTTGTTGCTCGACCTTTGGGATTATCCTGTCTGTGCAATGATGCGACCCCTGTATGCAGTGGGTGATTCCCTAACCACGAAGATGGTCGTGCAGACTCTTCAACTTCTTCTTCAAGATCTATTTAGTGATACTCGTTCAGCATAACTTTTATGACTTCGTGACTTTCTACTTCCTTGAAATAGAATTTTATCATTGCTGAAGAAATTGAAAGGTGAATTATTTTTTATGGATCATATTTCATGGATTTATTTCGTCGGTACCCGTGACCAATGGAAATTCCGTTATTTCCAAAATACCATTCAATAAAAATTTTCATTACTAATTAAGGGGAAAAATTTCTCTAACGGTATGGAGGTTGTAAATTACGAAGGTCTAGGAGTTTTATGGATACTCTTCTAATTGTAAGTCATCACGTTTCTATGAAAGTGACGAGAAAATAAAATTTTCTCTTCTTTTATTTGTCCACGAGTCTTTGAAATATTGTGTCGTAACGCGTATGACGTAACCGAAGGTGTGTAGAAAACTATTGTAATGTTATGCAATAAAGCAAATAATGCGGAGGTCTGAAAGTCAGACGCCATTGAACAAACACTTGCTACTCGTGCCTCGAGACCGGATAATGCTTCTTCGGTTTGCTGTATGTAGGATCATTTTGGCCCTCTAAAAAATATACATACTTTAGTATGTTTCTTAAGCTATATGAAAATATTTTTAGATTTTTATTAAAAGTAAAACAAAAAAACCATTATTTAGATTCAAAGTGCTGTAACCTCTTAATTACCATCTTAATAAGTAACACGCGACATTTGTAGAACTCGTCTCTTTTCCCTGACAGGTTATGCATCACTGTCATTGCATTTGTAATAATGTCAGTCAATGGTTAATGACGTCATCAGTCTCGTACGCTGAACACGTTCTTATGGGATGTAACCATCCGTCTCGCCCTTGGACCCTGTGTTTCCTTCATTTTTTCTGGGTGTAACCGAAGTACAGTCCTTAAAGAAATAGTCATTCACTCAAAACTTCTTATGATATAAACTTAGGTAGGAAGATAATGCAAACAAATTGAATGTACAATATGTTAAAAATTTATTTTGCAATTTCAGGTGTTACCAGTATCGCCATTTCATCACTATACATCATTTCATCTTAAAATTACACAATTTACACTTAAAATACACAGGGTGTCGCGATGGGTTTTTAAGACCCATCGTCGCGTCAATGAAGTCTTATTTCTATACCGGATTATTAAATGATCAGAGAGCTTGGTCTTGTTCCGGGTGAGCAGCGATGTATTCCAAAGCTTTCAAGATCCCAGCTGGGATGGGAGGAGGGGTTGGAAGATGTTCGCCCTTTGGCTGGAAGCCATTTTCGTCCGCTACGTAACTCAGGGATACCGGAGTTCCGTCAGCAGCAGGGTAACTGTAGGATCCTTCGACAACCACCACCGAGTTCGTTTCGTTCAGCTGTTTCGGTTGACCTTGTTCCGCTACCTTGATGCCGTTTGCAGACTCGTAGCTGAAGATGTACGAACCATCTGGGTTGGGACCATCGGCGGTGTAGGCGACGATGGCCACCGGTGTGGTATTCTCCACAGGTGCGGACAAAGATGATACCGCGAGGGAGGCGAAGAGGACACAGATCTAGGAAAGAAAATTTTCGTACTGTTATATAGCAAAGATGAAAGCAAAGAAAAAGGATTATATGAAACTTGAGTTTCGCTAATTGGTCATTAATTACTCTAATGAAATTTAAATTTAAAGATTGACTACTTGTGTGCCTAATAATTAAAGTTTAATTTTCACTGCGCTAATTAGTGTGTTAACACTGATTATTAACAATGCAATCTGTTCATTTTCATTCTGCTACTTTATGCCATTATCACTATAATATCAAAGATATTTAAAGTTAGTCTCTCTCTTAATTTCATTAATTATTTAATTAACACTAATGACTCCAATGACAATGAATGTGTTAATGAAATATTTTTCACCGAATCGCGAAACTCACCAAAGTGTTCATGATGATCAGAGTGGTTTTCAGGTAGTAAAGACCAAGTCTAACGGACCCGTTTATATATCTCAGCCGAAACCTTGCCAGGTGCGAGGACCTCTCTCTCATTGATAGATTTCTGGCTCAAGCTTAGACACTGGCAAACATTACGAAATTCCTTTTTTTCTTCTTTTTTTAGAGAGGGTCAAATAGAGGGGCAAGCTGGAAGAGTGAGCACAGTAGGTATACAGAAACGCCACGTCTCGTCAACGTACAACATCGTGTCCCTGTGACACACGTTCCTGAAGATTCTGGGAAAAAAGAGACGCATTTGCATCATCTTGAAAATCTGCGCTCGAAGAAAGTTCCTGACCACCTTATTACGTGAGTATAATTCAAATGTTTTCCCTAAAATGGTTGTACTGACGATGACCCCTTGTTAACAGTCAACCCTGTCAAAATGACAAACGATTTCATATTTTAAATAATTTTGTGAAAACTTAAGTTGGATTTTGTACAGGTAAAGAATTCCTTTTTCTGTCGTTTATTCGCTTATTTTTAGTTAAAAAATTTATTATTTATTACGACTATAATAAACAACAATGAAGCTACTCAGAAGTTTCAAATTAATTTAAATTAAAAATTAAAATATTAATTCTTATATCCAGTATCATACATATCAATTAACTATGTATGTACAGATGAAATAAACATATTATCGTTCCTCAAATGATTATGCATTTAATAATGATAATCTTTTGTATTATAATTTTTCAAATGCCATTCTTTCAAGGTGCATATATGCACGTAAGGTGAATCCACGAAAGGTCTCACCAAATATGGAATTCATTTTCAATGCTTTCATTGACCCGGTGATCCCTTTGGGCAAATTTTCGTGTTTCACGTGTTTTATAAATTCAGCCGTGTAACAAATCTGTTGAACCTTGGGTTACAGCACGCGAACCGAATATGTAAGCTTATCTATCTTCACGGTGCAAGAGGCTGACTGCCAAAAAAGTTCTTCCTTTGGGCAATTGATGCACCATAAATAGTTTTCCATGATACTTTTAAATCATCAAATCAGGTCGGGACTTTGTATATTTCAAAATCATCCACTCTATATGCAGCAACTTAACCCTCGGATGGCGGACCATGAAGAAAGCTACAATTTTAATTTAATTTTGTATTTTCATTTTCCAACCTTTATATGATTCTTTTAAAATTATTCTGTTAATATATGAAACCCTTTCGTTTCAAAATTATCAATTTAAATTTAAACTAACATTCTTGTATACATTTTGTAAGTTTGAAATTTATGATGTCAGTCTAGCTGCTAAAAGCGTTAATTCGACTGTGTTCCTATATAAACAAGAGTAACATCTTTCATTTACTCTGCAAATATCATGTTTAAACGGTGAAACTTCATTTCTCTTTCGCAATTATTCCTATGTATCTCGGTAGCAGTGCATGTCGTAGTTCAGTAATTTGGCAATAAATCTATTCGCCTGGGAATGTCCTCATGACCCGGGGGCCATAAGCTTTTTTTTCTTAAGGTTATGAGAAAACGAAAGTGTTTGGGAACACGACAGACGATGTTTGAAGACATCAAAATTTGGCAACAGGTCATCGTCAGTCACCTGACATTTAAACCTTCGTCACTTCTTGATTGATGAAATTATCAGTGCAAGATATAATTTTCGTTTTTTGGAGGGAGAGAATGTTGAGAATTTCTTGAGAAATATCCTTTTGAGTCATCTACCTGTTTCTCCTGATAATTATTCGTCGATCATCGTTTTTCTGTCGGTAAAATAGAATGCTGGATCGTAAATCGAATGGTGGGTTGCGCATAGTAAGGGGACATAGATAACTGATTTGAACGATGATAATTTGATTGCTGTAATAATGATTTTATTATGAAGATAAAAATATAATTAATCATTTCATCATCATCAAATATATTGAGAAAGTGAAAAATGTATATATATTTTAACGTAAACCTTCTATTTAAATTATAGTTTAAAGTCTTAAAATATTTTCTTGTTTATTCCTTTATTACAAAATTAAAAAATTATCTTATTTTATTACGTTAACGTTCCAAGTTGTATGATTATATCAGAGCTTTTCAAAATGAAATGTACCAGTGAAAATTGATAAGAGCATCAGTATGGAATACGATTTCTCATGGTCGTTAAGACTCGATAAAAGGCTGGAATCTTGAACGAAGGTGAAGCTGTGAAGTGCAAGTAATAAATTATTATAACCCGTTGGAAGAGACTCCTTAATCGTTGGCTACGTAACTTTCGTTGAACCAACTAAAGGGAGTTCGGCTCATCCACCTTGTGAAAGTAAAAAGTATTCTATAGCAGGGTTTCCCAAACTGTATTTTATAAGTTGAGAAAAAAATATTTTAGAAAGTGTTAGATGAATCATTCTAGGAAAGATAAAAACCATTGATGGTTGGTATAATTAGAAGAAAAGAAAGAATAAAAAAATTCTAAGTAGCATTAGTTTTATATTAAAATCCAGAGATATTATATTGACAATTATATTGATTTTAAAGGATGGCAAATGAAAAATTTTAATTAGAAATTAAAACAATCATGCGACAAAATTTGATAACATAAAAGTATTGCAAAATAGTACTTATGATATATCAATTTAAAGCTTGAAAGTTAATAAAAAAGACTGTATGAAGCTTTCTGTAACGTATGAAGTTAAAGTTTGGGAAACGCTGATGTAGTATTCAGGTAAGGGAGATGACCTCTACTGCATCCTCTTCCATCGCGTGTTGGGACCTACTTCAAACCTGTATACCGGAAAGAATGGAAATATAAAAGCCTAAAGGTATTTATTGAGACAATTTATTGAGACCCTATAAATTGTCTCAATAATGACATCTGCATTTATTAATAATCCCTGGACATTCATGTTCTCAACTGTATTTTAATAATTCAGTAATTTGTTCCTATAAATCCTCCTGCCAAAAAAAATTTTTCCTGGTAATTACACAAAGAGATAAGTGTAATTACTTTCACTTTGGTGTATTGTAATTAATTGCGATATAATAGTTAAACAGTGGCAACCATTAATGCGTGGTATTTAATAATTAGAAATTAATACTTCCATTTAATTTTTAATTATCAAATGACAGAAAATAATATAACACCACTAATTTCTAACATTCATTTTTACCAATTTGTTATATTATTCAATTATATAGTTATCCGTCCTCAAAACGAATCGAAAAGATTAGAAAACGTTCATTAGAATCAACGTGTTAGGCATCATTAACAAACTGGGAAGTATAAATCATGGTACCTTTCACTGGTCGTCCTCAAAGGTTACAAATGCTTGGCGTTAATTAAAAATGAACGACAAAGTTCTGAAAATATCAATGATGAACGTATGTACTTGAACCTTTGGGCTTGATGAAGTACTTATTTATTTTTCATTACGTAATATCATCTGATTACTATCTTAATTTCATGAAATCTAACGTTATGTAGATTTCGTCCTTCTACTTTTCTATTCGTGTCAAAATGTTTTTTAATTATCATAAAGTTTGATCATAAAGTGTTATCGCGGGAATCATTAATGATGGGGTAATAAATGTTTTCATGGTTTCGAAGTTTAAAATTTTTTTTCAGGATTACACAGTGATTTCGTAGATATCTATATTTCTTTTGTATATACATATAATTTTAATGATAGGAAATTACTGCTTTTTAAATGATGAGGACAATGTTTCTCAGATACTTATTAACCTTGAAAATAACCTTGGAATATATGGTGGCTTTTAATTAGCTGTTTAGACTATTAATTATGTGTTTATTGCAAAATTATTCTAATTTTATTCTATTTATTGCTATTTTATAAAATATTCGTCTCTAAACACTTAATTTGAAATGTTATTAAATTTTATTTGATTCAAACAAAATAATATAGTACTGTTTTTTAAGAAACACATTGAATAGGAAGTTGAAGAAATGGAAAAGCAATGGAGATACAAAATTTATATTTAACACGTATCACGAATTTTAAGTTTTATTCACCATGTACCACGTCGAAATTAAAAGTCCAATAATTTGTAAATCCTTAAGGTCCTGTATGTAGCCTTAAAAAATATTGAATTGCAGTTTTGTTATATAACGTTACGCAAGTAAAATGTTCCTGCACCTGTAGGATCGTATTATAAATAAGGATGCGTTTCAGTACTGACATATTTATTGCAATCTGCTTTACTTTTACTAATTACTCATAATAATTAGTCTCCAGTCACACCCTGAACAAAATTTCTCTTTTAAGTCTCAGATACTGATAATGGATTAATATGAAATTTGTTATTAATATAATATTAATAGAAAATTAAAATGCAAAAAATTCTGTTATACTAATTACACATTAAGAATTCCAAGTCGTCCATGTAACTTGTTTAAACAAAAGAAATATTGCCAGAAATGCAAGTTATGACCTCAACTTTCTGATCCTCCCACGCCTACATTGTCAACCGGAATTGTTTGAAAAATTTGAAGGTGTTCTCTTTCACAGAGTGGGAGAGTAAGGGGATGGAGGTGGGGTTAAAAAAGGCAGTACCTTGCCAGAAATTCGCCGAATCTTCAGCTGATGGAGGTATAAAGAGATCCTGAGCACCATGGTAGAATCAGTGCAACGTGAAACTCTTGTGAAAGAACCACCAGAAAAGCAGCATAAAAAATCAACATGTACCAATTGGTGAGTTTGAGAACAATATTTGTTTTTTTTTGTTTTTTTAATATGTACCCCTCTTCATAGTTCAACATTTCAAATTATTCACAAAAAATAATACAATTATTCAATAAACAATTAGGACAAATAAAATAAAGAACATAGAAAATGTAGTTATGTCTGTGAATAGTAGAAATAAAAATTTATGATCTAAGAATAAGGATCCGGAACGAGGATACTTTCGAAAATTTCCAGGAAACTACAAAGATAAATATCTACAGCGATTTTTTCCTCATGGAATTTTTTGTTTGAACGAAATGCTTTGGAATTTTGTGAGCCGTGCAAAAAATGGTATATTCAACTCTTTCGTTTTATGATTTCAATGGTCTAACAATAAGTAAAAGAGAACGAATACAAAATTATATTATATTTTTCATCATTTATTTATTTATTTTTCTATTTATTTTCCAATTGCATTATTTGCAACAGAGTCTTCTTAAACACAATACAGTTTACTACTTTTTGAATTTTCAAAATTTGAAAGGTAACAGTATCCGAATGATTTCAGGCAATCGTACTGGCCTTCATAGCCTTGGCAGCGGGTGCACCGTTGACCCAAACGTACACCACACCGATACCGATCCTCAGGCAAACGGCAGTCGGCCCGAATCCCGACGGAAGTTACAGTTACAGCTACGAAACGGGAAATGGCATCCAAGCACAAGAGGTCGGCTACCTTAACTACGCGGGCACCCAAGCGGAGGCTCGAGAAGCTCAGGGTAGCTACAGCTACACCGCGCCAAATGGGGAAATTGTTCAAGTGACCTACGTGGCTAACGAGAATGGATTCCAACCCCAAGGTAGCCACATCCCTCCCATACCACCCCAGATTCTCAAGGCTCTCGAATACATTGCCGCTCATCCTGAAGAGAACAATATCGGTGCTCAATGAGACCAGACGGATAGATCTACTGGGGGCGTCTTGCAAGAAGATACAAGGGTAAAGAGGGATACACACTGGGAGGCTGTTTAGTTTTAGGATGAATTCATAGCGGAGAGAAGTAGATTGCTCAGGTCCCGGCAAGGTGTACTGGTCCCAACTACTTGCCCAATGGAAACTCGACTTAAAAAGGCACTCATATTATTGTTTTATTGGGCCTAAGACTGCATTCACAATGGGCAAATATCCTATACCAAGTCTATATATGTATGTAGGTACGTTTCTGTACTGATATATTTATTGCAATCTGCTTTACTTTTACGAGACGAGTCAGTGTATGTTTACAAATTCACGCGTTCGACGCAGGATCGAAGCTCAGTTGTTTCCAGTTCTTCAAACGGTTCGGTCGAGATCTGTGTACTGTGAGTCGGGCTTGCTTCGAGCACGTGAATTTCTACGCATTTACTGTCTCGTCTCGTTGAAGGACTATAGGGAGCAAAGGAGATAGTTTGCTCGGGCAACTTTTTCCTTTCCTTAGGGGCAAGAGTCCCTGGGGAGGATGATACTCGGGGGCAAGCACAGCCTGCCTGGTTAGTCTTTCCCTCTTCCCTTATATAATAGAATAATATATTTTCTATAAAATAGTTAGCATTACCTCATATGTCGATAAGTAAATACATCATTTGATTAAACCAATGTTTATTTTATTAAAAATAACCGTCTCTAATTATGAAAGACATGGTTAGTTTAGAACAAAACATGAAAAGATTGTTATTATACTTTTAAAGCAAATACAGCCATGAATTAATTTCTAATATAGTGATAGTTATATTTATTTTACATAATAATTTTATATAACAAATTTCATACGAGAAGAAACAGAAAATATAAATGTTCTAATTATGTTTTCTACAACCGAAATATCGTTTATTTAACTAACTAAATGTCATCGACATAATGATCATTCATACTGGAATTTATGTGAATTTCACAGCTAAGCGAGACCAATGTGATTGAAAGTCAGTGATCAACAAAAAAATCAGTGACTTCATCAAATACCACGTGAGTAATAAATATTTCACATAAATGTCCATATTTTCATTTATTTTCCATTACTGATATCAGTTCTCGTGTAATATACACCGCATAAAAACATTTTTTTGCACATGAAAACATTTACGATTGATGATATGGAAAATAAAAAAATAAAAAAACAGAGAAATATTTTGTATTTTGCAAAATTTATGTACGATGAAAATATTTCTACTTTCCTCTAATCACAGAATTACATAAGGAATTGATTGAACAGAAAATCATTACAATTTTTATTATAATAATTTCCTTCACAGGTTTATTCATGAGATCACAATATGTCGATTACGAACCTACTAACGATTTACTGTTCTATGTAAATGTGGTTGAAATTGGGCAATTAAATTTTAAGTGATATTTAACCCTTTCATAAAATTTTCATGTTATATGAATTATAAATAATAAGAAAATTTTTTTATTTATTTTAGTTCTTTTACATTATTTTTTTAAACTTTCTAGCTTTCTATATTTCTCTGAAGGGGTTAATTCTTTCATGGATATTCAAATTTTTAAACAAAAGTCTTTTGCATATTTATAGAAATATTGCACGCTTTAATTATAATCAAAATTCGAGACACAACCACTTCATTTTTCGATAAAAATCCTTACAAAATTAAAATAATATTAATAATACTTTTAATTTTCTTTTTCTTTTCATAGCTATTCAATTATATTAAGACGTTCACAGTTCTGATGACTCACAATACAATCACAAGAATCCAGAATTAGAAATTATACAGAGTGTATCAAAACTAATGTACAATTCAAAAATTATATAGATACTAAATTCCCAATTATTTACATAAAGAATTTGCCTGATACATATTAAAGGAATTTCTTAAATTTATTTTAACATAGAGAATTAGCAATTTATAAATTGGACATTATTTTTGGGACACCCTGTATACACTTAATGTTGTTTATATGCCAACAATAATTTAAATCAATATTATAATTAATTCACACTTTGATAGCGATTGTCACTAATCATGACTTTGTAATTTAGAAAACTGACAATTATTAATAGTAATTTAGATTCTTAAGCAGATCTACCTCTATGTGAGTCGAGGCTGCATTTTCGTTTCATTGTTAAACTGTGAACGTATTAAATTTTAACATGTGCCACCAGTGAGCCCACGCTGCTCCAATTTCAATAAAATGAAAAAAGATCCTAAAATCAAATTTCAATTCTCATTATCAATGATTAAATCAGTTTCGTTGATTAGGTCGTAACGATTTGTACTGCCGATTATTATTAACAGGAACAGCGTTTTGTTGACTGGGCGAATCTTTGGCAGCTTCTTCCGGTTCCGGCGTTGATGGTTGTTTAGCAATCCACTCGAGTGCCCTTTGAATGGCTGGTGGTATCGGTGGAGGTGTTGGTATATGAGTACCAGCTACTTGAGCACCAAACTCATCAGCCGTCCAACTGATGGCTATTGGTGTACCATCTGGAGCATTGTATTGCACTGATCCTTGGATCAACTGTGTTTCCGATGGTGTGCCAGCATACTTCCGGCTGCCGATTTCTTTTTGTACTATACCACCCTCTGTTTCGTAAGTGAAGGAATAGTGTCCGCGATTGTCACCTAGATCTCTATTCTCGTTTACGATTTTCTCCGGCTGCCGGAAGTACTCCTGGCAGGAAGCTGATGCTACCAGAGCGAGGAGAACCTGGAAATTGATGGTAGAATTAGAATTAGAAAATTTATGCTGATTTTGATATGCTGAGTGGGTTATAAGTGGTCTTGGTGGATTGAGGATATGAACTTTTTATCAATGTTCTCAATATAAAATTGTTGATCGTTAGATAACCATCTCACTTGTGTAACCCACTCTGACAATTGGGCAGTTCGAATTAAAAAATATTTGGGAAAAGTTTATTTTATTACTCAAAATGGTATCTTTTAATTGGAGAAACTCCGCATTGTAAAATCTAAATTTACCAGAACATTTAATTCAAAATTAAAATGTAATTAGAGACTGTATACCAATCCTTTAATCTTTATCATGTTCGTCCTGTAAATCTATTGAGATACCTTTCCCCGTAAAAGGTCAGGGCAAGACGAATGTCTTAGTAGGTAGGTCACAATACTCAGTACGATTGAAAGGAGTAAAAGGGACGAAACTCTCCTCCAACGTAGCTACACGACATCCATACAAATTTATTGTGACTTATTTGAAAGAATATTTATTTATTTATTACCTTTCACCGTCGAATAGCGGACCACGGAGAGAGGCACAATTTTAATGTAATTATGTATTTCATATTGTTTTTATTTTTAAAACTTTACACTGTTCCTTTAAAAATGATTCTTTCAATATATGAAACTCTTTCATTTAAAAATTATGCATTTAACTATAAATTGAAGTCTAACAATAAGAAATATAAAATTTTTATTTTCAGAAAATATAAAAACCATGGAGAACTAATTAAATAATCCAAGACCACCGTACTTTCTTCCAAGACATCTGTTCCTTAATTCTATACAAATAATTTCAAATGGCCTCATATAAAAATTGAACATCTAAAAATTTTAATTGAACTGAAGAAAAGATTGTTAGATATTCTAAATTAACCATAACGAAATGAAAGGACGAAAATGGAAGCATACATATAAAAATATTGGAATGACCCAATAGGAGATATTGGATATTCATAATGGACAGAAAGAAAGTGGAACGCGTCGCAAATCAAAAGAAGACACTTACCAGGGTACGCATGGTTGTACACGTGCAACAATGCTCACAACGATCTCCTTCGTGAAAGTCCTGTATGTTGAAAATGAAAGATAATTTTCAGCGTCAGATAAAATGGACACGGTCACATGTGGCTGGTTCGTCCAGATGGTTGCCGTTGGGATGTTCGTGAGCAACTCTTGGACGGTTGGGGGCACAGCCGACCTTTATACCGGCGACCAGTTGCCACTCTTTACATAACCCGAGAAAGTTTATTTCGGGATAAGTCCGTTCTCCCTCTAGATCGATTCTAACCACGAACGAACCCTTTAAATTGAAACAAAAAGAAAACTTCGCATAATAATGCCATATAGATAGAAATCACATAACATGGGTTTTTGATGGTAATTTCAAGGAAATCATTGGATGATGGTGGTTCTCGTCTCTTCTGGAAATTCATTGCGTAAGTATTCACTTGCGTAATTATCCTGATGACTTCTTCTTTTTTTTTTTTTTCGGTGAATAAGGAACAATGAGAGTAACGATCATGATTGTGGCATCGTTAGGTGAACGTTCGATAAATGGAGAAATTTTTGTGGAATATAGTAATGGATTCGATATCGACGAATGACAGTCATCTATTTTGTAATTCAAATTGATTATTTATCATTGACCCTGTTTTTTGAAAAGAGATAGTTCATTAGTGTTTCTGCCCTGGGAAGAAAGTGAAATATAATAATTACTAATTTATATTTTTGTAATCTTGGTCTCAATTCTATAAGTATAACTCAATTTATTATATTATGTAATTTTTGCTTTATTCGAAGAAGTGAAATTCTCCTTTCTTTTTTACTAATTTATTTATTGTATCGTAATTTATAATATATTCAGGAGACGTCGAAGATCTCTGATAAAAATCCAATCCAATACATTCAAAAATGCTTCACAAACGTTCACGTAGGTGTTAATGTCAAATGCAAACGAACCTTCAAGCTCTACCATGAGAACAACTTATATCCTCGAGTAATTACGGTTATGCTTGAACGTACATACATACATACATCCACGTTTACCGCAAATGAAGCAATAGATAAAATTTCTCTATGTTGTAATACAACCTTGAAAAATATTGTACTTATCAATACTGTATCATTTCTACCTCTTATAAAATAAAACCAACCAAAAGCAATGTTTTGATCTTTACAGAAAATTTTCAAATTCATTAAAAGTCTGCACATACAGAAAATGCAAGAGAAGTTTGATTAAAAATCCTGAAGTGCAAATCTGAACATTCAATTTCTTCTTGGGAAACAGATAACCGTAGTTCGTTTTAACGTAGTAGAAAACTTAAATCTCGGAACGAAATCGCTTAGTTGGTCGTAGGAACGAGCTGAGCACAGTTTCGTGAGTTGCAAGTAAGCAAGAAAGGTTACGCTGAAACGTACCTGTTATTTATCAGGGGATAATGACATCGACAACTTGAACGCCCGTTACTTCCATGGGAATTGCACTCCATAGACACTTATCGTTAGTCCTTGGCCTAGTGATTTCAACAGAGTATACCATGCACCACAATTTGCATTTAGATAATTATTATTCGATTTGATTTTTTGAAACCAAAAAAAAAACGTGTGCATGCATATATAAAGTAAATATCCGATATAACATTGACCTTATTATATTTTGTTAAATATTATTGCGTCAATAAGAACCATAAAATGGAACCGGTTCTATAACCAGATTTATCTGAATTTTACGATCCAACTGACCTTACTTCATTTAATCAAACATATTACAAGATACATAACTTATTTCAGTATTTACGATCCAATGTTTTATTGATATTAGAAATTAAACAGGAAAACTGTATTACAAGCAATAATTGATAAACATTTCATTACAACAATGTAATAAATATGTCAATGATATTGTTTGGTTTTATACATAGACAGATAGTTGGGTAAATAAAAGTTATTAGAAACATTTTTAATCTTTAATATTCTTTCGTTAGACTTTTGCATAACAAATTTTATCAGAAATATTTTTGATTTTTGAATTTTATTAATTAGATTTGTTATTAAGTTTTGTAGAAGGATTTTTGTTCAATCAATAATTTTCATTACAAATTTAAAAAAATTATTAAATTGGATTTATTATATCATTTATGAAATGCAGCAGTGATCACCTGTGCATATGCAACCCATTCTACTTCAGCGTCATTTCTTTGGCACGATAGTAACATTAACTCAAACGAGACAAGTTCCAATGTAATTAACTATAGAAATTATTATCCGTGTAATTATTGTTTGCACGTGGCAAAAGAATTTATTTTATTGAAAGAAAATTACAATACGATGCAATTTAACTGCATCTATGTTGCACAATAACAGTTTGCCTATATTAAGGAACGTTTCACAATGATGCACAATAAGCCTGTAATCATGTAAAATATTTTATTTCGAAGGGGAAAACGTTATTTATAATAAAACACATTATTTCATAAAACATATTGTAATTGTTTTACTTAACAGGGTGTATCAATACATCATATGAACTACATTATTTAGACTACAATCATATAAAAAAGCAAACTATATATATATATTATTATACATAATATACAACGGGCAGCAGACTGTACATACTGTACATATAAATAAATAAATAGCTTTCATAAAACATTTCTCCTCCCATCACACTCGACGACGCATCAGCTACTGAAAAAGATTTTGCGAAATGTCGATCGATATCTCTAATGGATCACGTGTCCCTCCGGAAACGACCGAAGCGCTCCGAATACGTCTCGCTAGATCTCGAGTCCCAATCACTAGTCTACGCACCGACCACCAGAGGTCAGAGTGAAGTGAAGACTCGTTCGGTACACATGTGTTTGTGCGCGATCTGACACGGTTGCTGACGCACAATCGGTGTACACAACGCCGTCGTGACGCGACGTCGACGTATCTCGATCGCTCCGTTACTATTTTTTCTTACAAAGAATTTTTTAAACTAAAATTTTATCAAATCAGAGAACGTCCGAACTTCCACGTGGACGGTTGCGTGTCCGATGTTATCAGATCTCCGTGCATCGATGGGTCACAGTGACTCCTTTGGAATGCAATCGATCCGGTTAAGGCCCTCATCGATCTGACAGGTAGATGATTATAAGTTAAATGAATTTAATTTTCTCCTCGATCACACTATTTACCGCGTTTAGTCGTTTTTGAATGAATCGTCGCGTCGGAACCAATGTTTTCATTCAGCTCGTACACCGAAAGAATCATCAGTCATCGCAACGTGTGTTCCATTAGCGGAATCTCGGTCGTGCAACGTCTTATCTCTGTGCATTGTTTTGTGTTATTAAATGGTCCATCCACGAAGATAAGATTAATTTCGCGGTTGTACGACGAGTTTACGAAAGTTTATCCGTGGTAATAAATTATCGCACGCGATGATAATTCATTCACTTTGGTACAGATTAGAGGTATATAAGAGACGAAAGTTTCACTCTGACCCAGAAAGATTTTAAGTGTAGGAGCCTTGGTATTTAACCCTTTAAGAAGCTGCTATTTAATTTTATATTCAAACAGTAATGAGGTCAATTATGACCTAGAGATATAATTAGATACTTAAATTTGCACAGGAGAAACTTTTATATTTTGGGAATTTTTGAAATTTGTTGGAGAGGTGACGCTTCAGGCCCGAGGTAGTTATATGTATTACTATTCGTAGATTATAGTTGTATTATACGTATAGAAGATATTTAGAATAAAATTTGGCGTCTTACTTCCTCGCTTCTTCAATTCTACGTCTGTTTCCCACATTAGTCACCTTCCTTCCTAACCGGAAGTCCGTGCAAGAATTCTTCCACCACCATCTGACTGTATCTCTTTTCAGATCGCCATGCCATGATGAACAACACGGGAAGCAACAGCGTCGCAAACGGTAGCGACGGCAGCAAGAGCGGCGCTCGTCTTCAGAGCGTGATCGGCAAGCAGAGCGTGCGCAAGATGAGCACGATGCCCGAGGAGGAGGACACCTCTGACGACATGGACCCCGACGTGATAAGGATAGGGCACTACCAGCCCCCCCATGAGGCCGACTCTGACTCCCTCTCGGAGGATAGGGGTCGACTGTTGAGCAGTGTTGACCCAGCCAGAAGAACCACCATCACTCCAACGAATTCTGGGAATCTACAGTGCAACGGCTTGAAGAAAGACAAGCCTTACCGGCTGCACCCGACATCGAAGCTATTGGACCAACAACCGGTACACTTTGAGGGCAAACTGATCCGGGAAGGTGCCCTCAGATCTGGAAGACACCATCGCTGCTCCAGTGTCAGGTCCGTCAAGTCGAACCCCACAATGGACGAACACCATCATCCAGCTACCAGCTGGGCATCCGTCGTCTTCTCCGATGGCAATGGGCAAACCTATGTGCGTCCGTTTCCAGAATCCGTTTCTATACGCTCTCTAGCCTCCATCGGCATGGGCTCTTCCGACGGTCGGAAGCTCACCATACGCAGAGTTCCCACTTCGCCGTCGGAGCTGCTTAACATGGTACATCCGCCGCCGTAAGTGAGCCATATTACCTAACTCCTGGCGTCTTGAGGCGCCGGAAGCAGCAGTCTATGAATCATGTATACTGTGTGCGGTTTTCCTTAGGAGCAAGTTCGGCTGGATGCTTGTAGGGTGATAGGGTTGTTCGAGGGGTTGGGTGATGGAGGTAGATAGGATAAGTGTTAGATGGACCGTTCGGATGGAAATATTGATGATTGGTAATTGAGGAAGGTTGTTAGAGATGATTGATTGTTATTGTTTGTTTGCGTGGTAGAGTGGCTTAGATGGGTGAGGATGAACTTGAAGTGTGGAAAATTGCTTTAGTTAGACAAAGAATCGTGTATTCTCGAGCTCTTTAATTAAGGAATACTGAAATTTTGAAATTTTCAAGTTAAACAATTTTTGAATTCTGGAATCCTGAATTTTTGAAATTCTAGAATTGATTTTATAATAAAAAAAAAAAAAAATGATATAGAAGTCGTGAATTTAATGGGCAATTTAAAACTGAAGATATTTGTCAAATGATTCATGAAAGACTATGGGTAAAAATAAATCACAATCAGTACTTAAAATTTCACGATAAAAACATCTGTAAGTATGTTTCAGAGTTATTCCCAGAAGGTATAAGCTTTTGGTAATCAAACATGAGTAGAGTAGGATCATTCTCTTCGCATCTCATGCTTGTCATATGATTCTCACCTGTCAGTTAATGATAAAAGCAAACAACAAACGCTATTTCCTTTTCTTTGGTTGACCGATTGCATAAAATAAGACTTATTATCGGTGCTCTCATCGTGCAGTTTGCTTTGAAACTTGGAACAGTTTTCTGTTACGAAAAACTCGTTTCAATGATTTTGTTCAATTCTAGTGGTGTCAGTTTAATTTTATGAGCTCATTAAAGACCAGTCTGTGATATATTAGGTGTATAAATAAATTCTCGTGGTATTCTTCACAAATAAACAATATCAGTATTGCATATTAATTAAAATTCTAGTTCTAATAGACTTCTAATGGAAATCTAATGAGGATTCTTTTCATTACAAATAAAATGTAAAATTTTTTGTTCACTCGGCGGACCATGGAGGGAGCCACGAATTTCTAAATTTTACACCGTTCTTTTCAAAATTCTATACATTTAACGTTAGATTAACATCTTTGCACATGTTTTGTAAGTTTGGATCACGATTGACTCAGGTTCCACTGTTCAAGGATTGAGAAGGTATTTGGGCAATTTTTGTGACAAAAATGTCCTGTAGATCTGAACAGTTTGTGAAGCGTGGTGTGGTCGTTCAGGGCCTGCAATTTCAGCGTATTGTCCCAGAGACGTAAGTGGATAATAGGTGTACAATGTAAGACCATACTCTTGTTATAAGTAGGTGTTCATGCGGTACATTGTTGTAGTTGCCCTGCTTCTTCCATTGAAATTAAAAGGCAGGTAATTGTTGTTCCACATTTGAAAATTTCTATCATGTCGCGTTACTAATTCCCCCCATAGAATAGAGGAAAATTTAATGGTAGACTAATCAGAGTTAATAATAGTGAAAAACCGACAAAACAAAATGTTTTTTACTATATCAAAAAATACAAAATTACAAAACTTGAAGCACCAACTGTCTTTTTTAATTTTTATTATTAGATTTACCTCCTAAGTGCCTTCAAAATCCATTTTATAGTACTTTGTTTGCAATAAGATATAAAATTAAATATTGAAAAATTGATAAGTGCAAATATTTGCATAATTGCAAGTGTCAGAAGAAATTAAGTTGAAAGATAGAAATATGTATTTATCCTTACGTCACAAGTGACAGCAAAGTAAAGATCACATAAGACCCAGATTTAAATAGCCTCACGATAAGAAAGTTTACCTGTACCATAAATTGATCGATTCCAATTTCGGTTATGTCACTGAAAAACCTTATATAAACACGGTTAATTATATTTTGATACTCTGAGCAAATATATTTTTAATTTCTTTGCTTGCACAGTAGTTTCATTAAACTCTGAAATGTAAATTTTCGAAAATTTCATGCACTCTGCTCGGATTATCTCTTATCTTTCTGCCCAACTATTATATAAGTTAATTTTCCTCTTAAAATCGTAAAATTTAATTCATGGCTATTCGCAGATTTGCACTTATCACGATGATTGTTTAATCAACTTGTTATCGTGTCTGATGACGCGAATTCAAAGCGAAACAAAATTTTTTTTCACTTGTGGAATCCATGTCTGTACCCGTCAAAAATTCCCGATCAACTGAAGATTATACATAGTTGTGATTTATCGCGAACCCTTTTTGATAAACGTTAACGAAGGATTAAAAGAAAATGGATCCTTATTATGATTAACGATCCTGCAAAACAAGGGTACCTAAAGACCTTGTAATGATTATACTTTATAAGCAGGAAAAATGAAGAAGAATGTTTATGGGTTTAGTGTCCACACTGCGGATGCAAAAACCGTGTCATCTTATGAGTTATGGGAATTGGCATAGTTGTGTAATTAACACGAGACACCTGTGTTAATAACTGGACGATTAGGGTACATTTTACTTTTTATTTTTTTAAATTCATTTTTTATGGATTGATTTAATATCTGGTGGCTAGATGAAGGGTCCTTTTGACCCATAAATTAAAAGTCATAACTTTTGTCACGACACTGTTCTATCTATTTTAATTTTTAAAAGGTGAATGATTTCCGAGTGATATCATAATTGGGTGCAGCATCATTTTAACTTATAACAATGACATTATAATTGCATAACACTTGCATTTCCTTTAATGATTGGCATGTTCGACAGAAGGCATGTCACTCCCTGTAGACACTCCAAACGTGTCTCGAGTGCTTAATGATAAATATGCAATGACTTGCATAATGATTATTACGTGTTCCATGTGAATTATACGTTATTCAAATGTAAGTTTTGAAATAGATCAAACAGCACCTTAGATAGTAGAGCAATATATAGATAATGCGTTTTAATGTTCAAGAGACGTTTCAATGACATCGAAAGTAATGATTCGGGTTTATTTTGTTCCAGGTCATTTGAGGATGATCTGTCAGTGTGTAGTAGCTTCGACGACGCGGACGGAGAAGACCCAGAAGACTACAGGCAACCAAGGCGACCCCATTGGGCTAACAAAGTACAATTCGTTCTCGCCTGTATTGGGTATTCCGTGGGTCTGGGCAATGTTTGGAGGTTTCCTTACCTTTGTTATAAAAGTGGAGGTGGTAAGTTATAATTATTATTATTTTCAAAATAATGTATGATTAAGAAAATGAAAATAATATGAAATACAAAATTAACGACGACAGCTATCGTTGAATGGACACTAATAATACTTCGTGTAATGAGAAACTTACAGTTAGTATCGTTTTCGTGACAACGCTTTAAAGATAATAATAATGTATGTCTTGAAAACAAATTTGAACGTGCTAGATTATGACATACATACGTCTGTTGTGATTAGTGCAACAGTGATAAGAGTACATGTTTATGCTTTACACCACTGGTGTGAAACGAAGAACTAATTACGCTTTTCAAGATATACCTGGACTTGAGGTATTCTTATCAGTAGAAGGATGTAAAATAGAATTTCTTAAATTAGGTACGCGTTGAGCGTTTAATTTACGCAGTGGTCATTTCATGACTTCTATACGTTAGAAAAAATTAGGCTTGGATGTCCATTGTCCAATGTGAAATCAGATCGTACCACCAGCAGTGGTTTTCCGGCCAGGTCAATTTAACCAACGAAATGATACTCGACCGATTATTATTTCCACCGGTGTCATTGAAATCATTTACGATGGTAGATGGTCTAGCTGCGTTCTGGCAAGGTCATGTATCAAGTTCCGCAAGCGGATTGCGACATGTCCGGACTCTAGTCCGGGAAGCTCTTAGACTTTGAAAATTACTGGCAACATGATACGCACTTGTGTTATGGCTTGACGGACAGAGAGAATTGTGTGCTAACAATAGGGGATGGGGAAAAAGAAATGGCCGCGAAATATTGTAACAAGGGACATTAATAATAGAATTTGCAAGGACGTACACTGGCGTTCATAAAAGATAGATTACATTGGTCAATTTATTAACCCTTGGATAGCAGACGTATTTAACTTTAGGTTAATAATCTTTGTAAAACATATTTTGCCTTAGACTTTTTACACCACGAAATGAGTGTACTTGTGCGTTGCAATCCACTGTAAGCCATTTTGGATCAAGTATATTACTAAAAACTTTACATAATCGCAATTCTTAATCTTAGAGCTTTATTTTAATACATCACAGGTTCCATTTGATAATACTTTTGTGTCATCAAACTGAGCGAAACATTTAGTACGAAACGGTAGATTTCATTGATAATCAAGCTACGCTGTGAATCATATTGTTAAATGAAAGAATGCTGTCTGATTTGTTCGACCAGCACGATACTATATTCGTAGAATTAATTTACATGTGCGTGAGCTGCACCGACGCAGTACAAATTATATTTTCAATGGCACAACCGGAAACAATAATCGTCATGATATCTGTGATACGTGATTAAATTTTCATAATAATTCCATCCTGAATTTATCATTATAAATATTACGTTGCAAAATTAATTTATCAATAATTAAATTAATATTCCATCCATAATTTCTAATCATCAAAATTGTGTTTATCGATTCATTTTTCATACAAAATTGCGGAATAATTGTTTCTTATAAATTGCTTTGACAATCGTTTAGAAAATTGATTCTGGAAATACTTAACTCTTCGACGGTTAAAATGTACATATAATATGTATTTATCACAATAATTGCGATAAATACACTTTTAACAATTTTTAAGCCATTAAAAGTTAAAAAATTATTAGAAACGTAGGTATATCTTATCTTTCTTATCGTAAGTTACACTTTATATCAAAGGAAGAGTGAAAGGTTTGATAGGAAACTGTGATAATCTAAGACAGGTATTGTGTTAACTATAAAAATTGTATAATCGTTCTATGATATTTATTTACTATTATTAAAAGTTAAACGTTTGCATTTATAATGTTTCATAAGTCTAATAAACATTATGACACCTTCAAAACGTTGTTGATACGAAAAGTTTCATACGGCATTCGTCCAAAGAAGGAAACGAATAAATTAGCTTAATGTGAGGAATCATGGAAGCGTGTAACACATGTTACCAATTATAAGTCTAATTAACGTACTCTTGAAACACAGTAGTAGTTGCAGAAAGTTTTCGATAGGAAAAACAATATAATATATGTTGGTAATTTTGAACGGGTCAAACGTGCTTGTTCCTAAACTCGTAATCCACGGGTCCGTGATCATCGTTTATTACGAATAAAGAGTTACATCCAGTGACCTTGTTACTGCCCACAGAATGACGATTAACTACGAGTACTATTACGTACGAGTCATGTGTTTAATGCAACCTTTAATAAATCCATATTATAGGCAGATTTAGTAGACATGTTTTTATTCGGAGATGAAAAGAAAGAATTTTAAAGAGAACGTTTAAGATACGTAATAATGACGGATGTTTTATTGACGATTTTATTGAATTAATTTTCAGGTGTGTTCTTGATACCTTACTTCATCATACTTATAGTATGTGGGGTACCATTATTATACATGGAACTTAGTATCGGACAATTCACACGACGAGGGCCAATAGGTGCTCTCGGTCAAATTTGTCCCTTATTTAAAGGTAAACCATACTTATAAATTAAATAAAATAACAAATATAAAAATACAGTGTCATTTAATAAACTCCCTTAAAATTAATCAACTTCCAAAATTAATAATGATAAACAGAAATAATTAGATTTATTTAAATAGGAGCTGGTCTGTCATCGGTAGTAATATCATTCTTGATGTCGACCTACCATAATGTGATAATAGCATACGCCATATATTATTTCTTCGCGGCGTTCAGAGCAAAACAACCATGGTCAGACTGCGATAACTCGTGGAACACATTGGCGTGTTGGTTACCAACTTACAGTGTCATCGACAACCGTACAAGACCCAACGCTTCTAGAACACCATCCGAAGAATTTTTTGAGTAATTTCTCAATTTAACTTTTTAATTAATTTCATTTATTATTAATTAATTGATACCACGTTTGTTTCAGAAAATGGTACATATCATTTGATATTTAATTTTGAAATTTAAGATGAATTTTTGAAAATATCTTAATTTATCATCTTTAATTAAAGCGAATTTGATATGATTTATAATTAATATCTGTTTTGTGTTGAAAATTAGCAACAAAGTACTCCAAATCAGTAAAGGAATCGAAGAATCAGGAGTACTTAGATGGGAATTAGTTGCTTGCTTAATTACTGCCTGGATAATGGTGTACTTCTCGGTATGGAAGTCAATAAAATCATCAGCACAAGTTAGATACATCACCGCGACTCTGCCATTCATTTTGATCGTGGTCTTTCTTACACGGTCCCTCACCCTTGAAGGTGCTGACAAGGGTCTGCAATTTTTCTTCCATCCTCGTTGGGAACTCCTTAGTGACGCAAAGGTGGATAATAACAAGATTTATTTCTCATCCTTCTATAATAATCTTGTTATATGATTACGTTTCTACGACGAAGATCGTAGTTCGTTTTGAAACTGTTTTCCAAAAATACCTTTGATTTTTTTCTTTAGGTTTGGATCAACGCGGCAGCACAAATATTTAATTCCGTTGGCATAGCGTTCGGTTCGATGATATGCTTTGCCAGTTATAATAAATTCCACAACACTATTCTAGTAGATAGCGTAGCTGTTTCACTTATTAACGCGTTTAGTAGCTTACTGGTTGGGATATTTTCATTCGCCACTATTGGAAACATCGCTGTGGAACAAAATATGTCTGTCGAAGCCGTCCTAACAGATGGTACGTTTAATCCTCAGTCTGATTTGCAATTATAATTTCATTCTTAATTATTTACGAGACAGTTGCCTTGATAAAATACGTTCTACTTTGGTTGAATGTAAACATTTGATTTTTTCCCCCAATCAATTGTCAAAGTAGGGATTATTGGCTCGATAATATTAAAGAAAAATAAGAAATTAAACATTCCTCGTAATGTAATATAAAAGTTAATAAACATATTTCTGTCTGAGTGGTGTCAGTCAATGTCAGATTAACTTCTCCTGCAATTTTATAGACAAATCATAATTTCCGTTCAAGGACCTGGTCTTGTATTCGTTGTATACCCGCAAGCACTAGCCAAGATGCCAGCATCACAAGTGTGGGCCGTGTTATTTTTCTTTATGCTAGTCTGCCTTTCTTTGAATAGTCAGGTATGGTATCATTTTATACCGAAGATCCTTCAATCAAATTTTTTTTCTCCTCTTATATTTTAATAGCTTGTCATACTGAAATTTCAGTTTGCAATAATGGAGGTAGTAGTAACATCAATCCAAGATGGTTTTCCAAGATGGGTAAAACGTCACCTCGTATGTCACGAAACATTAGTACTTTTAATATGCGTCATATCTTTTCTACTTGGCCTCCCTAATATTACTCAGGTAAGATATTAATAATATTTGTTACAATTATTTCAATCAACGTTGTATTAAAAGTTTTGATCTTTTATTTTTTTTTCAGGGTGGAATCTATTTCTTCCAATTAATAGATCACTACGCAGCCTCGATATCAATCATGTTTCTAGCTTTCTTTGAAGTGATTGCTATATCTTGGTGTTACGGTGTTAAAAGGTTGAGTAATAATGTGAAAGAGATGACTGGACGTGTACCATCTTCTTATTTTAGATTTTGTTGGCGCATTGCTGCGCCTCTTCTTATCATGGTAAGTGGATATCTTCAAATATAGACAATAATTAATCAGAGTGAAAAAAAAAATATTAAAAGTCCGTCATAAGCAATGATAGGATTATCAATGTTATTAAGCATTCATACTCTCTTGATATTAAATTTATTAGTCATTAATGTCAATGTTACAAGATATTTCATAGTTTTTTAGATACATTTTTTCATTTGCATTTCAAAATAATCAAAGTCTGTTACATATTGATAAATTTATAAACAAAGTCGTAAAATTGGTCTGGGTCATCATTTTATGTATTTCTATCACTTTTTTGTAATAAATATCTAAATGATACTTTTTATATAAACGTGCTTGGTAAACAAAGTCGTAAAATGTTTCTGCGTCAAATGAATTCATTGAAAAAAAATATTTTATTATTTTAAATTTTATTTTTCTTATTAATTTACAATTTGTTATATCTGTAAAGCACTGTAAATCTGGACGTTTACCGTCCACCGGATTCCCATAAATTGCTTTGTGTTTCAGGCTGTGTGGGTATTCAGCTTAATTGATTATGAACCACCGACCTACCACAACGGGGAGTACAAGTACCCATGGTGGGCAGAGGCGATCGGTTGGGGAATAGCTTCTCTTTCTCTCATTTGCATTCCAGCTTATGCGATTTATGAGTTCGTCAAAGCCAATGGCAACACATGCCTCGAGGTATAATATAAAAAATTAAAACAATTTTTTCTCATCCCTTCAACAGCGGTATCTGGGTCAATCGTGACCGAAACTTAAAAAACATTGAATTCTTGAATTTCTTCAAGTCATCGTCTTCGAAATCTTATGACGCCATTCGGTCGTCTGGTTTGTCCTCTTATAACGCCACCCGAACTGAAGCTGTTAAATCAAATACTACTCTATTTTGATCGTTCTTATTAATTAGTCTTTTACAATTGTTTTATAGAAATTACGAAATTCCATTAAGCCGCATTTCGAAGCTTGCAAAATCTGCGGACAGGAATACTGCACCGAACCAATGCACAGTTTTGAAGATGATATTGTAATCAAAGAACAACAGGAATTGAATAGTCCGATACAATTGAATACCACTAGCTTTTTACCGAAATCCCAGACTTGATGGAGGAAAAAGGAAAGAACATTAAATTTTCAATTCACGAGTACCTTTCTTTGTATAAAGTGTTTCTGCAGATATTTGTTGTAAATGAAGCTGATATTCATTTTTTTTTTTGTGAGACTCACTGTAAAATAAAAAAAAGAGCCTGTAAATTTTATAGGAAATGCTGACATTCATCAATTTCTTAATTTTTCTCTAAATTTATTATAAGAATACAGAGTACATTGTATTTGATGATGTTTCAGTGATGACGAGACACAGGGTGATTCTAGATAGAAGACAAATAAATTGGAAAAGAAAAATAAAGTATTTTTTGTAAAGAAAAAATTTCCTCATAAGGCTATAATTGATGTACAGTGATTCATGACACTTAATTATTATAAACTGTAATAGCCACCTTATGATGAAATTTACTACTTTTCTATTATATTTAATTTATGTAGGAATTTAATTTTTAATTGAATCGAAATAACTTATTGTCAGGTATGCCTCATTTTTTTTTTTTTTTTGTATTTATTTATGACGGTCTTTCAAAATGGTGTCATTTTCTCAGTAGGTACGTACTTCGAACATAAATGGGACATTTAATTAAAATTTTAGATTCCAGGATCACCCTATCTTATTACATGACGTAGAGATTATAAAGGTGTATAATGTATAGAATTAAAAAACAACTTCTATGAAATTCAAACAATTAGGTATAAATGTAAATCATACTTTCATTTTTCTTGAAGACATTCCTGAAGACATTCCATTGGCATTCGATTCTATTGCAATGATTAAATCATGCACATCGAAGCAAAATAATATTATTCTGTTTTTTTATTTTTCTTGCGTAAAATAATATTCTTTATAATATAGGATGTTTCAAAATTTATAGTACAATCCAAAAGACATAAATTGTCCTATTCGTATAATAATAGAAAAAAAGAATTAGCAGTATGCAGAAGTATTTTTAGTGGAATGTATAATATGGTTTGTATAATAATAATAATTAAATTAATTAAATTAGTAATACGAATACATGTTGTAGAATAACATTAGATTAAATTAATAGTCTTACAATAATATAACAATTAATATTTTATAATAAATATATGTTATAAGTGTATTCAAAATTTCTATTCTTATTAGTTTAAACAAATCAATCAAAATTAAATTTTAATTTTTGTTGTAAAATGTGTTCCTTTTGGATTGTACTATTTTTGTTTGTTACAGCTTGTAGAAATCTACATTGATTATTTAATGCACTGCAATTTTTAATAATAATAATCGATGTATCATATAAGTAAAAATTGTAAAACAGCAACGAGTACAAATAATTATTGTTTTACGTGTACAGTATCGAGCACAGCCAGCTGATTCGAGATTTAGAAAAGAATAACATAATTTTTATAATTATTAAATATTATAAAAGTTAGTATATTAATTAAGAAATATGATATAAGTTAAGAAACTTAGGGGGTGACCGAAAACCCAGGGAAGCGGAGCTCGAGTTGAACTCTCCATGCTCGACACTGTACATTTTATCCAGTAGGTAATAATGACATAAACGAGTGTATCTAATACAATGAAAAATGTGTTCGGATAAGCTTATTAACAACGGTATGACTGTACACGTGATAAAAGGAAACAATCATTGTAATACATATGTGATACTATCGTATATTAACTTTAAAAAGTTATCTTTTACATTAATATAAAAATGTAATTTATGAAAATTACAATAACGTTCAAATTTCTTAAACATTTTCAAAAAAATATTATTCTTTTTATAAAAATTTGCAGAAGATATAAATAAAATTTTTATTGCAATACCTTAATAAAAATCATATTTAATAAATAAAAATTCATATTTCTAAATAATAAAATTAATTTCCTACGCACGTGTGCTTTTACACGTGCAATTATTTATATAACTTACATGAAAACCTTTACTACCAAGTGAATCCCTATACGTTAAATTGGATTTGGCTAATTATATTATACAGCTCTAAAAGAAAAAATTCGCTGGAGAATCTAGTCATTTGAGTGTCGTACACTCACGAGTTCAATTCAAACTACCCCTTTCCTTTGTCGGCTGAACAAGATAGTCGACAATTATACAAGAAAGTTGAAATAAACATGACAAAGAAATTCGAATTTAATTGGCAAATTGAAGTGCCAGGATTATTGAAAAATGGTTCAACATTTGATCGTTGGTTTGAAGATAAAGAAACCACCGAATATGAACCGAATTGTTTATTTAAAGTTGATGAATATGGATTCTTTGTTTATTGGAAAAGCGATGGCAAGGTATTGTAAAAAAGTATTTTAGAAATCATGTTTTATTAATATTTAAATTTTAGAGAAATTAAATACATATTTCTTTTCAATTAGATATTCATTTTCTATAAGTAATTAGTAATTAAAAAAGTTTTTATTTAGGATGGTGATGTGATAGAATTAGCCCAAGTGAGTGATATTCGTTATGGTGGCACACCAAAGGTAAATCATAAATTAAATTGTAATTAATAGTAGATAATTCGCACCCCTACAATTATCAGCTTATATAAAATTATAAATTGAATTCAATACCAATGAAATAATTTTTCGGTTATTTACAATTCTTCAGGATCCTAAATTATGTAATAAGATAAGTAAGCATGGGTCTATGGAGGACATAGATCAGAAAAGTTTAACAATATGTTCTGGTATTGATTATACTAACATTCATTATCAGCACATTGTCTGTGCGGACGCACAAACAGCCAAGGTAATAAATATTAATAAGAAAAATTAATTATGTGATAAAATTCTATAATTGAATTCTATAATTTATGAAGGATTGGCAAGCCGGTTTGCGATTAATTACGCACAACACTAAAGCTTCAAACGTTTGCCCGACGATTCAATTAATGAAACAGTATGTATTACTTATTTTACTTTTATTAATAATTATATCGATAAATACATAAAATAGAATTTTTTAATGTTTAATGTAAGATCATATGTAGAACCATCATCAACGACTTTACACCGGTCTGGTCCTGAAAAATCAAAGTTACTTTTCGCTTAGATATTTCTCTGGAAATAATTCAATCCTTTTCACTTTAAAATATCTTTTAATTAAGAAAATTGTTATTAATTTATTTATTTTCATATATGATTGATAGCTAATATGATTGTTTTTATTAGTATTTCATTCTAAATTCTTTTTACATCAATTTGTATGTTTATTAATCAGTTGGATGAGATTGAGCTTTCAAGTAGATCCTAAAGGAAAAGTGCCTGTGAAAGTTATATCGAAAACCTTTGCCTCTGGGAAAACTGAGAAACTCGTTTATCAAGGGTTAGCTGACTTGGGTTTGCCTAGTGGAAAGGTAAGCTTCCGTTCCACTTTAATTTTCTTCTTACACTAATCTATTTTCCTTACAAGAAAATCACCAATAGTCATATATTATTTCGAAGAAAAAAAAGGAAGAATATAATAAGGAATATAAAAAATAATAAATTCAATTTTATATAAAAATAAATGATAATCGATTTACTATCGGATAATGTAAAATATCGCACACTTTTAATTAAAATTGCAAATTAATATCTGAACTGTATTATTAATTTTCGTAATATAAATAATTTTAGAGTGACAAAATGGAACCAAAGGATTTCACATTTGAAAAATTTAAAACGTTGTACTTCAAAATTTGTCCTAGAAATGATATAGAAGAATTATTTCAATCACTGTAAGTAAGTCATTATATGTGCTGCAAATAATTTATCTTGTTAATAGTACCTAATAACGATATGTTTCAGTACAAAAGGACAATCAGATACAATAAATCTAGGTCAATTAGTACAATTTATGAATGAGAAACAGAGAGATCCTAGGCTCAATGAAATTTTATATCCTCTTTATGATGAGAAACGATGTATCGAAATTATTAATGATTATGAACAGGATGATAAAGTAAAGAACGCAAGTAAGTTGTGTTTCTAAAATTATAATATAATTTCATGACACAAAAGTATCACTCTTGATACATCAATTTAAAGCTTAAAGATTAATCATAGCAACTATACTAAAGTTTTTATTGATATTCCTAATATAAAAAATGTATCGAATATTATGTAACAAGGGCTGCTGATAATTTAATACAATTTTTAAAAAATATTTATTATGCACAATATTTAATAAATCCTACGAATTTATTTCTCTACTGAAAATATAAAACATGAAATTCTATTATACATAATACAGTGGACAGTGAAATAAAATAAACATTTTCCACTGTACACGTGTCTCCTGATTTATACTAACGATATTTATAAAAATTCGTGTGAATGCATAATGTGTATTTATCATACGTGATAACCCAGTTTGAACGAAAAAATATTTAATTCATACTCCATTTATTATACCAGAAAGAATGTCATTCTGATAATTAAGAATGAAATACAGGAACGTAGAGTAAAAAAAAAATATAAAAATAGTGTATCTAATACATTATATATTTTATGTATAGAATCTTTAACCAAAGATGGCTTCATTCGTTATCTAATGTCTGATGAAAACGCCCCTGTATTCTTGGATAAATTAGAAGAATGGATGGACATGGATCAACCCTTAGCCCATTACTACATCAATTCAAGTCACAATACATATTTGAGTGGTAGACAAATCGGTGGTAAAAGCACTGTTGAAATGTACAGACAAGTATTATTAGCAGGTTGCAGGTAATCATTTGTAAAAAAATTTTTTAATTTATCATTCAAACAATCACATTTTTTCAACGAAATATTAGATGCGTGGAGTTGGATTGCTGGGATGGTAAAGGAGAAGACGAAGAGCCAATTATAACTCATGGAAAAGCTATGTGCACTGATATTCTTTTCAAAGATGTTATATATGCTTTGAGAGATACTGCATTTGTTACCTCAGAGTATCCTATAATTTTGAGTTTTGAAAATCATTGTTGCATGAAGCAACAATATAAATTAGCTAAATACTGTGACGAAATTTTAGGCGATTTGTTACTAAAGGAACCCATAAAAGATTATCCTGTAAGTATCATAAAATGAGGGACAAACGTACAAATTTGTAATCGTAAGTAAAATGACGCAGCTTGAACCCGGACATCCGCTACCACCGCCAAGTGCATTGAAACGAAAGATATTAATAAAAAATAAAAGACTGAAACCAGAGGTGGAAAAGGTTGAACTGGAATTATTCCGTTCTGGACAGTTTGAGGTGAAAGATGAAGTTGTTGAAGACCCTAATGCACCTCCTGCTCCTCCACCAACGGAACCACCCAAGGTTAACGTTATAAATAAATTACAAATTGATAACTCATCAGCGAAAATAAACGTTCATGCATAGTTTTAAAAACTTTTATTTTTGAAAAAGATTTTTTTTAATATTTCAGGAAGAAGTACCAGCTGAAGGAGCTCCACCAGGTGAAGAAGGTGCCGAAGGTGAAGCACCTCCGATTCAGTATAGTGGTAGTACTATGGCAGTGCATCCATGGCTCTCCTCGATGATTAATTATGCTCAACCTATTAAATTTCAAAGCTTTGAAACTGCTGAAAGTACGTAGACCTTTTTTTCATCTTATTATATTTTTGATAAACTTGAATATATATACCTTCATACCGTTTATTAACAATACGTTTTATTTATATAAAAGACCGTTTGTACTATTATTTTTATAATAATCTTTAGTTTTCTGAATGGAACAAGTATTAAACAAGTATTATTTAAAAAATCAATAGTTTTATTTTTTTATTTAAATTTATTTTGTTAGGAATTTGAGATATAATTTTATTAATTTTTTGTTTAATCATTCTATAAAATTGTCGTATCTGAAAATTTTTATATAAAATCAAAATAAGTTTAGAATCATTGACGTAGATAAATAGCTTACCTTTCATATGCACTATCTGTTGTAAAACTAACATTTTACAGTCATAGTAGAGACAGCATATTTGTCACAGGAAAAACACGAGTGCTATTATTATTGCAGAAAAGAATATCCATCACAATATGTCCTCGTTTTCCGAGACTGCTGCACTTAACTATCTAAAAACTAATGCGGTGGAGTTTGTTAATTATAACAAACGTCAGATGAGTAGAATCTATCCAAAAGGTACTAGGGCTGATTCCTCAAATTATATGCCACAAGTAAGTGATTCATTTTTTAATTACGGTAAAAAATTAATATACATATGTACGTAAATTCCTACAGAGTTTTTCCCCATTTTTTAAAATTAATGAATCTTCCTTCAGGTATTCTGGAACGCTGGCTGTCAAATGGTGGCATTGAATTTCCAAACACCTGATTTACCTATGCAACTTAATCAAGGAAAATTTGAGTATAATGCAACAACCGGGTATTTATTGAAACCTGACTTCATGAGAAGACCTGACAAGATTTTTGATCCCTTTTCTGAGGACGTGGATGGTGTTATCACTGCTCAGTGTTCTGTCCGGGTAATCTTTCTTTATAAAAGTACTATTATATAAATATTATTTATTTTATAGAATGTTAAATCGTATATTATACATATTATTAAATAATAATAACAATCTTATATTTATCAGGTGATAGCTGGACAATTCTTATCAGATAAAAAAGTGGGCACATATGTAGAAGTAGATATGTACGGTTTACCAGCAGACACCATTAAAAAGGAATTCAGAACCAGAATGGTTCCTGCAAATGGTTTGAATCCAGTTTACAATGAAGAACCCTTTCTCTTCCGAAAAGTTGTACTTCCGGACTTGGCTGTTCTTAGATTTGGTAATTCAAATTTCCAACGTAATTAACACGCAATTAGCAGGGATATTAACTTAAAGTTAAATTTGTATTTCTCAAATGAAAGAACTTCGTGTATTGAAAGAATAATTTTTCATTCGTTTAATGACATTAAAAATGAAATAAAATGAAAAGAGAATTAATTAATCTAATTAATGAATAAAGGTGTGTACGAAGAAAGTGGCAAATTACTGGGACAACGTATATTACCATTAGACGGTCTTCAGGCCGGATATAGACACATATCCTTGAAAACCGAGGCGAATTTCCCTATGGCGTTGCCGATGTTGTTCTGCAACATTGAGCTGAAGATTTACGTGCCCGATGGATTCGAAGGTATACCATGTTCCGTTTCAAAAATAGAAATCTAGAAGTGTGATCCACGAGCTGTGCTTTTCTAGACTTCATGGCCGCCCTGTCTGACCCGGGTGCATTCAGCAAGGGAGCGGAAAAACAAGCGGAGACCATGAAAGGACTTGGAATCGAGCAAACGGACGCAAAAGCTGAGGCGAAGAAGAAGGAAGAAGAGAAAGCTAAAAAGGGTATAGAACACTTTTTTTTATAAGCAAATTTCATTTGGCACCATCAAAGAGATTTCTGTTGCGGACCGAGTTTTTTAATTATTTCCGGTTGAACCGTTTACTGAAAGTTGCGTTCCTTCGGGTTCTCCTGATAGTCTCGAGATTGAATGAAACCAATTTAATTTATTGCAATTTTCAGAGGAGTTTAAAGCAGAACCAATCACAGTGGACTCATTGAAAAAAGAAAAAGCCTATAAACAAGGGAAGAAGCAGCAAAAGGAACTTGATACGATGAGGAAGAAGCATTTAAAGGAACGACAGACGATGCAAAAGAATCATTGCAGCGCCATTGAAAAATTAGTAAAAGGAAAAGAGTACGCATTTAAAGCATATCATTTGAAAAATTACTCAACACTTTGAATCCTTCTAGATAATGCCAATAATGAATCTTACATTTTAGTAAAAATGCGTTGGTCAACGACGCCAATGTAAAAAAGGTCATAAGTGAACAAACCGCACAATGGTCAGCCATGGTGGAACGCCAAAGGAAGGAAGAATGGGAGATGTTAAAAGGTCACACGGAAAGTGGTCGAGAGGAATTCAAGAAATTAATTGAAGTCGTCCAAGCTACGCAAGTTAAACAATTACAGACAAAACATGACAAGTTCGTTCGTTTTGTATATTTTTTATCTTCAACACATACTTGAAATTAAAATGCATCATCAATTTTTCTATGAAATTAAAACAGGATTCAAAATTACAATTAAATTTCTTCGATTTTTTTAAATTATAAATGAACAGTTATTACATGTTATTATTTTTCTTCTTTCAGAGACATCAAAGAAATGAACGCGAACCAAGTAAAAATGTCAGTGGAGACGGCTAAAGAAGTAATGAACGACAAAGCGTTAAAAACAAAAGGAGACAAAGATCGTCGTCTCCGTGAAAAGAAAGAACAGAATACAAAGAAATTCATGCAAGAAAGGAAAACCGTGCAGATCAAACAAGGACGAGAAAAAGAGAAATTGAAAGTCACTCATGAGAAACAAGTGGCAGAATTGGATGGCGAAATTGACGCGGTAAACTTGATCATTTTATCTAGAATATTAATTTTTATTTTAGTTTTTAGCTACCTGGAAGATGATTGGTAAGAAATTAATTATTAATATTTTATTATGAAGCATCATTATTTCTGTTGCAGGCTATTGAAATGTACAAGAATGAAGCTATTCAATACGATTTGTCTTCTAAAACAGAATTCTATGTGTAAATTGTTTATTGTTTTATTTAAAAAAAGAGAGTTAATAATTGATATGAAAAGAATATTTTTCTTGAAATTTGTTAAAAGTTGATTACTTCGAATTCTTCCTTTTATATGCCATTTTTGTTAAGATACATTTAACTATTTATACAAATATTTATATTTTATACAAATTTTAAGAATTATATTAATGCCATCAAAATTTAGGACAGTAAGATTTCAGAATTAAAGACATAAGATATGTATATATTTGAATGAAATTTTGATCAATAAATTAATATACTATACTAGTGGAACGATCTTTATACCCTTTATATCTCTGTATCCCTTACACTCCTGAATTCTCCCTGCATCACTTGTATCCTTTCAACCCTTATAATAAATATATTATAAATATAATAATATATTATAAATAATATACTTATGGCCACTGGTTCGAGTAAAGGTAAGTAAAGGTAAGTAAAATCTAGTGAAAAATAATTTTAAGTTTAAATTTTTGAAAAATTTAGTTCCTTCTTTCGCCACCAGAGGGCGCTGATTCGACGTTGAAAATTTAGTTCACATTTTTGCCGACAGAGGGCCAAAATTACTGCGTGCTTTAGTTCCTTTTTTCAAAACCAGATGGCGCTGATTCGACATCGAAAATTTAGTTCACATTTTTGCCGCCAGAGGGCCAAAATTACTGCGTGCTTTAGTTCCTTTTTTCAAAACCAGATGGCGCTGATTCGACATCGAAAATTTAGTTCACATTTTTGCCGCCAGAGGGCCAAAATTACTGCATGCTTTAGTTCCTTTTTTCAAAACCAGATGGCGCTGATTCGACATCGAAAATTTAGTTCACATTGTTGCCGCCAGGGGGCCAAAATTACTGCCTGCTTTAGTTCCTTTTTTCAAAACCAGATGGCGCTGATTCGACATCGAAAATTTGGTTCACATTTTTGCCGCCAGAGGGCCAAAATTTGTGCAAGATATAGTTCCTTTTTTTACCGCCAGGGGGCGCTATGATGGAATATTTACAAAAGGGGTGCAAGGATATAAAAGGATGTAGTGATGTTAGGAATGCAGAGATATAAGGGATGCAGGAATGTAAGGAAAGCAGAGATGTAAAGAATCTTTTTTTTAACGTGGGAATTCTTGCATAAGCCCACCCGCCGATCCATGGGGGTGGGCGGCGGAAGAGTGTCAGTTTCCTATTGACTAAAACCCCTAATGACTAATCAAGTGATTATCATTCAACGAACGTCTTAAAGTTAACGCAAATAATCTTTACTTTGAATTTTTAACAAAAATTTGATGTTCGATCGATACTGTGGTACATACAACGTCTCAGCGTCAATCACAGACATGTTTTCGCGTTATTAAAAGGAAGGATACATCGCCAAAAATCATATAAATCATGCATTAATAATTAGATACAGTAATTTATCCTAATTTGAACTCAAAATTTGGTACCTTAAATTTTCCATAAATATGCAATAAAACCTATAATAATAATACCATATAAATTTGTTTGTGCGTAAATGTACCTATCCAATGAATCACGAAACTATTCAAATATTATCATATTTACATATATGTATATAGTTCACTGCAAAATATTGATTTCAATTGAAAGTACACTTGGGTGCAAAATAGATCTTAACACCTTCAGTCCCACTTGGGTAAATCATCCCACACCATTTGTATCCGTCAACTTTAAAAATTAAAAATTTTTTGGATATTTTTGTGACTCATTGAATATACTTTTTTTTGTAATAATCTCAATGGTATTAGAAAAACGTAAGTACATGCTACTCTAAGTACAACGTTATACGGCCGTAAAAGGGACCGCTATGTAAAATAAACAACGGAAGAAATGAACACAAAAGTCTACGTATACAATCCAGGTTCAAAGCGTTTTCTCCTTATGTTGTTCCACGTAGTTTTGAATAAACGGATGTCTATAAACTCGTAAAGAGGCAATGGAACCGGCACATGCACCGATCCAGTAAACAATCACGTGCTCCATAAAAGATGTTCCCAAACATCCGTATTTCAAGGCGGTCGCTAACGCGGGATTAAAGTAACCGCCGGAATAATCGAAGGCTGAAATCAGTATGAAAATAGATGGAATGTCAGTAAGAACATCAACAATGGCTAATGGCGAACACTAATGGTTTCTTTAAACAAATGTTTTGAGAGGAACATTAGTTTCTATAATTACTAACAATAGAACTGATACTTTTTGTTTTCTATTTCGAATACTTGCAATTATTAACACAATGGTGAGAGGCCCCAGAATTTTTTGTTAAAGATTTAGAACAAAAATTTGTTAATTATTAAAAGTAGCACAAACTTATTGGAGAATTTAATTGAAAAAAATGCATATATTTATGGAATTAGTAAGATACGTATAGATAATTCATAAATATTCATCAAACCTGCAATAACCAAACTTGTTCCAATAAAAGAATCAATAATAACGCTGAACTTGGAATTTATTTCACTTAAACCACGGGAGACCACTCTGTATACACAAGTTGCCACGCATTCGATGAATGCTCCGAATATCACTGGCACCTTGGAGGGAAAAGAAAAATTGTGATAAAAAATATAATACGTTTTAACCCTTTCACCCTTGCAATATCTGTTAAGTCATCTTCTACAGTGAAAGGGTTAATTCCCCTAATCTGCAGAAGCCATAGTGTTTTTAATTGAATTTAAATCATTGAATTATTATAATTTGAAGCCTGTATAATGACACAATCGATGTTTAAAAATTATTGATTGTACTCACTTGTAGGTCAGTAGTACAATCTTCGAATGCCCTGTTCTTGTGCGTGGAAACAATTTCCAATGCCCAAAGTAATTGAATGTATCTAAAAACGACAAGACCACCGACTAATTCAGCCCATATTAAAAGAAAAGCATCGCGAACTGATTTCTGCCCTTCGACAACGTCCTCGATGTGCGTGTAGGGGCAAGCGGTGGCATCACCCCAATTTTTTGACCACCAAATTGTTAGGAGGAATAAATATAGACCGTACATGGAGACACCCCAATTATCCGCAACTACGATTTAATGTACATGTATGTATTCAATTATATTTTTATTAATTTATTAATCTTATGAAACTGGTAAAATATAATTACGAAATGTAATTAAGAAGGCTTAAGAATTTTAGGACTTTCAATGAGTTACTTGAATTTCTTTGTATCCCATCACTAAATTATTCTCACCCAATATGAAAGAAAATGATATTTGGTCATCCCAAAGACAAATCTGCCATTTAATGATTAACTTACTTATTATGAGTTCGAAGCACGCTCCGCATAGTTCGCCAGTAGCAATGCCTTCTAAAAATAGGGATCTTACAAACGGATCCCGTATATAATACTCTGTATATTTTCTCATCCAATAAGCTATGAGACTTGTAAGTACAATATATAATGTTGACACTGCTAAGGCAATTATCGTTGCCATAATGTTGAACGTATAATATATACAAAATCAATGGTATTACAAAATGAAAACTGAAAATAATTGGAAAATCATCACGTAATCATTTTTAAAAAAACTTTATATAATCAATATTATAATTATATATTTTTTTAATTTATTAAAAAAAAAGAAGCTTTCAGATTATTCCTAATAATACGTTTATAATATTTTTCTTAATTTTTCAAAATTTCAAATATTTTCTAATTACTTTTTTTCTAGTAATTTAAAATAGTTAATTAAAAATTTAGAATAGATAATTAAAATCAAATGACAATATTACGTTACGAAACTACACAACTATTGTCAGATTACTCTGTAAAAAAAATAAAAATGAATGTAACAATAAGGATATAAAATTCATTTGACTTTTTATAAGTCATTAAATGCTAACGTTGTAAGGTATGTGGCCAGTTGAAAGCAGGATATTATGCAACGGTACACAATCATTCATCGGGATAGGTTTCAAACGAATCTAGTGGGGATAGAATGTCACCGTAAACTTACGTGTCAGATCATCGAATAATACTCGTTTTTTATATCATCTCTTTTCCAATAAAAAATACAGCACGAACACTTATTTCTTGATCCTTTGCTTTCTTTGGCGAGCAGTTATTTAAAACTGGCGACTGTAATTGAATATGTCTGCGTGGATATGTCGCGTCACTTTAAATAGCTGCTCGCCCAAATTATTCTTGCTTGGGCATTGACATCGCCTTTAAATAAAATACAAACATTATTTGAATAAGACGAATATATAAATATATATATTGATAAGATAAAGACAAGGTATTGATAAGATGAATTTTTTATATTTTATTTTGGATTGAGCTTATAAATTATAAAAATGAGTAAAATAATGTTGGAAAGTAGTTCCTGCTTTCTACTGACCGGTGATGGGTAATTGGCACCCATCAGGGCGCGATACCCAGGCATGCAAGTAGCGGGCACTTGCGGCCACTGATGAATAGCCAACTTTAAAAATTTGGAAATTTAAAATTTCTATACTTCTAAATTTCCAAATTTTTACGTTTTCTATATTTCTAGCAGCTTTCTTTCGCGAGCAGATGACTGCTCATGACTATTACCAACTGACTCAATTTTCGGCGATTATGAATTAAAATGCAAATATGATACAGTTATGATTGAATGTTTTTATTTGTTTTATGAAGTGTTAACTACATTTATTACATAGGTAAATGATTCCATGTTTGTTTATGAATGTGGGCTAACTTTATCATTATAAAAAGAAAGTAACATTTATTTACAAGAATCAAAGGACTCTCCTTTGTGCTTTTTCGCCGCTTGGGGATCGTCTTGATTCTCTGTTCTTAACATTAACCTGGGAATTCGTTTCGATTTTAAATAAGACATCGTTTCACTTGGCGATCTAAAAAGGAAAAATAAAAATTATCATGAAATACAAAAACAATTAATTTTAACATAGAATGTATGAGCAAATGCCGCATAGGAAAGAAAGAGACCGTTATAGGCTCCTTCTGTCCTTGTCTAAATATAATATTATATTATGAAACATTATATTTATTGTGTTAATGCGCATGCGTGATCAGATAGGACACAAAGTGCTATGCTATATGAAATTTACCTCTGATGAGGAGTTTTAGATTGATTAAACATCTCCGGTGAATTGTTTTCAATCGAACTGGAACTTGTACATGGAGGATAAGGAATGATCTGGTACATAGTTTTATTCATTATATCAGTTGTTGCTTCGGTATTCTCCGTTTGATTTGGCAGATTATTACTAACACGATTCTCCCCCTCTAACGTAGGCTTTTTCTTATCGTCTGTGTCTGTTTTCAGTGATTTCGCATCCACTTGATTTTCAGGCTTTGCTTTCAGTTTACCGTCTTGCGTAGGAAAGTTAACCACTGGTATATTTATAGTTTTATCTCCTTTGGTTGAATTCATTAACTTAATTAATAGTTTCGATAATTCTTCACGTTTTCTCGTCACTACTATCTCTTCGAACCAGTTCTTCAGGGTTTTTATTGGCAATGTATAATCTTTAATGGGATTCTGAATGAAAAGTTAATATTGTAATTATTATTACCTTTCTTTAAAGACCTAATAAAATTTCAACTTACTTGAAAGAAACTCTCGACGTACTGCAACACGTACAATCCGCAATCAGTAAAATTTGATTGCTGAGGAACTTTCAACGAGGCTCCTTTAATAGTATCCTTTGAAAATACTTTTTCGCTTCCCATTTTAGCAACGTACTCACAACTCAAATAATCTCTTAATGTAGCTACTACACGCGATCTACTTGCTCCCGCAAGGGAATCAAATATCAATATGCATGGTCTAAATAAAATATAACAAAAATATAAAACAAATCTTATAATTATTATTTTACATTTAATTACTTACACTTTAACCGTAGTTTCCAGTGGCACATACTCTTCCACTTTTGGTACGTTTTTGTTCTCCGTAGATTCAGATTCATCCTACATTTAAAAATTCGAGGCATGAAACAATTAATACAATTAATTAATTGTTTACGATAAACTTACGTCATCTTCGCTATCCATCTCCATCTCTTCGTCATCGCCTTCGGCTTCATCTCTCTCCGAACCATCATCAGGTTGATCTATAGTAATAGTAGTAGTCACTGGTGTAAGTGTAGTACTACCAATCGTAACAGTCTGGAGCTTAACCTCCTTTAGCCTTTTACTTTTATGTACAGTTTTGCGAACATCATTCTCCTGGCTCCGTACAATCTGTGGAGGAACTTCACCCACTAATCCGGGGAAACAAATAATGGCCAGAAACCAGTGAGCGCTGTAATGATATGCATACTAAATATTTGCAGTCAATTAGGACAACGAATAAATACTTACTGTTCGTTGATAGGAATTATGATAAAATCCTTCTCAAATATATTGACATTCTTTGTCCACTTTTGCACCCTCGCATGCCTCTTGGCAGCTGGAGACAGAGGTACGTTGCTTTCTACCGCCTGAGTGTGGGGACTTGTTAATCGTTTATAAAAATATGAACTAAATACATGGGTTCTGTGTTGGTCAGGCTCCGACAAGACTTCCAATGTTAAGTATTTCAAATAGAAGTCTATGATTACATCATTTAAAAATTGATCCTCTCCAAGGCATAGATAGTCTTCAGTATTAATTGCTATGCCACCTTTCGCTGGTGGTGGGGGATATACAGTTATCCTACAAATAATAATTTTATATTAATACGCAGATTGCGTGTACATGTTTAATTTGTTACTTACGTTTGTATTCCTCCATTGGCATTCGAATTAGCTGCCCCTGTCTGCTCTCCTTTCTTCGATGAATTCAGAATCTGTGAATTATACAAATGTAAATGTAATTAGAATTAATTATAAATTATTGCATACGTACGTCTTTTGGTGAGGCTCGTACAAGGATATCATTCGCCTCTTTCGCGTTCAACTCAACCAACAAGTTTCTGTACGAAAACAAATCCTTTAATGCCATTTTAGATTCTTCAGACCATTTTTCTGGCAGTAGAGTTATTCTTTTATGCGTGAGGTCTTTTCCAGCCGGATCGTAGTACGGTCCCTTCGGATCCTGCATCCCTAACAACTCACGGATCATTGCTCCACTGTTAGTGGATGTGTAAAAGAAAAGCACTGGCATCGACTTCCCGAAATGAACTAATACTCTCACTATGTTTTGTAATTTAATTTCTAATGTTACAAAGCTTTGATCTGAAATGTACGTATACATGTATAATTCTGTTATTATTTATCGATTTTTCTTATTCAAGTTAAATTTACCATCTTCTAATAAAGGTACACCAAATCTTACTCCGTTCTGTGAGATTACTACTTTCTCTCGAGGAATATATTTGTAAGAACCTATCCGTACTGTTCGACACACTATACTAGTGTGCAGAGCTTGAGGACAATTATCTGAAAGATGTTTATATGTATTCTCTGTATCTTAATACACAATCTTAATAAATATGTACCTCTAACTATGTTTTCAGTCTCCATGGCGTAATCAGAACTTGTGCTAGAAATAGAATTGTTTGTAATTACTGGTTCCTTTTCCAAAATCGTGTCCAGATCTTCGTTAAAATTATTACTTGTATCATGCGAACATGTACTGTTATTGGAGCTCTCCAATTTCTTCATTTTACCTTCCTCCTCTTCGTCAGACGATATTGTTAAACATTCTAAACAAGAAATACGTATGTACATTGCGTAAGACATTTAAAACAACGATATTAATTTTTTAATCATATTATTTTTCTACCTGGTTCTTTGTGAATAGGCCTGGTTCTCGTTACACCTTTCCCTCTTCCCCTTCCTCGCTTATAAACAGCACCATCCCTTTCTAATTTCTCTAACTTTGCAGATGAGTTCCGCTCATTGTTTTTCTTATAAAAACTCTGGAAACATTTGCACAATGATACTTAAAATTCAACATTGTAAATTTTCATGTATGGTTTTTAATTCTTACGTCAACAGAAATCATTGTTTCTTTTTTTTCTTGTACACCCATGGTCATCGGAATGGATTTTACTTCCTTCGATAATTTTCTTTTGCATCTCTGGCACCGATTGAAATCAAGAGAACTGATACCACAGTGGGAACAGACTGCTAACATTCCTTCGATGAATATAGCCTCCTACGGCACATTAAACGTATTAAATTGAAATTAATTAAGCAACAAAATTTTAATTAATTTTCAACTTACTTCGTTTTGTTGGACAGGATTACTATTCTCATCGGGTGACCTAAAATATTCAATATTATAATATTTAAATTCAATCAAAATTAATTCATCAGAAAATTTACCTCGGGGAGTCTAAATTATTTAAATTTTCTTGGGAACTGTCATGCTCGGGTACATCATGTGATGTGTTAGATCCAGCTTCGACAATATAATTGATACCCAATGTGGGATCAGAAACCAAAGAAACATTTGTCGTTCCACAGAATGTAATATTTGCCTGTAAATAAACAATTTTATAATTCTCATCAAACTTCTATTAATAATCACTGCAATTACCTGTTCTAATAAATCCTGAACGGTGCAATCCTCGTTTGGTATATCAAACGTAATTAATCTCTGCTCGCCATTAGAAAACATAACCAGCATTTTCGCGGTATTTCCTTTAATTTGATGTTGAACTATTGTGTCCATTGGATTGCGAATAACTTTTTGAAGAAAAGCGATACTTTCCGATGAACTGTTTTCTGAATCAGTCTGTGACGAGAAACTTGTATCTTGAAGTGATGAAGACTCTAGAGAGTCAACTTCCATGCTGCTGTGCATGCTCTGAGACGTTGATAGTGAGGTTGATTGTTCGTATTGAGACTTCTGTGGGGAGACTGTTTTCTGAAATTGTAATGGGGATGAGGGTAACACTTGTCTCTGTGGAGTTTGTTGCCGCTGTGAACTGTTTAATGAACCCTGTGCTAGTCGCTGCGCATTCCCTTGCAGTCTCTGATCATTCTGCGCTTGTCTCTGATTCGGCATCTGCTTTAGTCTCGTCTGTTCCATCTTAGGCTGCAGCAGCTTCGCAGGAGTCTTTGACATTAAGGTGCGAGCTTGAGGTCTGCTATGAATCGTGCCCAGAGAAGAATGTACTTGCGTAGGAATTTGTGTCACATTCTGTCCAATAGGACTGACTGACTTGTTGTAAGGAGTATTTGTCTTAATGCTAGATACATTAATATTCTGTATTGGGATTCCTATGGTGTTTGAGATATTCGTTTTATCAGGGATGGACGATGTTCCAGTTGAACATCGATTTCTGTTTGGGTATGATCGTAGCGGTTTCCTTTTTAGAAGTCCACTGTCCAATTCGCACAAACTATGCAGAAGAGCCTAAACAAATATACAATTAATTTATTAAAAACTTATGGGCAGATGTTTGTACTTACTTGCGAAGAATTATTTTGATTTTCATTTACATTGGCAGTCTGAGTTTTCTCTGATATGAGCACACCTTCTTTCGATACTGTATTTACATTAATACTATTCTCTTGCATTTTCATCCATCGTATTTGTTGCACATCATTGTTGCAATCTGTAAAAGTATTTTCCTTATAATCTTTGTTATTAATCTTCTAGGTATTCAAATTTACCTTTATTATCGACGCTTACGATATTCCTACCTATATTGTTAGCATTTACTGTTGCAGACTTTAGTATTCCTTCAGATGTAGCTAATTCGTTTGTATTTGTTTTAATTATAAAAACACTCTGTCTGGAAAGAAATTTGTTATGTTAGATATTTAGGAGTATTATTGTTAGTTAAAGAGTGAGGAAGAAAGGAGGTGCATTGGTATTTTAATGTAACACTAATTACAATAAATATAAAATAATATTACACAGATGTTCTTTCATAATGTATTAATTTCTAATGACGAAAATTACATTTACAGGTACGTATGTTTATATGATCCGCATCAGACATGCTTACATTATTTAAATTAACTATAAAGTGTTTCTTTGAGGCACACGTGTACAGTAACTATTAAATGACTTTGTTGTAATTAGAAGACTATCTTAAGAAGTGTTTGGTGGGGTTTAATTTTAATTTAAATGTATCGCACGAAATTATACAGTTTCGCTTGAAAAATTGTGTATGAAAATGTATATTCAATAGCATGCTGAATTTTGAATAGTGACCAGCATCAATACCCCTTCTTTTCTCCTCAAATATACCACACAGCTACTTGTAATGCATGCGCAACAAATTACCCTTGCTCCAATTGTGATGTAGAAATTTGACTTCCTAAGTTAATATGCTGTGAAAATATTGGTTGCTCTTGTGGTGCACTGGTGTAAGTCAATAATTGCTGACAACTGTTACCATCATTATTTATATCCTCAACGACTAATTGTACGCTTTGTCCCTCAGCTGAACAAATTCTCTGTACCTCTTCAAGCGTTAACGTACCACTGGCATTAGTCACAAAATTAAAATACTGTGCCATATTATTCAAGACTCAAACCCTTGCCAATATGATCAATGGAGATTAAAATCGATATCAATACTACACTTGGTTACACCAGTCCATCAACATCATATCTGTGGTATCAGCACAATAAAACCTAGTAAAAATAATTTACAATTACTCAGGATTTCTGGTATGCATTTAAAAAAAAAATAAAAATAAATAATGAGACATTAACTTCTTAAGTAGTCTCCCATAGATATTTAACAATGCCCTAACTTACTATATGAGTGAAAATTAAACTTGAGGATTTATATACAACATGTGCTTCAAAGACTTGCAATTAGCATGCAAAGTTATTAATGGGAAAATTTATTACTGAAGTTTAATATTTATACACAGTATAAGATACGTCCCATTATTGAGTACATGATACGTATTCTCGTATGGTATTAAAACTTAAAGTTTCAATGAAAGTAAATTTTATAATCAGAAATTTAAATAAGGGAGAATACGCATGAACTTTAAATCATAGAAAAAGCTATTTGTACAAAAGTTTGAATAAACTGTAATGAAACTCATTTTATGCATTTACATAATAGATGTGTACTGAAAAAGCTAAAAATTTTTAACACAGCATGTGATGCAAATTCCAATTCAAATTTGCTAAAAATGAATTATATCGTTATTCCCAACATTGTTATTAACACTGTGATTATAAATAAAATATTTAAATTCCTAATAACCATAACCTAGAAAATGAAATAAGAAATCAATATTTGTTAGAAAAATAGATTACAAAACAGAAATAACAATATATATATGTATATATATAAAATTGACAAATTATTGTGATATATAATATACTAGTAATTGAATATTCCAACATGCAGGGTGAACGATAAAATTGTTTGAGAATATTATTATAACCTTCTTGGAAAAATGCGACTACTTTGCGTAAATGTTATAATAAAATAACAAAAAGAAGATTTTTTTTTAATTATAACGGAAAGCGGCTTAATTGTTAATTTCATAGGAAAAACATGCGGAAATACCGACTTGGATATGAACCGATGTCTAGTGCACACATTAGAAATTTTTTAATCTTTAACTGACAACCGTAATACTTACAATCGTTTGCGTAAGAAGTTAATACGCAGTGATGAATTCTTGGGCAATGGATATTTCTTGGATTTTTTATTGTAATTATTTTGTGAAGATCCGTAGAAGTAAATAACAACTACAATTCGCCATTTTACGTTACCGTTTATGTGAAAGAATCGCAAAGCAACCGACAGACCGCAAAAGATTACGCCACTGCGTCACCGAAGCTTGGTTTCCGGCTCCGGTTTTCTAAGACATTTGTGGCGCGAAATTTGGAAGATGGAATATTTAGTATGGGTTATTTAAAATTAATGTTATTGTTTAAATTAAATGTACGATAAATTGAAATTTGAAAGCTTGAAAATTGGAAATCTTAGAATTTAAAAAGTGAAAATTCAACAGCCAGAGATTTCTAATTTTCTAACTTTCAAATTTAGCAATATAGAAATTCCAAAATTTGCAGCTTGGAAAATTTGAAGTTCAATCAGTTAGAGATTTAAAAATCTCAATTTGCATATTTATCAGGTTCAAGTACATACTTAATCACTTTATAAATATTTAATTTATTCGAAAGATGATTACAAATATGATTTGAATTTGAAAAGTGAAATCTGCTATTCAGTCATGTATTCAACATCTTCTCTGTATTCAGAAATAGATTTGTATTCACTGCTAGTAATATTTTCATGACATAGAAGAATTAACCTTTGTCCACTTCGCTTTAACGTATACGAACTAAATGGGAAAAAGTTTTCTACCGTAGTTGTTACAGTTTTATTACTGTTAAAAAGCGGAAGTTGACTACGCGTATTATTTTCAATTATCGTGTAACAGTATGCCAATTGATACATTCGTGTAATTTCTGCAAAATTATGTACGATCTCGGGATGGCAAGCTTTCAGAGGATTCAATTTACATGTTATTATTTTTGCTAAATCCAGTTCTTGTAAATACTTCATATCTAAAAAATAAACAATAAATTACATATTAATACTTTAAAAAATATATATTAATATTCTTACAATTAAATAAATTATAACTGTATACTTACATTTTTTAGAATCTGGATAATCATTATGTCTCTTAGTAATTATGAGAAATAATGCTTGACAAACGGAATAAAATACAGTGTGTTCCTTATTTTCATCGTCTATGTACTTTGAGTAATCTTGCATGTTGATGTAATCGTGTATCCATTTAGACATTTTAAACTGCACTGCTTTCACTAGCCTATAAAAAGAATATGTATACAACATATAATATGTATAATATTTGATATCAAGGGATTGCGATCTCACATGCGTAGTTACTCCACAGAGTACCGATTAAATACTTACCCGGCAGTGACAAATTTGGCCGTAACTAGAAAACTAGCTATGTATGCCACCGATGATTGCCGTATAATACAAGGTACATTAGGATCAGATGCTTTACGCCACAACCAATCTATAAAAGCCTCCACAACAGCTGTTTTAAAACTACAAATATAGAACATAATATACTGGACGTATTGACTCGCATGAGTAGGTAATATTACTGTTTCAAATATACGTAATACGTCAAAATAAAGACTCTTTAAAGATTCTATTTGCAAAACATCCTGAATGAAGCAGGAATCATGCATGTATTTCAGAATCAGTTCCATACAAACATCCAATTTATGAGCTATTGGATGTATTTTATCTGTTTCTGTTTCGTTGTTTTCTTCAACAATATTATTTTCATTACCAATGTTATCACATTCATTATCGTCTATCATATCTTCATCTTCATCTTCTATTTCTAAACGTGGTATATTTACGTCTAGCACCATTAATCTATGAAAAAAATAATGTTAAATTTTATTATACAATATCAGACATGATAAGCTTTCCTAGGAAAAATAGCAATATAGGGCAATCAGAAATTCTCAAAGTTCTGTAATTGTAATTTAGAAAAAAAATAATACAATTTTTCATTATTAAATATTATAAAATTTTCCTGCATAAACATTTACCCGGAAGTGATAGGGCCATCGATTTCTCTCTTTCTATATATATATATATATATGTATATGAGGCCACCTCCCTTACATCGCTAGTTATCTTGGAAAAGTTTACCATGCTCATTACTACATATGTAATTGCATCTTACCTGTTAATAATTAAAGATAGAATATCAGACCGCAATTGAGGTGCGTATTCTAATATTTGAATTAATGCATAAATATAAACTTCATGCGTATGAGTTCCATGAGTAATATATGGGAACCTTCCTCTAAGTGACTGTAATAGAAGCTTACTTGACCTAAAACATTCATATATAAAAAATATATTCTTTTAACAAATGATACATTAAAAATTAATTAATATTCTTACATTGGTACAATATTTAAAATCTTTCGAAGAACGTCATGTATGTGATTTAACCTTTGGATACTCTCTTCCTTACACTCTCCAGCTTCCCATTCGGTATCGTCACCCTCATCTACGTAAAATAAAAATTTCCATACAAAATAAGTTCGATTATATTGCTACATACAGTTATTAAGCGTAATGAAGGTGTAACACCTTCCCAATTAATTTTTCAAATTTCTGCCAATTCGAAAAGTTGCGCGAAAATACGAATTCAATAATTGAAGTTACTATGATTTTTCAAAAAAAGAAGGCACCAATTTACACCTAATATATTTAAGTAATATGAGTTTATAACATTCAATTACAATACAATATACAGTAAAAGCTGGATATATGCAACGAAAGATTGGCTGGATATATGCAACATCGCTATCTCCTCCACTTGGGGGGATCCTCCTAAGCGAACCGAGACGCTCGACGAGGAAGCCGTGTAAACTTTTTTATTTTTAACTTTTTCTTAATGAAACTTTTACTAACGCATTTGTGAGATTTTTCTGATTAAAATGGTACCAAACATAAGGCAGGCCGTACACCAAAGATGCATCAAACATGCAACATGCAACATGCAACACGTCGCATGTTGTGTACGAACGTAGAATAGGTATCGCGGCTGAATACAAACGATGTGTACGGACGCAGAATCGACACCTCGACTGGATATATGCAACATTAAATGCCCAGAATCGACACCTCGGCTGGATATATGAAACGTTTAAATGCCCAGAATCGACACCTCGGCTGGATATATGCAACGTCTGGGTCCTAATATTTGTTGCATATATCCAGCTTTTACTGTAAGCGTTTTAAAATACCTGGTTTAAATTGTTCAACTAAATTATCTATTACATGTTTAGCATAATGAATCTGCATACAAATTAAGTCTTCTAGAAAGGCTTTGTAAGCAGATGTTACTTCCAATGAACGACTGGTCCATTTTATTTGTAAAAGTGTTTCTATGAATGCTTTATGTGCTGGACTAATTAATGACATACATTGTCTAACATTTCCCAGAAATTCTATTAAATCTGAGTCCTGAAATAAAGAATAATAAAAATTAGATTGATAAAGTTAATTAATTCTACTCAAATTCATATATACCTTTATATTTGAATCACGTAAAATACATATTAAATCTTCATAGTCTTTAGTGCCATTACCACTTTCAAAATTGTAAATAATATTCTTGAAATCCTTTGGAAGTTTGAAATATACTCTACTGGATCTCCGAATGAGTTGTGATCTAACTCCTGGAGATTTTAGAATAGATGACACACTGCTGACCCTTGATGATACAACTGACATCTGTTCAGAAGAGATATATACTTAAAGTATCACTTTACTGAAATAAAATACTATAACACCAGAATCAATTAAGAAATCCAAGTGACGTATGGTATTTCTTCAAATTGTCAAGCATATGTGTATGAAAAAATATTTTGAGGTTGGATTATTAAATATTCGAAAGGTAAACATTACTTACTTTTAGACTTATATCTACAGCTTTCTAATGGATTAATAACGTTTAATATATTGGAATCACGTATTTATTTACATTTTGACACTGTATTATTACTGAAATACTAAATTTTAGAATATTATGCACGTGCCCACTTTGCACATGGAAGAGCCGCTTTCGATTGTATCAGTGATTCAATGACTACAGACAAGATAATGAATTTGTGCCTTGAGAACGAACGCCATCTGCTTTATCCTAGTATAAAAATCAGAAAAGATTGGTGTCGGTATTTTGGAATCAGTTGATTACTGGCTTATCAACTGATCCTCGACAGCCGGTAAGTTGTCGCATAGTTTCCGCTACTTTCTGATAGATGGCGCCAGTAGACCCATTTCGGAAAATCGCTCGGTAAGTTGTTGAGTAGTTCCCGCTATTTTTGTGAAAGATTGAATGTCCGGGAGCGGACTTGACATGCCTTTGTTTTTGAGGGGTCATGATTTATAAACGCAGAAAATAAAATTAGAGTATTGTGTTATGTATGTAGGAAACATGATTCAAGAATTTTTATTTTAATATTAATTTATTAAAATTATTATTTTAGTGGCACATGAAGCCTATTACAAAACTCACAGTATATTTTGAAATTCGTCATTATACTATCTTGGATGGAATAATTACATGGATTCTTTGCTTTTTATGTTATAAAAATACAAAAAAATTTGTATCATTTTGAATGAATAAAAGATAATTTGATTGAATGTATTTATAAACTTTGAAACTACATTTTTCTTCTTACTTCAATTATCACATAGTTTTTGTTTTTGACTATGTTATAGATCGAGGTAAACTGGTAATTTGTTTTGTTGTTCTACTAATGCCGTAAGAGCTTTTTCTACACATTTTGGTAAATGATCTAACAGCATTCGTGGCATTACAATCAATTCTGGAAATTCTTCTGGTTGTGCCCATCGCATTTCGTATTTTTGTTCGTCTGCCTTCTGCTTTTTTCTATCAAAAAGCAAATATCGTTAGTTGCAAAAGAAAGGACATTGAGATTTTGACATTTAGGTCCACCCTGGCTCTCACCTGGTGACACAAATTAAAATATAACAAACATTAAGCAGTAACAAACCTTTTCCCTTCTACTTTTTCAGGTTTGCATTTAATTATATGAAGTATCCTCCCTCCAGCATACAACTTCACCCTTGAAAATCTTCTCTTCGTTATATCCTCCGCATACATATCATTTTCCTGTAACAAAACAAAATGTATAAACCTCTTGTTCAAATTTTCTTTTTTTTTCAACTAAACTTTTCAAATTTACATCTGTTCTCTGTGACTCTTTTACACTAAGCAGCGGTGATTGTCCCGTCGAAGTTGCAATTACATTACAATTGGTCCACGTTTTATTGAGATCCCTCTCTGGTACACCAAATAACATGTAACCTAATCCATTTAATACCACTCTATACTAAAAAAACAAATATTTAATTAATTTCTGGAATTAACAACATTTTTCTAATAAATAATGTCACGACTTTTCAATTAAAAGAAAGTACTTTATTTATATTTAATTAATGAACCTTTGGTAGTTGACACGATCTAAGGGTCATGACTAATGAGGTTCTTAAATTTTCAGTACTGTCAACGCTTAGCCTCATCACCAAGTCATCACCAACTCCGACCGATAGGACGAATTCTTCGGTTACTTTGGCAGCCTCGCGAGACAGAAGGCCAGCTAATTAAAAAAATTTCTATTCAATATGTTGAAGTTACTGTGTAAAGGAATATTTGAAAAATTATTACCTGGTGTGGAGAACGCGTAGACCTTTATATCTGGGTATCTAGGCCGTAGTAAAAGTGCTAAGAGAATGCCTATACCGGCGCCCAGACTGTGACCTATACACATTTTATTTTATAAAATTGTTTAATAATATTATTTCATATAGAGTGCAAACGTTCAATTTTTTTGATCTCATACAATTTTACTACATTTTCGTTTAAAATTGAATGAGAAACTATTTTCTAATATTTGAAAGAAGAATTTATTTCTAGGCAGAAGTGAAATTGACAGGTAACAATATTAAATTTCGCGGACAATTTTCTTTCCTTTTATAGAATATGCAATTGTATTTTTTAAACCTACAAGAGACAACTATTCAATATAGAAAATTTGATAAATAATTAAAAATTGATTTACCTGTGATCATTAAATTATAATCAGGATACGTAATGAACGCCTTTTCGAAAATTTTATTTTCATCTAATTGTTCTAAAATTCCTCTAGCTCCTGTTATCATACTTTTATGTGCCTATAGAATAACATTTAAAATTCTTATGAATAATTTATCTAAAAGAAAGCGAGGTTTAATGTTTTCCAACAGACGCTACTTTCCGTAAAGTCGTAAAATATGTAAAAATAGTTATGCTTTTAACTTTTTTTTTTCTTGTTTAGTTACCTGCGAGCCAGGTGGAATGCCTTCACATTCGAATATATCGGAACCAGCAGCTATATCCGTGAGCAAATCACGTAACGATAGAGAACCTCGTATTGCGATCACAATACTTTTCGTTTTATGGTCGGCGATCACGCAGTAAGGTATCTGCAAAATATATTTAAGAATTTTTCACAAATATGATACAAATATTGTAATTAAAATACGTACTTACTTGCTTTCCGAAACTGTTATACTAATAAATTAGAGTTTTAACGTTTAAGAATTTTTGAATTCAACAATTCAAAAATTTGAAATTTCCATAATTAAAATATCTCAAAGTTCACTAGTGAGTAGCATTGAGTAATACGTATTGAGTAACATTGAGGAGTGTCAAGTGTAAATAGTATTGAATAGTGAGTAATAAATGACTATTGCATAGTTACGCAATTGATTACACCTAAGCTACTTCAAAATAACTTATTATATATTTTGCACGAACCTCACAGAGACGATTTTTAAACGATGCGAATATTATGTCGTCAGTAGATAAACCCGATAAATATGTTACACCGGCCAAATAACAGTAGCAGCAATTATCCCCAGTAATTGCAGCAGGCTTTCGTCTGTAATTAAATTTTGATTAATTTCTTTAATTGTTTTTATCACATAAATTGGTTAATAGATTTATTAATGTAAGTTGAAATAAAATAGAGTGGCGCTATATCTTTTAAAAATTTCGCATATGTAAACTATACACATCAATGATTTTTTATTATTTCTTTTTTAATGAGATAATTGACACTTACCTAAAGCAAGCGCAACAGGTTAAATTTTTGATAACACGAAAACACCCTGTATACCAATGCTTATAAATAACAAATAACCACCCGTAACAGGCTACTGAAAGTTTCAGATAATGAAGAGAACTTTCCAAAGTCATCCAGCTAGGTGTATCGCGAAAAATGATGGACGCGTCTGAAAGAAAAATGCTAATCATCAAGCAGAAAAAAGTTGTTTGATTTATCTGATCTATTATACAAGATCCTTTTCTTGCTCTGATCATACTTTACTTTAATTACATCTCATTACAGAATAAATTGTGTATTCATTAAATTAAAAGATTATTGCAATTAGTAATATTAAATAGTATAATTCCAATTTGTTATTAAATGATTATAATAATGATTAACAGTGATTATAATAATTATTCTAATTATAAAAATTATAAACTGTGAATTATGATGAATAAGTACATACCGGCAGTGTATACTGGACTAGGAAGTAGATTTAACCGACGCAACTCATGAGTTTCATATTTCTGTCTAATTCGAAGTAAAATAAACCCCGCCACTGCATCTGAAGGTACCAAGTCCGTTCCACGAAATAAACAGCTTAATAAACCTAAAAAATGATTTCTAATTATCATTATATGAAATACTTGAAAGTTTGCTTTAGTTTGAATAACAAAAATTTTAAAAAAAAGTTTCCTGTTTGAAGGAGATACTTTTCAATTTTCATGCAAGTATTAACCCTTAAGAAAAAGCCCTGCCTGTTGAAAATCAAAGAAGAAGAACGTAAAAATAAGTGCAATTAATTATAAGGAAATAATTATATCCCCTTTACCATTTTCCAATCCGTTGCTTCATGTAAAAGATTTTTTAATTATTTTTTTTATAAAGAATATTATTAACACAATAATAATTTTCTTATTTTGTTCACTTGCGACAAAATTTTTCATTAAAAAGTTCCTCTACTTTTAATAGTTCGCTGAATACCTAAATTGCACTTAAAATTTCTTATTCGACAAGTATGATAAATACAAAATCATCGACAGGACCTTTTCTAGACCAATCGTACCTATGTCTCACCAGCGATATGTTGAAAGGTCTCTTTAGCATTGTCATCTTTTCGCATCCACCAGAGAAACTTGAATCTCCGTATCCAGTTTTTCGAAAATTTCCCATGCTCGGTGGAATTATCCAATTGCTCATCGTTCAACGAACCCAACGGATCGAATATAATGATTAACCCAAAAATTGTTAAGCCTATAAGAATCCAGTCGAAAAACACCAGAGTCTTCACCAGGTTAACTGTATAGTGTTCGTAACCACATTCGATTTCTGATCCAAACATCCACATACTTCCTAATATGTTCCATCCTATCTCTGGCAGGAGTAACAGTATCCTACAATAAATTTCAGTAAAATCGTATTAATATAATATAATATAATTAATATTGTTTAATTTAAATTCAAATTTTAATTAATTTTAATCAATTTAAATCTTATCATATTATAAACTAATCTTGCTGTTTCTCTTCGAATCTATATGTCCCTCAATGAAAATTACGCTTCTACATATGCTATATTTATAAACATTCCACGTTAACTTTTTATTGAATTTCAATTTTATACATAACATTTTTCAATTTTTTCAATTTTATATTCGTTTTAATATTTTATGCTTCTTAAAATTAAAAAAAAATGTAGCATACTATCGTAACATTCTTTGAATGACAGTTAATATTCATTAATATTCACATTGTTAGAGAAAATATGGTGCAAAGGTTAAAATCAAACTGGTTAGATCATGCGATTCGATGAGAAAAAACCGCGCAGACAGACGTATGTGTGTATTCTCCTGGAGATTTAATATTTGCACTGAATTGTAATTACGTCTCTAATTCCAATAACTTCATTTTTGTCTACACATTTTTTACTGACACTTAAAGTTTGATTTAACACTGGTACGTCTATTCATCAGTGTCAGCGTTAGAAGCATTTGCGTCAATAAATATCATTGAGAAGTAGTTTTTTTTTGCAATTTTTATCAATGGTTAAATTGTTTTCAAGTGTAATATCAAGTGTAGGTATATGTTTTCCGGTGTAGCATCAATGAAAGATTTAAAAAATTTGTTTGATAATAATTTTAATATTGATTTAATTAAAGTCTTCTTAATATGGTGTGCATAACTTTTATTTCAGCAATCTCAAAGGCCCTATAGTGTAATTTCCGTGAAATATTCACTCACTTAACTGTCAAGAGTGGCTCAACATATTTACGAGCCTTCGTGTCCATGATACTTCCTTTTGCGCTATGCCTGACAATGACCAGCATGAAAAGCATAGATGTGATAAGAAATGTTATTTCTCCGAGGAGATATATCCGGACTAGCTCTCCTCCTAAATGACAACTCCATGTGTACTCGTAATATTTGTAACAAGCAGCACCAAGCAGTATTAACCTGTAAACAAAACACAATTAATATTAATTACGCAGTCATTAATTATAGTAGCATAATAGCACAACAAACGGTACATCTAATATTCATTTCAAAACATGATAATAAACTAAAAACAAAAGAATTTAATAGAAATTAGAATATACCATCCTTTATATTTCTTTAATACTAAAAAATTATAATTAATAATTAAAGAAAATTTACTCACCAAACTGCTCTAATGAAAATTTCAAAAAGACCAGGATATACAAGATCATCGGTCGCTGCTAACCATTTTCTTCCAAAAAGTTTTATCGCAGGCATTTTCCTGTCAAGTACATACAGTATATCAGAATACATTCCTCCACAATGCTGACAAAGTTTCTTAACAGAAATATAAACGATACTTTAAAATGTGCATACAAAATGAACACCTTGCAAATTAATATTCCCGGAAGTATTATATGAAATATCAAATTCGTAGAATGATATTTTTACATAGAATCTAAGTACCATTGAATTCTACTGAAGTTATTCTTCATCATTTTTCTTCTGTTTAAATCACGAAATGAATTTCAAAATCTGTTATATGTATACATATATTTTATCGTATATAGTGGTGTAATCCTTTAAAATTACATCATTATCGTAATAGAATATATAATCTGACTACTTTTCTGATAACCTCCATGATTTTTTTATGTTTGGTAGTCCTCCAATGAATTTCTTTTGATCGTGAACTAGAGAAACAGGGGAAAGCGATGAGAGAAAGTCTTTGTCTATCCTACATCCGAGATTATTGACATAACGTCGCGACGACGGTAAGTACCTTAACTGGACCCTGATCCTGCTAAGGATTCAATTCTCTTCCAAATTCTGAGATTACTTTCACGCACAGTCATCTCTTCATGGAAATCTTCATGCTTTCTGTTTTTATTTGATTCCATGAGTAACTTTTAATATTACAATTAAACGAGATTTGTCAATTTAACTGAATTATAATTTTTAATAAATAAATAAACAACAACAGTGTAACAATTTTGTCTAATACATTACATTACGTTATTCTATACGAAGTAGAAGATTTCGTAGTATGAAGATTCTAACATGATTTCATGACATAAATGCATCACTAAATGAAACTTATGACACATCAATTTTTATGTTGAAGTTTATTAAAAATGATTACATAAGTGCTTTGTTGATATATTTAGTACGTAATAGCTGATCGTGGATTGCAACGCACAAATATCTCATTTCGAAATGTAAAAAGTCTAAGACCATTTCATGACATAAAAGTATCGTCAAACACCACGTGTAATATATCAATTGAAAGCTTAAAGTTTCACGAAAATGTATGTGCCACTTTGTAATAGTTTTATGTCATCAAATTGTGTTAGACTTTGTATGTTTCAAATTCAGTCATTGCTTGCTTTAACTGGCGACCAGCCATTTTGTATTAAAAATATTAACGGAACCTTAACATAATCTTCTTTATTAATCTTTAAGCTTCAAATTGATGTATCACAGATGCTATTTTATAATAATTTTATGTCATGAAAATGTATTAGAATCTTCATACTTACAGAAACTTTTATGCATCACATGTATCATTTAATATGCAACACTCTATTGTTACTAAATAATTATCGTCAACCGTTCAATTGCATTTTTTACTTTCCCTGTTATTAACCAATTGAAATTATCTGTCGCGAAAACTGTGTCAACGCTTTTTTTCTTTCTCGAAACCTTGAACCCCATTGCTGACTGATACTCAGAAATATCTTTGGTTGTATACTATTTTAGAAGTCTTTATTTATAATCTATGCAATTACAGTGAACGATTATTTTATGGAAATGGTGATTATTGAGATTCCTGTAAGAGCAAATCATGATATCGTCATTGAAAATTTGTATAAAATTTTATTATCAATTCTATTTTCAAAGAATTCTTTTTGTTTGATATCAATTATACTTACGATTAGTGAGTTATGTTTATGATAAAAAAAAGTTGATAATCGGTGAGAAAAAAGAAGGAAAGAAACTTTTTTCAATAATTAGCTGTAATATGTATGCGATTTCAAACTGACGCACGAGAAATTCATTTAATGATATACAGAGACGACAGAATTGTAAGTGATTATTCAAGGTGATATCGATAAAACAAGGTTTTCTCGGTATTTTATTATTACCATCCCGCTTCATTTAATTGAAACGTAGAATTCCAATTCAAATTCAAAATCCCCTACTTTAACCTTCGGACGGTGGACCATGAAGAAAGCCCCAATTTCATATTCTTTTCATTTTCTAAATTGTACACTGTTCCTTTAAAAACTGTTTATTTAACTTTAGATTAATAACATTGTATATATTTTGTAAGTTTGGGTCACGATTGCCCAGGCTCCCCTGTTCAAGGGTTAAATATTCTACTTTCAAATTTCGCTATCGCGGATGAATCAAACCACCCCTGCAATCACCCTACGAAATCAAATTCTCCAAAAGAAAGAAAAATAAAATCGATTCGAGAGCAGATTTACCTGACGAATTCTCCCAGTGACACCTGTGGCTTAGAATCATTCACAATTCACCAAAGCACAGTCTCACTTAATCAGTTCATCCACGAGTGTAGGACCCTCTCTGTTTTTTACCGTTTTATCAACTGGCAGAACGAGTTTTGGATTGTACCTTTTTCTACGCTACACGGAGAGCCATAGCCGCAAAATCGTAAGCGAACAAAATTTTCGCTGACTCGGTGAAAAACGAAACAGTGCGGGATCTTTAGCGAACCGAACGAGCTAAGTGCAGCTCGCACAATGTGTCTGGCCAACCCGTTCACCTTGTTTTCTAGCACCCCACGTTGAATCTGTCGAGCTGGTTGGCGGCGACTGTCCAGCATTGCCACCAACTTTCCCTACGTTCCTTCTCTTGAAAGATGAAAAAAAGAGAAGCAATGACTCCTTTCGCGGGGATACGACGTGTTGTATGTAGTAGGAGCACGTGTATGTGGTAGGTGCCCCCCCCGAGGACTTGCGACGTACCTGTTGCTTACAGTTTACACGAAAATTGTGAAACCAGAGTGGAGAATGATTGCTGGTACCTTGTTGGGAGAATGGATATTTTGTGGTATTTTAAGTGAATAGAGATTGGAATGGTTCGTAGATGGGTGTTGCTCTTATTCATTCTTATTCATTATTCAGATCAAGGATCATGTTTGTTTGTACACCCAACTTTTCCATTACTAATACATAATAACAACAATAAATAATGTCAAATAGAAATTTATGTTTTGATTTAATTAATACGTTTAGAATTTTCAGATCAATTATAGAATGCTAATTGTAAGGTCAAAGTTCAATTACACGTTGTTGGAATATAATGCATTGTTGATGAGGAATAATGTATTATGAACTATTAAAATTTAGCAAAGTAATTAATTGAAAACACTAGGGGTAACAATTAGGCAAATTAACCGGCACAGTACGTCTTAAGAGGCCATCACCATTTAATAAAGAAGGAATAATTTTCCATCGAGATGATCCCAGACTGGACTTTATATACCAATGAATGCGAAGAAAAGTAAATTTTTTAAAATAACTTTTAAACGTTAAATAAAAAGTCTTCACATAGTTTATGCATTCTTCAAATTAATTGATTTTTTTTACAGTATTTGTAGTGTATAAAAATTTAAGAAATGTGTTTTCTTTTTTATTATGTACTTTGTATGATTAAAATTATTTAAATATGACGTAAATATGTAATACTGTATTGATACATATTAGACGTTATCGACGGGTTATATTACCCATTTACGGTATACTTCTGAGTCAGTAGGTCTACCTTACCACCAGTCAATAATTCAAAGAATATATTTTAATATCTATTTAATAAAAAATAATATCAGTTTTAACTTCCTCATCACAAATCGTTACAATTACATCTTATTTCTAATTCTGTTTCATACAGTAATTAAAATAAGTTTAATTATTTCTTAATGAATCTGAGTTTATCTTTAAAAATAATTATTATTCAAAGTAAATATTTATTTAGTGAAATATTTTTCAAAATTGTTATTCACATAATGTATTTATCGAACGATAAGAAGAATTAATTTAATTAAAGAAGAAGATAATAGATGGTGCCATAAACACAGAGATTTAAAAACTGTGAATATAATAAAAACAATTTTCATTAAAATTATATGTTTTAACGAATCATGATCATTAGCATTTTTTTAACGAAATGTTCAAATTAATTAAAACTAATGAAAAAACCCTGGTAGAGGGATGAAATATATAAAAATATATTTTTCAATGCTTTTTCTTTTACACGGTTTGAAACTCACTTTTCAAATTTAGAAGTGAACATATTAAATTCGTAGGAACTATCACTAGTAATAAAATCAACGAGTCAATAATTCCTGACGCCATCCTCGAGGACATCTGTCCATCCTATGGTCACCAGTTGCCCAGTGGTGGAACCTGAAAATAGTTCGGACCTAATCAGACCAAGAATCCACTTCGTCCCACAGATAATTCATTGCGCATCATAAAAAAAAAAATAATAATTCCTTGCACCCAAGTGTAAGGCGCCGAGACCTTAGTCACTTTAAGGCAACAGGGAATTACCGAGCAGCTATACACTTATTGGCAATCCATGCATGTAAACACTTGGCTAACAGGGAATTATCAAGCGGCTCCTATATTTATTTTGCAATCCCAGTCTATGTATTCTTCCAATTTCCAGGGTTGCAATTCTTATCGAGAACCTGTCTGCTCCCCAATCATGCTTCTTCATCATGATCCTTGCATATTAAAATCTCCAGCCGCTTTCATAATTCCTCCCTCCCAACAATCCCTCTCTCCAATCGTGGTAGAAGCTTCATTTATTGAAACAATCATCGTCAAATATTGAAATTAATCATTTTACACCTGGCTGTACGTCCAAGTGTGTAAAGATATATATGGGGGTAAGGAGGGTGGTTGCGTGTTGTTAAGGACGGAGGGGAGGGGAAAGGACCGGTCTGCAAGAAGATTCTTCCAGCCGGGGGTAGTAAAGGGTAGGTGGGTAGTCGAAGGAGAGCCACAGGAGGACTCTGGTAGGTGAAGAAGGGGTGGATGGAGGCGAAGGTGGAGTAGATGGATGAGAGAGAGAGAGAGAGAAGGGTGGTTTTAGACGGTAGTGGGAGTGGGCCGAGCTAAGACGCGTAATGACGCCCTGAATCAATATGTGAGGCACTGAGATATGCATACGAACTAACAGCGGAAGGACCTCCACTGTCCGACTCCTGTACAGGTTTCTAATAATATTTTCAAAAATTAAATCAAATTTTTATTTTATCTTAGATGTTATCGTTATGATTTTCTTTTAAATTGCTGTTCATAAGAAATTTAATCTATTGATAAAATTAATTAATTCATTTATTTTTGAATTTAGAACGAATACTTACACTATCAGACCCAAGTATGTAATATTATCCATTCCATAGAGATAATGATTAATATAATTGTTATCCTAGTTGGGTAATTAATTATAAATCTTTTTGCAATTTTTACTTGTGTATTCAACTGATTTCTAATTATATATTAATGATGCACGAATAATCGATTGATTTTGAAATGAAAATTTTGATAGTACCATTATCGAATTTTGTTGACAAATATTTGAAAGAAACATGATCGTTGACTTTTCCCTTTCATGATCAATACCGTTCCCTGAACATTAAATTTCGTCTGGCTTAGGTTATTACCTTTTCGTGTGTAGTTAACCAAATCAGAGTTTCAATCTGATTTCTATACCCTGACCATTGATTACATTCGAACGAATTAGGTCACATGTAAATGAAACTCATAAATCTTTTCTTTCCCTTTCTTTTCAAATTGTTCGTAAGCACACTACGTGGAATGTGACATAAATCATTTCCGGTCAACATCAGTTCAAAGAACATTTGTCATCTGGAAAAAAAAATTCGGAGGAATTCCCTGCCTTATTCAAAATTAAATTTTATGAATGAGAAAATTATAAAAAGAAAATATTTGAAGAATTAAAAAATTAAAAATTTAACAGTTTAAAATTTTTTTTAAATATAAATACTACCATTAAAATTTATTAATTAACAAATTATTTTATTAGAATGCAAATGAATGGAATATTCATTTCTCTAAGGTTCGACATAGATCTTACAGATGTAAGAGTCACGAAGAATATCTTTCTCTGTCCACCTACTTGCATAGTACAATATATCTAGGACATATTTACGACTGTTTTCTCCGTTGGCAATTGATCAATAGCCTAACGGTTCATTGTATAACATACCAATAAATAACTAACGTTTTTCCTTGGCTAGGGATCTAACTATACGATCGGATTTTCGCTTTACGAACGTGATCGATGACATAGTAACAACTTAATACAAATTTAGATGAATGATATATAGTGTCAGAGAGGAAAGAAATATTTTGCTGTCTGTTCAATTCATGTTTAATGATTGTCACGTTTACTAGCATGGTGGTCATCACGATAGTTAAATGGTGACTGGTGTAAGAGTCATTGGTAATAGTGTAGTAGTATTATGTAATTCTATAATTAAGAAAAAAAGAGGATAAATTATTTAGTAGGATAAATGATTATGTAATTTGCAATAATATTCAACATAAATAATTTATAATAATTAGTATATGATTATTATAACATTAATTATTGAAAAATAAACACTAACAGCAAAAACAAAAATAAATTTTTGAAAACTTTACAAAAAAACAATCTATTTATCGTATTATAAATTGTGGAATAATCAAAACAAAGATTATTTAATTTCTTCCCGCCAAAATGTTGGTATGAGGAAAACGGCACAGTCATCAAAAGTAATCCAATTACTATACTCTACAAAATGCGTTTAAAATCAATTGAAATATAAACAACAATAATAAAAAGAAAGCCTTTTGATCGTAGCTTTGAAGAATCTAATAATCTACCTCAATTTCAATGATCCCGCCAAAACTTCGATAGAAAGAAAAGGGCACATACGTATAACAGAAGCAATTTATTTATCATACTAAAGGCTGTATTTAAATAAAAACCGATATAAAATAAATGTACAAAATACAGCAGCAACAAAAAGAAAACCTACTATCGTATTAATCAAAAGAAAAGTTGCTCTCTAACAACCTCCGTAAATTTAAATAATCCCGCCAAAACGTGAATATAAAGAAAACTGTGCAGAGGTATCAGAATCAATCCATTAATCGTATTAAAATCTGTCCGAACCAACTACATTCCCGAGTCTAATCGCAGCAGCGAGTAACTTCCGTGGCTGCAAAGCGTCCGGTTTGCGTGTGTACCCGGCATGCATTGGCGGTCTATTACGGGAAACGGCATTTGTATTTCTTTGTGCCGGGCAAAAGCGAATAATAGCAGGAACGTGGATTAAGACTGTACGGATAAGATCGTTTCAAGGATCCACTCGAGAGTCCAGGACCCATTGTCCCGATCGAAACGATCCACTAACCGATCGTCTCCTCTCCTCAGCATCCTTCTATCTCTTTCACCGTGGTATTCTTTGTTCTTCTTAGTTGGATACCGACAACCACCCTGGTGGTATCCCTTCTGTGCCTATGGGTCTCATCTCAGCCGTGCAGTCACGTCTTCGAGAGAAGCACAAACCCTGAAGAAGGACGAGGACGGGGAGCTTTAAAAAGGAAGGAGAAAAGAAGAGAAAGAGGGTGAGGGGCGGGGGGGGGGGGGGGGGGGGGGGGGGGGGGTACAGACACTACACAAGGAGAGGATAGAAGTGGACGGGAGTGGCAACGAGCGAAGAAAGAGGGGAAAGGAAACGGAAGAAGGAGAAGGAGAGACGAGGTGGGTCGTTATTTTTGTGCCTGCTTGCTTCGTCTTTAATTTCTCCCCA